GCCATCATTATATTATGTCCAACGTCTTGTGCCCATTTAATCATAGCAGATTTCACCGTTTCATCCTGAGTATTCCATTTCAACAGCAAGTTATACATCTTTGACAAAGTCTTAGTTTTGGGTTCTAACAATTCTGTTTCTAATTTTGATTTTTCCACCTGGAAGCCAATTTTCTTGTCCAAATTGTATGCCTCCATTATCTGATAATAATGAATCCAGTCTCGCACTTTGTTTTTTAGTTTTTCAAAACTCTGCAGTTTCAATCTATCTCCATCCTGTTCCAAAATTTCCCAATATTTCGGCCATTTGACCTCCATATTGAGCTTTTTCAGAGCTTTCGCTTCCATCGGTGACAGCCACCTTGGTGTTTTATTTTCCAATAAATCCTTATATCTTATCCAGACATTAAACAATGCTTTCCTGACAATATGGTTTTTAAATGCTTTATGTGCTTTGACCTTATCATACCACAGATATGCATGCCATCCAAATACATTGTTAAAACCTTCTAGATCCAAAATGTCAGTGTTTTCAAGAAGCAGCCATTCTTTCAACCAGCAAAAAGCTGCTGATTCATAATAAAGTTTGAGGTCTGGCAGGGCAAATCCACCTCTTTCCTTTGCATCTGTTAATATTTTGAATTTTATTCTGGGCTTCTTGCCCTGCCAGACAAATCTAGAAATATCTCTCTGCCACCTCTTGAAACAGTCCATTTTGTCCACAATTTGCAATGTTTGAAACAAAAACAACATTCTAGGCAATACATTCATTTTAACCGCAGCAATACGGCCCAGCAGTGAAAGCTTCAAATTTGACCAAATTTCTAAATCTTTTTTCACTTCAGCCCAACATTTTTCATAGTTATCTTTAAATAAATTCCCATTTTTTGCTGTCATGTTAATCCCCAGGTATTTCACTTTCTTAACCACTGTTAAACCTGCTCATTCTGAAACCTCTCTCTCTCCATTGGTGTTAAATTTTTCTCTAAAACCTTAGTTTTTAACTTATTCAATTTAAACCCTGCAACTTGACCAAATTCTTGAATCAGTTCTAAAACCCTTTTGGTACTAGATTCTGGCTCCTGTAACGTCAGTACTAAGTCATCTGCAAATGCTCTCAATTTGTACTGTTTGGCTCCGACCTGTATACCTTTAACCAGCTGGTCCCTTCTAATCATGTTCAGCAAAACCTCCAGGACGGATATAAAAAGCAGTGGGGAAATTGGGCAACCTTGTCTTGTCCCTTTTTCTATCCTAAATTCTTCCGTCACCACATTATTTACAATTAGTTTAGCCTTTTGTTCTGAATAAATTGCACTTATACCGTTTTCAAAGCCTTGGCCTACCCCCATACCCTGTAAGTTCTTCTTCATAAAACTCCAAGAAATGTTGTCAAAAGCTTTCTCCGCGTCCACAAATATCAAAACTGCTTTAGTATTTATGTTCACTTCTAGTTTTTCCAAAATATCAATTATATTCCTCAAATTGTCAGACAAGTGTCTTCCCGGAGAAAGCCCGCTTGATCTTTATGAATCTCTTCCATCAACACTTTTTTCAGTCTCTTAGCCAAAATGTCTGCAAAAATTTTGTAATCCACATTATGTAATGATATGGGGCGGTAGTTCTTAAGCTGCGTCTTTTCAGTCTCTGTTTTCGGTACAAGTGTAATATAAGCTTCTTTCCACGACTCTGGTGTGCGCTGGCAAAAGTCCTAGGGCTAGCAGAACTGCTTCGTTGGAGAACGCACGCCCCTGGTTTCTAGATCTCAGCTGCAGAGGCGAAGCCTGACTCTGTGCTGGCTGCTCTCTCTAGAGGCCAAAAAGCAGGCAAGCAGGCATAACGTGACAGGCACAAAATCAATTGGGCACAATGTGATGAATGGAAAAGTTTGAGTTTTAGTACAGAATGTCAGAGCTACTCCTCAATTCAATTATTCCATCCAGGCACTAGATTGTGAACCAAACCTTCCAAGGTTCTCCTTTGAGCTATCTGAAAATGATTTATAGATGGTATCTAACCCCAAGCCGACTTGCTAAAATGTATAAGTACGAATCAGACAAGTGCTGGAGATGTAATGAGTTAGAGGGCATGTTTTATCATATGTGGTAGACTTGTAAAAGGGTAAAAGGGTATTGGGAAATGATATATAATGAATTGAAAAAAAGTTTTAAAGTACCTTTCCCCCAAAAAACAGAGTTCTTTTTGTTGGGGATAATTCAGAAGGAAATTCCCAGGTGTCAAAGAAAGGTTATTTATGTATGCCACAACTGCGGCCCGTGTTTTGTTAGCCCCCAAATGGAAAACGAGCGAGGTCCCAGCCAAAGAAGAATGGCAACTTAAACTGATGGAATACGTGCAGCTTGCAGATTTAACATACAGAATAAATAGAACAAGTAGAACATACGTTTAAAGAAGACTGGAAAATGTTTACAGATTATTTGGGTGAAAATTGTGTACCTTTAAAAACACTGGTAGCATTAAATTCAACACTAAATAAACTCTGATGGTGTAACAATGGATTACTGAATGGTTTAGTTCATGCAAAATATGCAGGGATGTATGGTATGCAAAATGAACAACTGAAAGAGAAGAAGGGAAGACATTGATTTAAGGTTGTCTGTATCTTGAAATGTAAATTAGAAAAATTTAATAAAAACTATATAATCCATGTATGCAATGATGGTAAAGCTATCAAGGATTTATTGTAAAACAAAGGGTAAGGCTGGATGTAAACTTTTGAAACTATTCGCCCTTTATGGGCAGAGAGCATGAAACTCTTAATCTCAGAGTTGTGGGTTCCAACCCCATGTTGGGCAAAGGTGTCCTGAATTGCAGGTTGTGGGACTAGATGATCCTTGTGGTCCCTTCGAACTCTGCAGTTCTGTGATTCTATGTATAAAATCTGCAGCAGTTTCTTGGTGCTGGAACTTCTTTCTGCCCCTACCCCAGTAAAAGTTTGGTTTGGTTTTGCTGCTGCAAGTGTTGCTATGGTGCATCTGTCTCCATGGTACCCCAGCCCATATCTAGCAGTAAAACTACACACGCGCAAGTTAAAGCTATATTGGGAAAAGGGATCGATCCTGAAAATAGAACTAAGGAAGAGTACTTTTAAGGTTAATTGATTTATTGTAAGAGGGACTTTCCTAGATTAAAAACCACGGTGGCGGACGCAATTGACAGATTGCATGCACACACATGTGGAATAAAATGGTAAACTGCAGTCTCTATTATTTACAGTAATTACACGCCATGTCATCATCATACATAGAACATTTCAAAGCGGCATGCAAGAAGATACAGGCAGTGCCAGATTTATGTATAAGCTAAACAAGCTATAACTTAGGGCCCCACTCTCTTGGGGGCCCCCAAAAAATTAAAGGAAAAAACTGGATGTACATTTCCAAAATATAAGATAAAAAACAAATAAAATAAAACCTCCATACAGCAACCATGTTATGTGTTGTGTAGTGTCACAAGAGAAGCCATGATCAGAGAGGGGACTTAATAAATTAACCTCTCAGTGTTACGTATTTCTATGCTAACAAAAGAATGTATCTTTTTACTTGTATCTTTTACTTCTGTATCACTGTAATACCACTAAAGAATGTAGCTGAGGAATGCAACTGTTGACTTATCAAATGTATCACCTTTTTTATCTTTCTAAAAAGTGTTTTCTTACACTAGAAAATGTAACTGAAATAGAAAAATGTAACTGGAAGAATGTAGCCAAAATATTTTATATTCTGTGTGACTTTCCATTGCCTTATACTTGATCTGTCAATATTCTGCCCTTCACAAACTGGAAGGAAGAACAGCAAAAGAGGCTTGGGCAATGGAGTCAGCCTCTTTTCTTTTGGCCTTAGGCCCACCCCTGGCCGAGGGCAGGTCAAAGGCCGGCCCAAGCAGGTGGGTGGCACCTGCCCAGGTGAGCCCTGCTCGGTGCCGCAAACCCCGCCCACCTGTGGGGAAGGGAGGGCGGATACTGTCAAAATACCTTCAAGCGCCACAGCGCCACCTACTGGGTCCACAAATGACATCGTGAATACACACACAAAATGCAACATAAAATCAGTTTAATTAATAAAAGTATGCACACTTCTTCAGATAAGAAGATGCATGCACACGAAAGCTCATACCAAGAACAAACGTAGTTGGTCTGTAAGGTGCTACTGGACAATTTTTAATTTTTTAAAAAAATATATTTCTACTGCGTCAAACCAACACGGCTACCTACCTGAATTTAAAAAACTGTGTTTCATATTCCTCCCCCCCCCCTTCATGCAGGTTTCACTGTAAGTGTTCGTTCATATATTGGAAGTAACTTGGTTTAAAAAGGGGGGGGGGAGGAAGCATGACATTTAATTAATAATGATGTTGTTGTTGTTTAGTCGTTTAGTCGTGTCCGACTCTTCGTGACCCCATGGACCAGAGCACGCCAGGCACTCCTGTCTTCCACTGCCTCCCGCAGTTTGGTCAGACTCATGTTTGTAGCTTCGAGAATGCTGTCCAACCATCTCATCCTCTGCTGTCCCCTTCTCCTTGTGCCCTCCATCTTTCCCCACATCAGGGTCTTTCCCAGGGAGTTTTCTCTTCTCACGAGGTGGCCAAAGTATTGGAGCCTCAGCTTCAGGATCTGTCCTTCCAGTGAGCACTCAGGGCTGATTTCCTTAAGAATGGATACGTTTGATCTTCTTGCAGTCCATGGGACTCAAGAGTCTCCTTCAGCACCATAATTCAAAAGCATCCATTCTTCGGCGATCAGCTTTCTTTATGGTCCAGCTCTCACTTCCATACATCACAAAATTAATTATTACAAAATTAATAATGATAATTATTCCAGTTGCTGAGAATCACAAGAGCAGAGAGTCTGGCATTCAGGTCCTGCTTGTAAGCTTCCCCTTAAAGCCTTTGATTACCTCTTTGAGAACAGGACACTGGATGAGGAGGGGTCCCTCTTGACACCTGCAGTGTTTGTCTCCACTCTGGGCAGAGGGACACCTCATATAAGAGAGTTTGTGTACTGGTCCAGTAAACGCTTCCGCTGCGCCACCAGCAACAGCTCTCTTTGCAGAGTATTAATTAAGTCCAGTGCAGAGATTCTTGTTGCAGTACAAGCTTCAGAGTCTCAGCAGCAAAGAAATAACGACACAGGGAAGCCTGTCTTTCCAAAGACAGGTTTATTGCAGAAAGATAACAGAAATACCTCCGGAGCTTTCAGACATTTTTGCTTCACGCCCCACAGGCAGAGAAAACAAACACACTTTATATACTGAGCAACTTAACAACTTAACGAGCTTGACTACTTAAAGTCACATGACATTGCTAACTTGCCAGCGTCTTAGGTTTCACACCCTAACACCCCCTCTCGCTGGCAATACAAAAAAAACCAAAATTACTTCAGACCCATTTCTTCACAAAAGTTTTCATGCCGCTGAAACCCAAGTGGTTTTGTAAAACCATCAGCTTGATTTTCATGACTGGGACAGTAATTTAATTTAACAATTCCTGCTTTTACCGTTTGACAAACATTTTGAAAGCGGATATCCAAATGTTTTGTACGACCTTTAAACTGCCCATTTTGTGCTAACTTAAGACACGGTTGATTATCACCCCACACAGTGATTGGAGTGATGGCCTTTTCATACATCTCTTGTGCCAAGCATTTGTAAAATTCTAGATCTCTACATAACTCAGATAAGGCACAGAACTCAGCTTCTGTTGACGACAAAGCAATTAGGTTCTGTTTCTTGGATCTCCACCCAATCAGAGAGTTACCAAATTTTATTACACAGCCAGACACTGATTTTCTATCCTTTAAATTTGCCCAATCACTATCTGCCCAACAAGTAATCTGTGCTTGTCCTTCCGAAAACAATTCAAGGCAAAAATCTTTGGTGTATTGTAAATATCTTAACACTCTTTGAATTCCTTTCCATGCATTTACACTAGGTTTCGAAGCTTCTCTGCTGAGTAAGTTAACAGCGTAAGCAATATCTGGTCTACTCCATTGCGAAAGATGAAGTAAGCTTCCCAGTGCTGACTGAAAGATTTCAGCACGCTTGAATTCAGCACTATCCTTGAACTCATTGTCTTTTACAAAACCCATTTCCATTGGTGTTCTAACACCTGCACACTCCGTCATGTTAAACTTTTTCAACATTTGCAATATCTTGCCTTTTTGATTCAGTAGAAAACTGCCATTTTTGGTCCTATCTATCTGAACACCAAGATAGACCTTCACATCACCAAGATTCTTAACTTTGAAGTGTTTATTTAACTCTTTGGCTAGTTTTTTTACTTGTTCTTGTGTCTTTGAAGTATAAATCAGGTCATCTACATAAACAAGCAAAGATTCTTGAGCATCTCCTGAACTTCTGAAATATAAGCAATTGTCAGCCTTGCTCCTGCTAAAACCAATGCCTACCAAAACGTCATTCAAACATTCATTCCAATTATGAGCAGATTGCTTGAGTCCATAAATAGATTTATGTAGTTTCCATACCTGATTTGATTTACCAACTTTCAATCCTGGCGGTAGCTCCATATAGAGCTCTTCAGCCAAGTCTGAATGAAGATAAGCTGTAGAGACATCAAATTGATTCACTTTGAACCCTTTCTGAGCAGCAACTGCTAATAGTGCCCGTAGGGTTTCACTCCTTGAAGTGGGTGCATAGACTTCGGAATAATGTAACCCCTTTCTTTGCGTAAAACCTCGAGCTACAAGCCTTGCTTTGTACTCTGGTTTCCCCATCGCTGTTGTCTTTATCCTGTACACCCACCTACAACTTACTGCTTTGGTACCTTCTGGCAGTTTGGTGATGGAAAACACACCCAGTTCTTTCATAGAATTCAACTCCTTTTGCATGGCCTCACGCCACCTATTGGCCTCCTCCTGGGGTAATTGTTCAACCTCCTCAAAACTTTCAGGTTCGCAATTTGCCAAACCAGCCCAAACACTAATAGCTTGGTACCTTTCAGTGGGTTTACCTTTGTTGGTACGCGTAGAACGCCTTAACAGTTCCTGCGATGTTCCTTCAGTTTCCCCCTCTGACCCAGAATCACTAGTCGTCACCTGTTTGTCACTAGTAGTTGTAGAACTTTCTGATTCTGACTTTACACGTCTCTCTTGCTGTACAGGTGAACTTTTAGAACTAGAAGATTCTGACTTTACAGACTTGGGTGAACTAGGCGATTTCTCACCCTTATCCTCAGACTCAAATTCCTCAGTCTGTTCTGGAACTAATACCTGCCCTGGGGCCTGAGTTTCATTGCTGTTCACCACATCAAATAGTATGTCAGGATTTCCATGAATTTTATTCCAACCATCCTGTTCACAAAATTCTGCACTTCTGCTGATTGTGATTTTCGTTTGATTGCCTTCTACATTCACAAATCTCCAACCTTTTGTGTTTGCTTGATAACCACAGAAAAACATTTCTTTAGACCTAGGATCGCCTTTCCTACGTTGTGCCCTAGGCACCAGCACATAAGCACGACATCCAAAAACTCTTAGATGATCAATTTTTGGTTTTTTCCCAAATAGCATGAAGTAAGGAGTGTTGCCTACTGTGCTATTGTACACTCTGTTAAAAGTATAATTCGCATACAGTGCAGCCTCAGCCAAAAACGCTGTGGAAGTCCAGAATCAAACAGCAAAGCAGCAATGGCTTCCTGTAATGTTCGAAATTTTCTTTCAGCAACTGCATTCTCCTGTGGTGAATAGGGATTGGTAAGTCTATGAACTATACCTTTCCTTTTTAACCACGTCTCCAGCGTGTGGTTCACATATTCCCCACCACGATCTGATTGTATTTTACGTACCCTGGTGTCAAATTTACATTCGACTTCTTCAATCCAATCCATCAGGATGGAAGCTGCTTGTGTTTTTCTTACAGAAAGAAAACCCAACTAGCCCTTGAAAAATCATCCACCAAAATTTGCATAAATCTCGCACCTCCAAGCGATTTGACTGGCATAGGGCCACACACGTCTGTGTGCACAAGTTCAAAGGGTTTCTTGCTTACTCTATCAGATCTAGGATAGTTACATGTCTTAACCTTAGCATGTTTACAAGCACAACAATCCAGAAAATTTGGACAGGGTTTAATGTTACACTCCTCAGCTAAATCTGGCATCTTGCTTACATACTTAAAGCATATATGAGCTAACCTTCTGTGTAGTAGATGTGCACAACCTGTATGAGGAGCCTTATTTACACACTTAGCTTGCGCTTCACCTGTTGAACATCTACCTGCTGCTAACTGCTCTTCATCCAAAACAAAAGCCCATCCTCACAGGGAATTTTAACTAGCTCCTTCCCCTGTTTCGAAATGGTGCACACATCATTTTCAAACTCAACCTTAAAACCACTTTTTACCAGGCATGACACACTCAAAAGTCCATTCTTCATTCCTGGAAGAACAAAAACAGGAAGGTTAGTTTGCAAACAGTTAACATAAATTGTGCCTTTAAGGTTCATTTCTCGTTTACTATTGTCTGCTATAGTCACGGTTTTTGCAACTGGCAATGTCTTGCAGTTCATCAAGCGGCCACTGGATGTCGCTGGAACTAAACTGTGACTTGCTCCACTGTCAATTATCCACTTCAAGGTTTGTTGGCTCCTTTTAGGACTCTTTTGTGCTGCCATTGCAGATAGTCCCTTATCAGCACCTGCTCCCCTCTGGATCGTTGATTCTTGTAGTTCTCACGTCGTCTTCCCCTGTAGCTCCGGAAACTGGCCCTGGACTGTTGAAATTCCTGTTGCTTTTCTGGACACTTTGCTATCAAATGAAACCTGCTGCCACATCGAAAACATGACTTGCTGGCCATAGCAGACACTTGTGAGGCTTCCTTACAGCTCTGCCTGCTAGTTTCCCCACGCTGGGAATTATCTGAACACCCAACCCTTGGGGTATTTGAATTATCAATACGTTTTCGATGATGTTGATATTCTTGCTCACACAATCTACCAGTCACATAATTCATATTCAGCTGGTCCTCTGGCAAAACCTGTAAAGTTAGTACTAAGTTTTCAAACCCTGCATGCAGGCTGCTAAGCAGAGTATAAACTTTAATATTTTCAGGAAAATTCACACCTAAAGATGACAGTCGGTTGAAATACTCAGTCATCTGTGACGTGTGTTCAACCACACTATCCCCTGGCTTCAGTTTCAACTCATACAAAGCACGTATAATGTTCACCTTCTCTCCGGGCGTGGCTCTATGGTGAATTCGCCTAAGAGCTTCCCAAATTTCAAATGCAGACCTTAAATTTTCCACATGAGGTAATTGGGAATCGTCTATCGATACCATCAACATGCATCTAGCTTTAGTGTCCATTTTATCATGTTCCCTATTCTGAGCATGTGCAGCAGCCTGTTGCTCTGCTGTGGCATCTGCTGCAACAGCCACAAACGGCTTTCGCCTCTGGACATAGTCAGCCCACACTTCTTTGGCTTCCAACCAGACTTGAGCCCTCTTAGACCACTGCACGTAATTTGCAGAGTTCAACTTTGTAAAGGGAACCTGGAAATTTTCCACTGCCATTCTTGGGGTCTGCTGCTACTCCCTCTGTGTGCCCTTTCTTCTTTTTCCCCTTGGGATTTGTTTTACTCACTTTTCAGACGCCTCCAGCCTCCTCTGAAGCCTTTAAGAGCTGGATTTACGACTAAGCCGGTCTTCTCTCATCCGAAAGCTGCTTTCACTTTCTCTGCACACAATACAGCTGTAGAAACGTAGAAGGATCCATAACCTAAGAGAGTTTGTGTACTGGTCCAGTAAACGCTTCCGCTGCGCCACCAGCAACAGCTCTCTTTGCAGAGTATTAATTAAGTCCAGTGCAGAGATTCTTGTTGCAGTACAAGCTTCAGAGTCTCAGCAGCAAAGAAATAACGACACAGGGAAGCCTGTCTTTCCAAAGACAGGTTTATTGCAGAAAGATAACAGAAATACCTCCGGAGCTTTCAGACATTTTTGCTTCACGCCCCACAGGCAGAGAAAACAAACACACTTTATATACTGAGCAACTTAACAACTTAACGAGCTTGACTACTTAAAGTCACATGACATTGCTAACTTGCCAGCGTCTTAGGTTTCACACCCTAACATCATATAGTCCCCTGCTCCACCTCCTGGCCCTGGCAGGGGACTCACTCAGCCCCTGCGCTCCTCCTGCTTGCTCTGAACCCCAAATGTCATCTTCTGGCTCAGGAATAAGGGCCCCATCAGCAGGCCAGGTCTGGGAAGTGATCCTTGAAAGTATCAGCTCAAGAGGTCCCAAGGAGGGTGTGGGGAGGCTGCCCAAGCTCAGCCTGAGGAGGTCCCAAGGAGGCGGACCAAGCTCAGCTCCCCAGGCTAAAGAAACTGGAATATTGTAATGAAGGGAGAAGTCGGTTTGCAGGAGGGAGCAGTGATTCTTATGCAAGTGTTAAGGGATGTGAGGGAGGGAGAGAATCCCCAACTGCAGAGCCTCCCCCCCCAGAAGAGAAATTCCCATCTGAGATCCTCAGAGAGGTCTGGGACTCATTCTGCCCAGACACTGAGGTCCAGCTCCAAGGGCCTTCTGGCAGTTCCCTCGCTGCGAGAAGCCAAGTTACAGGGAACCAGGCAGAGAGCCTTCTCGGTGGTGGCGCCCGCCCTGTAGAACGCCCTCCCGCCAGATATCAAAGAGAAAAACAACTACAGTGGTACCTCAGGTTAAGAACTTAATTCATTCCGGAGGTCTGTTCTTAACCTGAAGCACCACTTTAGCTAATGGGGCCTCCCGCTGCCGCTGTGCCACCAGCATGTGGTTTATGTTCTCATCCTGAAGCAAAGTTCTTAACCCGAGGTAATATTTCTGGGTTAGCAGAATCAGTAACCTGAAGCGTATGTAACCCGAGGTACCACTGTACCAGACTTTTAGAAGACATCTGAAGGCAGCCCTGTTTAGGGAAGCTTTTAATGTTTAGTAGGTTTTTGTATTTTAATATTGTGTTGGAAGCCGCCCAGAGTGGCTGGGGAAACCCAGCCAGATGGGTGGGGTATAAATAATAAATAAATTATTATTATTATTATTATTATTATTATTATTATTATTCTTAGTGTGGTCAGAAAAACAAGGAACTGCAACGAACAGTTAGCAAAAATGGATTAATTAATTCATTCACTGCGATGTATTCTCCTGTCTGCTTAAGAGGCAGTCAGAGCAGCACTGGACAGATTGAGGAACGGATCCTGCCCTCCTGGGTTCTGCCCTGAAGCAGAGCTCCGCCGCCTCCACGAAAAGACATCTCTCTGCACCCGAAGCAGCAGGGAGCGCAGGGTCCGTGCCTGCCAGTTGGGTGAGAAGGCAGGAGCATCCCTCAGGATGAGGCCAGGGTGGCTTTCTGCGCAGAGATCGGGGTGAGCTGAGAGCCCAGGCTCCTCCTCCTCCTATCAGCCTGGCCACCCCCTGCAAGCTGGAGGATAAGGCAGGCTGTGTCTCTGAGGAGATAGCTGAGGGGAGGGGACTTTTGGGGCAGCTCCCTCCTTCAGGCCTCCAGGACTCTGGCTCTTTCTGCCGGCCAAAGAGTCCAATTCTTCACTGGGAAGGAAATCAGCAGCAGAATGGATGGGGACTCCTAAAGGGGCTGCCCTAGAAGGGGAAAAGGAAGGGCCCTTCCTTGCCCCCAGGCCTGCTGTCTAAAGGGGTCGTGCAGAGGGGGATCAGGGGGCTTGGAGGAAAAGAAACATCCAGACATTTCTGTGCTGTTTGGGGGGGGGGGACTTTCCAACCTACACTTCAAGCTCAGGCTTGCGAGATTTTCTCTCGGCCGCGCAAAAATAAACAAGGAGCTCTTAATCACTTGCACACTTGCAGCACCCGTCCCTAGGTGTGCATTGCGACTGGCAAACCAAGGGGAGTTGTGGTGGCTGTTTGTGACTTAGGATGGATAGATGGATAGATGGATAGATGGATAGATGGATAGATGGATAGATGGATAGATGGATAGATGGATAGATGGATAGAGAGTGAGGGAAGGGAAGTCAAGGATGAAGGAGACTGGGGAGAGGGCCCCAGTGGGGTCAGGGAGGCCAGTCACTCTCCCTCTGGATCAGGCTTCCTCAAACTCGGCCCTCCAGATGTTGTTGGCCTACAACTCCCATGATCCCTAGCTACCAGGACCAGTGGTCAGGGATGATGGGGATTGTAGTCTCAAAACATCTGGAGGGCCGAGGTTGAGGAAGCCTGCACTAGACCAGGCTGTGTGAGGTCAAGTCAGGAGATTTGAAGACAGTTTTTGAGGTTTAATTAAATTATTTCATTTAATTTACAGCTTGATTGTTAAAACACACCCACACCAAACACTTGGCATCTATCCCGCACATGAGATGGGACCATCAGCTGAGACAAGTTCCCCAGAAGGACCAAAACATCTAGAGAGATGCATTGGACTAGAGACTTAGATAGGCATTAGAAACTGGTTCTAAGCAATGCTTCCAACTTTAAGCTGCTGTTATACCTTTTCCCTAGAAATGCAGGCTAGCTTCTGCTGCCTATGGTATGCTTAAAATTATGTCCACTATACGTGGGGGGAAAACGATAAAATATATTCTTTTACAAAAATAAGCCATCGCATGTGTCATTGTATGTCCCAGATGGTTTCGGAAGGGGGAGTGTAGGGGGCAGCCTGGAGGGAGGGGGCTCTTTGGAACGGGGTGTGGGGTAAAAGGGTAAGCACCCCTCCCTCCCGGAGCAGCCAGAGCCCGGAGCCCCTCCAGGAGCGCATGGGGAGAGTTTAGCTCTCCGCCCGAGCGCAGGCGACCTCTCCCGCAACCCGGCTCTGCGCGATAAGAGGGCGGCGGCTGGAGCCTCGGCTCGAAGGGGCGGGCGGAGGCTATAAAAGCGGCGGCCCCTGCAGGACTCCCTGCTCCGCCACCTCCTGGGACTTACAGAGCAACTCGACCTCCTGCCTGCTGCCAAGATGGGGCTGACTGCTGAGGAATGCAAGCTGATCAAGAACTGCTGGTCCAAACTGGCCCCCGAGCACGAGGATCTAGGCGGCGAAGCGCTGACCAGGTAGGCTGGACGGGGCGGCCAAGGGAGAGAAGCCCAGTCTGGTTCCTCCCGCCCCGTCCCTTTTCCTGACGGCCCCCTTCCCTCCCCGCAGGCTTTTCCAGGTCTACATGCAGTCCAAGATCTACTTCTCGCACTTCGACCTGTGCCCCGGCTCCAACGACATTCACCGCCACGGCCAGAAGGTCATCAAGGCCCTCGACAGCGCCATCAAGAGCATTGACAACATCCGCGGCTGCCTGTCCGAACTCAGCGACCTGCACGCCTACAACCTCCGCGTGGACCCCGTCAACTTCAAGGCAAGCGCGCCGACGGGGCGGACGAGGGCCGGGAGGGGCGCGCCTTGGGTCTTCCCTCGACCCTCCCCCACCTGGCCGACCCCCCACCTGACCCCCGTCTCTCTCTTTCTCTCCTTTGCAGTTTCTGACCAGGTGCCTCCACGTGACAATGGCTTCCAGCCTCCGCGGAGAGTACAACGCCCTGGCCTACAAGGCCTTTGACAAGTTCCTCTGCCTGGTGGGCGAGGTGCTGACCGAGAAGTACAGATAAGCCCCCCGCCGCCCGCCCCCTCGGAGCTGCCATTTGGCTCTGGATCTAGAGCGCTCCGCTTCCGCTGTGTTACTGAGCAATAAAACGCATGAACCACTCTCTGCTGGCCTCACTTTTTGGGGGAAGGGCAGGGTTGAAGGGGGGGGCGGGGCTCCGGACTCAGCACTGTGAACTTGTATTCTGGAGAAGAGCTCAAAGGTGATGAGGGAGTCCAAAGAAGGGATGAAAGCCCTCTTGCTGTCCATCTTCAGGGCGCGAGCCTCAGGCTCCTTCCTAATAAGCCTTGGAGCAGCCTCTTCGCTGTATTCCCTTGGAGATCGGGAAGGGGGCGCGCAGGAGCCTTCAGACCTTCTCTTCAAATGGGGCAGCGAGCGTTGTTCCTCGAGCGAGGGGGGCTTTAGTGAGGGGCACCCAGGCCTTCAGTAAGACCCTTTTTTCTCCCCTGGGTATAAGGCTCCCACCAACGACTCTCCTGACCATAGGAAGGGAAGGAGGGTGACGGGAGACCTGGCCTGCCTTCGTCGTCGTCTCCCCCCACCCCACAGGACTGTTGCCCCAGCGGAAAGTGAACCCAGATGGGGTGGGAATGATGACCACTGAGGGATCCCTGGAACTGGGCAACATATGGGAATACAGTCGCTGACAGAAGGACGGGGTCCTTCCACTAAGCGAATATACACCCCCCGCCCGGGCATGGAGTGAGGCTCCTTGGGGCGCAGAGCTTCTTCCCCGAAATCAGTTGGGGGAAAGAGTCCCCCTCTGCCCCTCACCCCACGAGAGGGCGCTGGGCGAGACGGGAGAGTCTTGTGCGGGCTGCTGCTGGGTCCGGAGGTCAGAGCTTAGAGATGGAAGCAAGGAGGGCATCGTCCAAGGAGCCCAAAGAAAGCCGTGGGGCAGCTCCTCTCGCCCCACAGCAGCAACCCGCGATGGCCTCCGTCTGAAGGCCAAACCGTCCGTCAAACTGGGGTTTCTAGCTGTCGTCGGACTACAATTCCCATCATCCCTGACCTCTGGTCCTGCTAGCTAGGGTTGATGGGAGTTGTAGTCCTGCTTCTTTGGCGATCCCTCGTAGCCGAGTAAGATGGTCTTCCTGGAAGACTCTTCCATGAACACGGTCTTAACAGTGAGTCCATAAGTGACTGTGGAGGCCAATTCCGGATCCACACGTCCTTCCACAGTGGGGACATTGGTTTCCGGGCCAGAGTTGATCACGGTGTGGATTTGCGAAGCTTGCCTTCCTCTTAGCACCTTTCTTCCTTGCGTCCTGAGATTGAGCATCTTCAAAGCCCATGACACCTTTGGTAAAGGCTGTTCTCTAACCGGAGCGCTCGCAGACCAGTGTTTCCCAGCTGTCGGTGTTTATGCTATTTTTGTTTTAGATTTGCCTTGAGACAGTCTTTAAACCTCTTTTGCAGACCACCAGCATTACGCTTTCCATTCGGAATAGCTAGTGGGGACTCAATTTTGAGAAACACTAGCAGCGGAACAGGGCGATTCTGAAGCCGTAGCCAGTAACCTTTGACGGGGCGGGAGGGACACAGCCTAGCGCAGCTGCCTGCTCCCTCCTGCCAGGTACCCTCTTCCTCGCGCCTCCGTTCCCTCCCCAAATGCCCCCAGCTCTGTCCCCATCGCGGACCCAGCAGGGCGGCCTCCGTTGGAGCCACGGCACGCCCCCCACCCCTTCCCTCCCCTTCAGAGAGCCTCTGCCCGGGCAGGCGTCCCCGCCAGACGGCGCTCATGGCGCGCAAAAGTCAGCCGCCCCGACTCCCTCCCGACGTGTCCGCCCGGCACCCGGCCCTCCCGACTGGTAGCTCCAAGGGGGACGAGGCGAGATCCAGACCCAGTGGAGACACACGCGCCTGATCTCGCCTGTTTCTCTTCCTGCAGCTTCCCTCGGCCAGATGGATGCTTATATGTATGCAGGCATTTTAAAAAGCAGAGACCTTGCCAACAAAGGCCCGTACAATTAAAGCTCTGGTTTTCCCAATAGTGATGTATGGAAGTGAGAGCTGGACCATCAGGAAGACTGATCGCCGAAGAACTGATGCTTTTGTTTTTTGTTTTTAAGATATTTATTAGGAGTTTACAAGTTACAGAAAAAGAAAGAGAACAATAAAGAATTAAACAAAACAAAATAATACCTTACAATACATAAAAAAAACAAAAAAATACAAAAAAATACAATAAAACAACGGAAAAACAGAACAAAAACATTTAAAAACACATCCAGCCTTTCCATATCTTTACCTTTCATATACTTGTTTCATCGACCTCCTCACACCTCCCTTTTTTGTATTCTAGTTCAATTAGCTATTTCAGCAAGTCCTCTCCATGTTTCTCAATTTTCGTTCTAAAATTTGACTTAAGACACTCTAACCTTAAATTTTCCACATTGGTCCATTAACAATCTATTTTTACTTAATTCTTTATAACTTTTCTGCTAAAGCCATATAGCTTTGTTCCAGCATCCTTCTAACATTCATTAATTTTGCAATATTTCTGTAAATATACTTTAAATTTTTTCCAATCTTCTTCCACCGACTCTTCTCCCTGGTCTCGGATTCTGCCAGTCATTTCCGCTAGTTCCATGTAGTCCACATCTTCATCTGCCAGAACTGATGCTTTTGAATTCTGGTGCTGGAGGAGACTCTTGAGAGTCCCATGGACTGCAAGAAGATCAAACCTCTCCATTCTTAAGGAAATCAGCCCTGAGTGCTCACTGGAAGGACAGATCCTGAAGCTGAGGCTCCAAGACTTTGGCCACCTCATGAGAAGAGAAGACTCCCTGGAAAAGATCCTGATGTTGGGAAAGATGGAGGGCACAAGGAGAAGGGGACAACGGAGGACGAGAGGCTTGGATAGTGTTCTTGAAGCAACCAGCATGAGTTTGACCAAACTGCAGGAGGCAGTGGAAGACAGGAGTGCCTGGCATGCTCTGGTCTAGGGAGTCACAAAGAGGCGGACACCACTAAACAACTTAACAACATTAGCAACAACATGTATGTATGTATCCGCGTAGCCGCTGGCTCTTTCTCCTAAGCTGCAAAGGAAAGAACCGCCCACGTAAGCTCTTCCCGCCGGCACCAACGCGCTCGTCTTCCCGATGCCACAGAGCTCTTCGTGCCCTTTGCGCCTGGAACGCGAAGCCTGGAGCGGGGCGGGCGCTAGGACCCAGGAGCGACCCGGGCGCCTCGGCTGACCGCTAAGGAAGGTCTCGGGGCGGCGGGCGAGCGAGCGAGCGCACGCGCAGTAGGGCCGCCCCGCCTCCCGCCCCCTGCGCCTGCGCCAGCGGCCTCTGCCGCGCCTGCGCGGTGTCTCCCGGCGGCCAAGATGGCGGCGGCGGCGGTGCGCGCCTCGCTGCGGCTCTCGGCGGCCGTTGGCGGGGGAAGCCGGCTGGGCAGCGCCGAGGCCCGGCGGAGGCTGCGGGCGCTGCGCGTGGCGCGCTGGCTGAGCGCGGGCCCCGCCTGGCCCCCCGCCCCCCGGCGGCCCGGAGGAGGCTCCGGTGAGGGGCGCGTGACGTCACGGGGCGCCGCCGGTGGAACTCCCTGCCACTGGAGAGAAGCGGCAGCATGGGGGGGGCTTTAGAAGGGGGGGCATTCGGTGATTCCGCATGGGGGTTGCCGGAGCTCTTGGGCTCCCGCTTCTTGGCTCCCCGCAAGGGGCAGCTGGTCGGCCGCGGTGAGAGCAGGACCCTATCCTGCAACCTCCTGGCCAGCGACCCTTCCCTCTAGGACAGGGATGGCCAAACTTGGCTCTTCAGCTGTTTTTGGACTACAACTCCCATCATCCCTAGTTAACAGGACCAGTGGTCCGTTTGGCCATCACTGCTCTAGGACACCCTTCTGCAACCCCCGTGTCCTCCACGTGTTGTGGGAATGCATCTCTCCTGGAGAAATCAACTTTTATCTCCAAGGACACAGCCAACTATGTGACTTGTGGCAGTCCTAGGATCCTTGGCATGTAATTATTGCCGTCCAGTTTTAAACAGACATGAGGCTGGTACCCTTGCTTGTTGGGTTAGCCGAAGGAGAAAAAGCAGGTTTTAAACACATCCGTTACTCATTTACCTATGGACTTTGGTTAGGCAGGTACGGTGCTCAAGTTCTGGTTGACTAGGATAGGGGGATTGTTCCGATTGGTGTCCTGAATTCCAAAGGACTCGTGGCGCTTTTTGCACAGACCACATAGCTAAGAACGAGACAGTCTGTTGTCCTAAAACCCCATTTTGTTCTTTTGCAGGAGTGATACATCATCCTCTTGCCTGCGCTGCCTCATTTCATACCAGCCCTGCAAGCTGTGCCAAAGAGGACTATTACCAGATCCTGGGGGTGCCTCGAAACGCCAGCCAGAAGGAGATCAAGAAGGCCTATTACCAGGCATGTTTGCTGAAAAGAAATGTCTTTGAGAAAATAGGTTTCTCAAAACAGGAAGGTAGCATTGGAGTTACAGGGTGCTGGCATGTTCCATTTGTCCTCTTCCGCAGGGCATCAGCGTACAAATGTTTAACTGCAGTGCCTTATGCTTTCTGAGCCCCCTCAGGGGAAAAGGTGGGGTACAAATAAGCATATAATCTTATAATTTTTGAGTAGCCTTTAGGAAGGGATGGGCTAGTGGAGAGGAGGAGGTTTTTTAAAGTATTAGGAAATGGTGGAGAAGGACATTTTAATGTGATTGACCAGTTTTAGTGAAGCAAACTGGTCCATAGTGGTTGAAAGAGCAAGCAAAGGGTCCCAGGTTTTTCTATTTAAAAAAAAACAAGGGTGCCTTCTTATTAGAAGTCCACATGCAGGCGTGTATTTCTCTACCCTTTGGAATGGAAATGGTAGAGTTTTGCCTACACAGCACTCTGTGTCACACTCTTGTCAGGATATTTCCATGATTAGTATCTGGATTATTTTATGTAAAAAGAACTGGCTGAGGATAGCTTTGTGTTTAATGCCTAGGAAACAGACTTTTTCTAGTAGGGGTACATATTTTATGAACAGCTCTTTCTCAGCTTTTGTTTAAAAGAAATTCTGTGGGCATATCCATTCCTTTGGTGGGGGACAGAACCTCTGCACACTTGAGATTGGTGGAATCCTGACATCTCAAGGTTAAAGAAAGGCTTCATACACTTCAGCTGTGGACCATGTGTCTCAGCATGTGGACAGGTGGGAAGTCAGGCTGATGAGCTCTTCTAAATGTACCAATAACACTGAAAAGTGAAAAGAGCAGATAAAACTGCAACAAGAGCATCAGTAGCAACAGACCTGCAGGCAAAACCTAAAGACGTGCTGGAATAGGGTTTTTCTTTTCATTTGGTACTGAAAGCTCACTGATCAGTACCAATTGTATCTCAAGAGGGAGGGCACCACCTTTCATTAATTGATATTGACCTTGGGTAGTAATTCTTTGCTTCCAGTGAAATTGTAAATATTTTTCTAAATATTTTTCTGGAGTCCTATTTATCCTATTATGCTTTTGAGATTTAAGCCATAATGCTAATAGACCTATAACCTCCCATTTTCACAGATATTTCATCAGATTGCATCATCTGACCATAGCTAGAAATAGTGATTATTCTTGAAAGGCCACTGTGTTTCCATGTTACAATAGAAGCCAAAAAAATCTTTTCCTTTACATCAACCAGCTTATTTTGAAAGTTTTCACCTTTAACACCATATGCGTTACTATATTATTTTGGGAATTACTTTAGTTTGGATTTATGATGCTCTTGTTATTTGTTACTCTTATTGCTCTTGTTACTCTGGCACAGAAACCCTCCTTGTCGCATGGTATAAAATTTGAGTGATGCCATACTCTTCTAACTTGAGCATAATGCAGTTGATTTGAAATACAATCTTGTAATCAGTAACAAAAAGAAGCAGCGATGACAGTGATTCTCTTGTGCTTCATCTTCACATTTGGGTCTTTTTGCTTAGCTTGCCAAGAAATACCACCCGGACACGAACAAAGATGACCCTAAAGCGAAGGAGAAGTTCTCGCAACTGGCTGAAGCCTACGAGGTAATGTGGGGGCTGTTTTTTCGGGGGGTGGGGTGGGCTCCTTCTGGAGTGGTCCCATTGCTCACAATGGCATCACGACTTCAAAATCCAGCCATGTTAGCTCTGCGAGGCAAAAATAAAGCCCTCATCTTCCTTCCTTGTAGGTCTTAGGCGATGAAGTGAAACGGAAACAGTATGATACTTACGGGACAGCCGGTTTTGATGCAAGCTCAGCAGGATCCGGACAACAATATTGGCGTGGCGGCCCGTCTGTGGATCCAGAGGAGCTGTTCAGGAAGATCTTTGGGGAGTTTTCAGGGTCCCCTTTCGGAGACTTCCACACTGCCTTTGACCAGCCCCAGGAAGTGAGCAAAACACTCTGTCTGCATGTGTAGCTTTTAAGGGAAAGTTACTTGGAAAAAGTTCATTATGACTGGGATTCTAGTTTTGACTGCCCGGTTGTCCAATTTGATTTGTAAGTACAGTGGTGCCTCGCAAGACGAAATTAATCCGTTCCGCGAGTTTCTTCGTCTAGCGGTTTTTTCGTCTTGCGAAGCAACCCTATTAGCGGATTAGCGCTATTAGCGGTTTAGCGGCTATTAAAGGCTTAGCGGTTTAGCGGCTATTAAAGGCTTAGCGGCTTAGCGGCTAAAAGGCTATTAGCGGCTTAGAAAAGGGGGGGGGAGCGAAAAAAATATCAAGACTCGCAAGACATTTTCGTCTTGCGAAGCAAACCCATAGGGAAATTTGTCCTGCGAAGCGCATCGAAAAACGGAAAACCCTTTCGTCTAGCGGGTTTCTCGTCTTGCGAGGCATTCGTCTTGCGGGGCACCACTGTAGTAATTCATTAAATGCCTGTTTTAATATTTACAATTGTGCTATTTATGAGACAGGGCCATTCCTAAAACAGGGAAACGTTTAGCCCCACATCACTGTCTTCTGCCGTGTGCAAAATGGTGAGTCAAAATAGCTGGCCCTGATCTTTCCCTGGGCATTGAGTGATGGCTGCCTTTGCTCCCTCTCTCTCTCTCTAGTATATCATGGAACTGACATTCAACCAGGCCGCCAAGGGCGTCAACAAGGAGATTCAAGTGAACATCAACGACACCTGCCAGCGCTGTGATGGCAAAGGGCACGAGCCAGGCACCAAAGTGCAACACTGCCACTACTGCAATGGCACTGGCATGGTAAGTGTATCGATGGGTCACAACGCAGAGGAAAGCAGGCTCTGCTCACCTCGCTGCTGTGCGGAGACTCCTGCCTGTGCCAAGTGGACAACTTTGCTTTTCCGAGGAGGGCAGAGAGCTTTCCCCCTTCGCTTGCTTGATTTAGATTCATTGGGAATCATCAGCCACTGGAGACTCCCACACCTAGAAAATGCCGAAGAAATAATCTCCGCTTGCAAAAATGCCCAGAAAGGCATCGCCTCTCTCTGCATCTTCTCCCCCCCCCCCCAAATAGGAGACGATCAACACAGGTCCCTTTGTCATGCGTTCTACGTGCCGGCGATGTGGCGGGCGTGGCTCAGTTATGACGACCCCCTGTGTGATGTGTCGCGGCTCTGGGCAGACCAAGCAGAAGAAGGTGGTGATGGTCCCAGTTCCCGCAGGTCCGCATTCTCTGCCTTGTTTGGGTTCTTCATTAGATGGGGTGGCTGCTGCCCTGCTTTCATGAAGCTTGGTTGGGTCAGAGCAGAGGAACAACAGCTGCTTCCTGCAGAATGGATCAAGGGATGGCTGGGGTGGAGTGGCCTTTGCAAAGGTGGGCTGCTGAGGATTTAAGAATCCTAGAGCGGATGAGAAACAAGCAGGAAGTACCAGGGGAATGCCCATGTTTACTACGCTCTTGCTCTGGCTTCAGGTGTGGAGGATGGGCAGACGGTTCGGATGCCTGTAGGAAAGAGGGAGATCTTCATTACCTTCCGGGTGCGTATTTGTCTGGGCTCCCATGATTCTCTGCCCTGTTTGAAGACAGCACCCGTCTGCTGCCGCCTCCTCCATGAACTGTACCCTCTTTCTGGATTCAGGTTCAGAAGAGCTCTACGTTCCGGAGGGACGGTGCAGACATCCACTCGGACCTCTATGTCTCCATAGCACAAGCTGTCCTTGGCGGCACAGCCAGGTCTCCTGGTCTGTACGAAACAATCAGCATTGCGGTATGTAGCAGCAGGTCCCTTGATGACGGGGAGCATGCGGGTGCCCTGTATGGCTGCGCCTTCTGGTCCTTGTCAGTTGGTGATGCGGCTCAGGCATCTCCCTCCAGAGAGCTCAGCCTGGATGGCCAGGATCTCCCAGCCTATGGAGTGGGGGGCCCTGTTCAACTCATGTGTTTACTGTGTCCAAATGGAAATCTGTGTCAAGCACTGTATGCTCTCACTGCCCTCATCTTCTGCTGCAGGACTCTGCATGTGGTGTGCATGTTGCCACAGTGTCCCTCCCCTTCCTAGGCTCCTATGACTCTTACAGCACAGTCCAGCACATGTTACTTGGTAAATCCCACTGTGATCTCTTGCTCCCTAGTAAGCGTATTTAGAATTGCATCCTGGATCTGTGTCTGCTGTTATCCTTTCCCTTTACCTCTCCTGTGTGACTGGCTGCTTACACACGCCTGTGGGAGCCGTGCTTATTTTAAATTGAATTCTCTTTGTCTGGTTGGAGGGGGGGGGGCTCCCTGGAGAAATAAATAGAACCGGATACATATGGTTGTACGCAAAATGCTGAATAAACCCTGTTCCTCCATCTCTCTGCCAGATCCCCCCAGGCATTCAAGCTGACCAGAAGATTCGGATGAGTGGGAAAGGCATTCCCAGAGTTAACAGTTACGGTTACGGCGACCACTATATTCACATAAAAATCAAAGTTCCCAAGTAAGTGGGGGGGGGCTTTGGGGGCCGGGGGGGGGATGGTGGCGTTCAGCAGGAGCATGTTAGACACGCAATGGTGCAAAATGCAAAGTGGCCTTTGTTTTGGGAGATGTAGCGGGGAATGATGGATACAGGGGAGGAAGTCCACCTCTCCTCAGGCCACACCCCTTTTTGTATTAAGCAGTATATAATGGGTTATTAGCGAGCCCTCATTGGGAAGAGGCACCTTGGTTTCAAAGAGAGGATCCAGCGCTGCAGGACGGTGGCTTTGGGGAGCCTGGCAGACACCAGGGGAAGAGGCTGCCTTCAGTTTGTAGGCGTGTTCATTAGGCGGTTCAGGTTTTCCCCAGGATCGTGAGCCTTCCTGCCAAGGTAGCCCTTTCCCCCCTTTGTGCTGCAGGAGGCTGACAGACCGCCAGCGAGCCTTGATGCTGAGCTATGCAGAAGACGAAACCGAAGTGGAAGGGACCGTGAATGGCGTCACCAATACAGCCACTGGTAAGTGGAGTCCTGCAAGGTGTCTTTGGGCACTTGGAGGTGGCAGGGGACCCTTCCGCCACCTCCTTAAATGGCCCGCACTGCAGTGTGGTGCTTACGATGTTACTGAGCTGGGCAACGTGGGACTTCCGTGGCCTGGTTGCAACGGCAGCGGTGTGACCTGCACCCCTGCTGGAATGGAGGTCTCTTTGCATCAGTAGATGCCACAAGGAACGAGTCTGGTTGTGTTGTGGTCCTCACTTGGGGGAGGGATCTGGAGGCATCTCTTTGCGTCGCCTTACCCGCCAGCTGTCATCTTAAGCTAAAAGATTGCGATTCTCCCTTAAAAAGGAAGAGGGAGGTATTGATTTTGGGACCAGAGGACATAGGATGTAGTAAGAGGCATTTCAGACAGCCAGGATTTTTTTTTTAAGTAGTTATCTGCACATTCTTGGTCTCCTTGTGACAGTTTCCCTAACCGGGTACAGAGTGATTTGGATTTGAAGGCCTAGGCTATAAAGGAAAGGGGTGGGGCCTTTGGAGAGGCTGTTCATGCCCTTCCTTGCACAACTGCCTTGTAAAGATCTGGTGTCCAGATGTTGGACTTCAGTTCCCATCAGGCCAGCATAGCCAGCGGTCAGGGCTGATAGAAGCCATAGTCCAGCAAGGTTTAGGGGACCACAAATTCCTCATGTCTGGGTTTAAAGGAGCTGGACAGTCTTTCCTGACACAACTGAGTGACAGAAAGGAGACCAAAGAGCCAGGCAGCCGTTACCAAGCAGGTGGCCCCCAGGTGCTTTGGTCTGTATTGTCCATCGGCCCCTGGGAGCACAGCCGCAGGACCCTGGAGTTCATGGGGTTGGCAGTCCAGAATGGCTAGAGGGGCACCAGGTTGGCAGATAGAATTGGAATTGCAAACAGATGCTGTGAGAAGCAGCAAAGATACTGCCTGGAGATGAGAGCTAGGCATGAGAACAAGAAGCAAGAGGCCAAGAAGCATCACTTGGCAAAGCAGTGTAATGGGAAAGTCCCTCTTGGCTGATCCCAGGGCACTTCCAATACATGGAACACAGGTTGAAGCGAAATGAGTTTGTTAGGCCTTCCAGCACGAGCATGGCCTCCCCCACACCCCCGCCTTGCCTCTCCTTGGGCAAGTGGCCAGGAAATGTTTCCAGGTGTGGTGAGCCAATGGGTGGCAGCAGCAGCACCGCCATCTCACAATTGCATATCCTGACGCAGCTCTCTGCTGTTTGTGTCTAGGTGGCAGGGGGACGACTAGATCGGGGGCAGGCGAGGAGAGGCCCGAGGCCCAGGGGGACGACAAGGAGGGATTCCTAGCTAAACTTAAGAAAATGTTTAGCTCCTGATTTGCCCCGCCAGAGGTAGGAGGCCTCTTGTGTTCTTCTGTGCTCACTGCTGCTGAGCAGACACAGAATTGTTTGCAGCTGGGTGGGGCAGCCTTTCTGGCTGAGGGGGACAAGGTAGCGGAGACCCTTCCCTTAGGGTGGGAGACCCTTCTTCCCTCCCTAGAATCCCGTAAAGAGCAGCAGCTGGTCTGGTGCCAGCTCTGCCTGTTGCGCTACTTCCTTCCTTGACCCACTGGGCCTTCCTCTCCTCTCTGCTGTCCCACCCCAACAGCTTTTGGTTGCAACGGCGACCCAACAGCCACGCAAATAAATGGTGGGGGCACAAGAGACTGGATGCTGCATCTACTGCAAGCCACGTGTGACGGTGCTGTGTGAGGGTATAAGGCTTTGGCTGTTGGTAGAATGCATCGGATCCATTTGTGAATTGCATAGGTGCAATCCTTCTGGAAAGGTTTGCCACTTGAGGCCCTGAACCCTTGGAACTGCCTGCCACTGGATGCTGGCAAAGCATCTCAAAAGTCTGGAGTCCACACTTAAACTGGGACCAGGCAGAGGCCCACTCTGCACCCAGGATGTCAGGATTGGAGGGGTTGACCTGCAGGCCCACAGCTGCCAGTAGTCGCTGGGGAGATGAGGCTTCTCTGTGGCTACAGCTGGTTGTCTGTTGATTTCCATGGAAAGAGAGGGCAGCCCTTGCCAGCAAGCTGCTCTTTGCAGTCAAAGTGCATGGCAGGGGAAGCTTCACAAGACTTCCCTTTTCCTTTTGGCTCCAGGGAAACGTTCTACTGGAAACTAGGGTGATGTGTGGCAGCGGTCGAGCGGCTGTGTCGTCCTCCTTGGAGGTGAAGCGACCACAGGAGCCTGGCAAGAAGAATCCTAGACAGACACACTGGAACTTGCTTGGCAGGACGTCTGCGCAGGTGGAAGGCTTTTGCCTCTGGAAGCAGGACTTGGGAGGGGCAGCCTCTGCCATGTCGCCTACGGGAGCTGCAAAAGGTTCCAGGTTCCCTGGAGAGACCCTCCTCCTTTTCCAGACAGATGCAGACCACCGAGTGGGAACCTGGACAGGAAAAATCAGGCACCCGTCTAGTTTAGCAAACAGTCCTGCTCTCCTGAGGTTTTGACAAGCCCCGCAGAGAGCTCCTGAGATCACCAGCCCGCTCCAAAAAGCGGAGAGGCAGTGGAGAGCCCACGAATTCCCTGACCCCGAGTTCTTTTGGCCGCCAGGAGAATTTAGCTTCAGAGTTTTGTGGCACAGCCTGGCCTCAGGAAAGCGGCTTCTCTTGACTGCAGCAGCTGTAAGTAAACGGCCGGGGATTCCTCCATTGCACGTGGGCAGGCAGGGAGATCTGTTGCATCTCTCGTGCAGGTCTGAAACGCATCTGAATTAGTTGCCCCTTTGCTCTGCTGCTAGCTCGTGAGGTTGCAGTGGGGTGCTGGGGGCAGCTGCTTCGTGCAGCAACATTTTTTTGTAGGAAAGCAGCAGTCAAATACAACACCGTGCCTCCTCCCATTTACCTGCACTCAGAAGGCGTGTCCCATAGAATTTGCTGTGTGTGAAGCATCCCTCTGCACTTTTGGCCTAAGGAGACAGATGGTGGGGGAAGCGAGAGCAGAATGCGCCCCGTTAGCCTCTGAAAGAGCTGGCCATGAGGCTGGGCACAGCTGAGCCACATAGCATTCAGGACTGCTGGGGGTGAAGGTGGCTGCTGCATCCAGTCGCTGTTACTTATTTGGCCGCTTTAAGATTCCCACCCCACCCTGCAATAAAATCCACGCGGACTGGAGCTCTCTCCCTTCACTTGCTAGCAGACGGCGCGTGCAGCCTCCTGAGCCATTTGGCCTGCAAGGTGATTCTGTATCAAATGTAAAATACACTCTATAAAAAAGATCTTTAGAATCCATCCTTTTGTTCTTCTCCCTTTCAAATGTCACAGCAACCTGGAAGGATGCGAGAAGTGGAAGAATATTCTTGAGCTTTTACTTGGGTGAGGGAAGGGAAGGGAAATGGTATCCTTCAACCCTGCTGCTAGGGGGTGATACAGAAAGGAAAGCCGCCCTATTGAACTAGCACCTTTCCCTAGTTTGCCTGCTTGACCCTACATATTAGGACGTGGCTTCCTGCATCCAGCTGTTAGATCCAAAGCAACAAGGCAAGTCCCCATTTCCTGGTCCTGTAGTCATACCCCGGGCTGTCAGCCCTATGACCTTTTATCTGGCAAGAGAGCCTGAGGCTTTGCTGCTACACTGGTCACCTGAAGGGGTGGGGCAGAGCTGGCCAGCAGCCCCTGGAGTGGAGGCAGGCTGCCTTGCTACAGGGTTCCACCAGGACACAGGCTCAAAATCACTTCCTGGCCCAGGCCAATTCCCAAGTATGACTTCTCCCCTCCTTTGGGTCATGCAAGATGTTATGCTTGGATGACTGACAGCCTTGGGCTTTGTAGCTTAGTCCAAAGCAAATAACTACCCAAGACTTGTGTGATCTGTGGTTGGAGCTGCCAGGCCTCCCCCCTTTGTGGTTTGAAGCAAGTGAGCCTCAAAACCGCCCCCCCTCCCATGAACTCAACCCTGCAAGGAGAAGGGAATAACGGTCCAAGCCATCTTTTTTTATTTAAGAGGGGAGAACAAAGCAGGTGGTCCCAGGGAGGCCCCTCCCCTGCTAGAGGTCCTTGAAAGCAGCTTTTTCCTGTGCCACCCACTCCTCAAACCTCCTGGCCTTTGGGTTGAGCTTCAGGGTCAAGGCCGGATCTCGGACTGGGCCCAGGATGTTGAAGCGGAACATGTTAGCTAACTCTTGGGCACCAGGAAAGTCCAGCTTCTCATAGGATTCAAGCGACATCTGCAGAAAGAGCAGGAGAAACTGCATTGGTCCAACTTGCAGATAAAGCTGACCTGGAAACAAAGGGGCCTGGGAGCTTTCCGCAGCATCTGGCGCTCTCGCTGTGCCATTTAGGTACAGATGGGTGTGGCCTGTCCCTTCCAGCGAGTGCCAGCTTGGTGGTCCTCCCCACCCCCCTCCCTGGAGGGCTGCCCATGCACCTGCTTTACCTTGGCATCTCTCACAGGCTTCCCGGTGTACTTTTCTATCAGGGCTGCGTACTCTGCCACGGTGTGCTTGCAGCTGCTCAGCCCGATGTCCTGGCCTATGTACTTCTCTGGCTCTTTCATCAGCCGAACCACAACTGGCCCGAGATCAGCCACGGCCATCCCATCTATGGGCACTTCTCCCATGGGAATGGCTACAAAAGAGAGGAGAAGAGGAGGGAGGCTTGATCAGGAGCTGAGGCGTCTCAAGGGAAGGAGAAAACAGCACAGGCAGAGCAAGGGCAGGTGACCATCAATTGCAACCCGGATGCACAAAGGGGGATGATACTATTTTTTTAGGGAGGGGGCATATTTTTATTGAATATTATCGATGCATCCCAAACCACAAAATAGAACCTCATGAGAGAAACACCTAAAAACCAAACCAAGGCTGTCATGGGGTGTTACATTCACAAGAAGAAATTATAAAGCTGGTTATCTGGATATTTGCAGTAAGCAACGTAACAAGTAAGGGGAAGGTACCGCTTTAAGAAATGAGAGAGCAAAAGGTGTGGCACACGGGACTTGCAAGATAGACAGACCCACAAACCTATGACTGAAACCATCAGAAGCACAAGGGGCACCAAGAATACAAAGCTCTATAGTAATTAATAATAATAATAATTCAGTCAGTTCCCCAAATTTATTGGGAGGCTTGTGGAAGGAGATCTGTGCCACCTATCCTGCTGGCACTTTCCTCTGCTGTGCATGTGCGTAGCCAAGGGGACACATGCCCCCCCTCGGGCAAGTAAATCAATAAGAAAACTTAACTGAAGCCTGTCCCCCCCCCCAACATGAATCCTGCCCCTCCTAACATAAATCCTGGCTATGCCCATGCTGCTGTGTGATGCCCTGAGGTCTATGGATAAAGGGTGGTATACACATTTAATCTATGAAAATAAAATATGAAAGTGTTTCCAATGAACCCTTTGGAATGGGGTGAGGAGGGCAGTGGCAGACTAAGGAAAGCACCCGCCCATCTTTTTTGCTACCCAAGGTGAGGCTTGAGGCCCCCCTGCCCTTCCCTCCTCCGCAAGAGAGAGGCACGCCAGTGGCATCAGACTCCCTGCCAATCTGGGCAGCAGGTGAGGCATCTCTTAAGGGCAGAAGGAGGGATGCTGTTACCTAGCTCATAGCTGTCTCCATCTGGGGCTTTCTGGGGTCGGAAGATGGTGATGAAGTTCTCAAAGTACCAGGGCAGCCGAAGGCTGGTCATGGGCACCCCGACAGCCCGAAAGTATTCCTCCACTTCGCCTTTGCCGTCAAAGTGTGGCACCTCCAGCTGCCCCTCCGTTAGCTTCTTCACGTTCTCGAGGCCGCTGTAAACCACGTAGCCCAAGGCCAGTCGCTTGGCTAAGTCTGCCACATGCTTCCCCTGGGTGCAAAACCGGACACGGAATGAGAGGCAGGAAGCACTGGTCTTCCCCAAATTTATCCCCCAAGGAAGAAGGTGGCTCCCTCCCAGGCAGGGGACTGTCCTTGCCTGCGCTTCCGGCAGCAGTGAAAGAACTTTGGCAAAGGGGTGGCTTGCGGGGCTGTGGGTTGCGGAGGCCCCTGTGGGTCACTGGAGTTGCCCTTCTGCCTTCAGCAGCAGCTTAATGTACAGCTGTCACCCCGGTGGCCTTGGGGCGAGGACTAGCTCTGGCCAACTATGGCTGGTGCAACAGCTGAGACCATTCCGAGACCAGGATAGTTTAGCCACTGGAGTTTGTGTTAGTTACTTCAAGAATGGATTTCCTGCAATCCAAGCCATGTGAGGATTTCTTTGCGGCTGATCTGGAAACTGCAGTTAGTGCAGAATGCTGCAGGAGGGTCGCTGGCACGAGAGAGATCCTGTCAGCAGGTCACATCTGTCTCCAAGATCAGACTTTATCAACCTTCTGAGAAAAATACAAAACATTAAACAAAGCCACAAAGACTTGCGAACTACCCAGCCTAAAATGAACTTATAATGTCTAGTTTCAATAGATTTTTCAAATGCTTAACTCAGTCTTTTAGATAAGTTCATGAAGATACCAACGAAAGGTAAGTTCGGTGATATTCACAATACCGAGAGATGCTAGTAGAATTGTAGATAGATGTTAATAAAGTTGTAGACAATGAAGTTAAGCATTTGAAAAATCTATTGAAACCAGACATTATAAGTTCATTTTAGGCTGGGTAGTTCGCAAGTCTTTGTGGCTTTGTTTAATGTTTTGTATTTTTCTCAGAAGGTTGATAAAGTATGTATAATTACTGTTCTGTGTATATTAATTGCCAACGTGTTGCATGAGTCGCACTACTTCTTATCAGCAGCACAGGTTGCATTTTTCTACCAAGATCAGACTTGGCTGCTGATTGGTTGCCAGGCTTATTATTGGCATGTGATGCTCTTAGTAGCATATCAAACTGCTGCAAATGCAGCCTCAGCAGCCAGTTCTGAAAGAGAATCCCCCCCCCCGCCTGTTGGGCACCCCTCACACTGCACTGCGGGTTGCCCCGTCTTTGGGCTTAGCTCCACCTGGGCAACTTCCCGCTCTTTGCTGAGATGTTCCCAGAAATCGGTCACGAGGAAGACTCCGTACGCCCCTCGCAGGGCTTGCTCCAGGCTTCGCACGTCCTCCAGGTCTGCCTTCACCACTTCAGCGCCCTTCTTCTCCAGCTCCTGGGCAGCCTTCTGCTGCGGGTTGCGGGTGACAGCGCGCACCTGGAAGGTGCCATCGTCCAGCAGGGCCCTGGCCACCGAGCCTCCCTGAAACCCTGCGGGAACGCAAGGGGGGGGGAGAATCAGAAGCAGGTCAGCGAGAAAGGAAGGAAATATCCGATGCCGGTGACGTGAATTCTTTATTCAAGGGAATGGAATCCTTCTCGGCCCAGTGTCCTCAGCAACCCTTCCCAGCAGATCTTGCCCCTATGGAGAAGTTGCCAGGGCTGAAGGTCCCTGCCTTCCACCCCTCCTAAGATGCTCCTCTCCCAAGCTGTCTCAAACTGCGTCTGCGTACCTCTGGCCTCTGTTCTGCTCCCCTCATTATTCTCCACGTTCTTGGGAGACCAGGAGAGAGGGGAGACTCCCTGGATTCTTCAGCTGTCTCTGCAGTCGGCAGCATGCACCACAGATGCATCGCAAAGGACAAGGCCCGGCCTTAGGCAAGGTCAGTTCCTCAGGTCATCTAGCTGGGCACTGTCTAAACCACCCTTCCTAAACATGGTGTCCTCCAGAGGGGACGATGGCAGCAGCTGATGGGAATTGTAGTCAAGGGCATGGTGAGCTTGTGAACTTCACTCAGGTTGCCTGCAATGCCTCTGTGGATCACAGAACCACGGAATGGTAGAGGTGGAAGGGACCCCAAGGGTCATCTAGTCCCACCCCCTGCAATGCAGGAGTCGCAGCTCAAGCATCCCTGACAGGTGGCCCTCCAACCTCTGCCTATAAAAGCCTCCCAGGAAGGAGAGCTCGCCACCTTCCGATGTGTGGAGACAGCCCATTCGTCACACTAAATGCTCATGTTCATTTTAACTGCGTTGCTGCTTTTATTTCTCACGCTGCATTTCATTGCACAGTACTGTAACTTGAAGGAATTAAAAATAATACAATTAAAACCAACTCAGCATTTAGAACAGTATGTTAAAGTTGCTACAGCAGGCAGCGGAATGTCATTAAATGGCCTACCAGGACCCTAATTTTCAAGGGACGGGGGAATTGGCGAGGAACCACACTACGCTAGGGGGCAGCAAGTTTGGGAGGGCTGACTTCTCTTGACTGGCAGCAGCTCTTCTGGGGTTTCAGGCAGGAGAGCTGGATATGCCAGAGACTGAAGGGGGGAGCAGGAGACTCTTTAATCTCAGGGTTACGGGTTCGAGCCCCAGGTTGGACAAAAGATTCCTGCATTGCAGGCGGTGGGACTAGATGACTCTTGTGGTCCCTTCCAACTGTAAGTTCTATGATTCAATGTCCTACCACTGGGCTATACTCCCTAAAAGGGGGACGTACTGCCTAAGCACGTTTTGAAGCAGACAAAGCAATGCACATTAAGGCCATCTATAGCCCCCCCGAGGTCCAGAGCCTGACATTCCCGAATTGCCCCCGGGGACGCAGATCAGCCCCTCTCCGTGCGAGATAAATCTCCCACCTCGCTGCTGCGCCCACGTCCCGCCGAGATGCAAGAATGCGCGACATGTTTCCTAGTCTCCATTTTGGAAGGTTACCTACCTGTAGCTCCAAAAACTACCACCCGTTTCTTCTCCGCCATCCTCGGAGGAGCTGAGGGTACTTTGGCTGCCTTGGAGAAAGGAAGAAAGAACTTTTGCAAAGGTCTCGAGGGAGATTGCTCCCGCCTTGGCGCTGCTTTCCTGACACCAGGCAGGACCTGGAGGGGGACCCCCAAAGGTCATCCAGCCCAACCCCCCTGCAATGCAGGAATTGCAATGGAAGGATCACGGGTCGGGGGCCCGTTTCACTCTGGCTGAGCCACCAGTTAGTCCCTGGAACGGACTGGAGACCCCACTTGGCACAATCTGGAATGACGGGGGGTGGGATTTCTTCATCCCCTGGTCAATACACGTGTTAAGGGTAAAGCCCTGAATGCACCTGGCCAGAGACTCACGACTCTTGGTGATCACGATGATCCGCAGGAAAAAGGCGACCTGGTGCGAGGGAGCCTCGTGAGCAGCGCGTGACTCCGAAAGGCACGGCGATGTCGTCACGCAGTCCAGGCCGCGGAAGGGAAAGGGAAGGAACTCTGCACATGCTCGGAGGCACTCTCTCCCCCGCAGGGGCTTCACTGCAGCAGCGGCATGGCTGGGTTATATTTTTATTACTATTTTACTGGCTTTGTGGCAATAAAGATAACACTGTACAACAAGGTCCCCACCCGCCTCCCTCCCTGCAGTGCCAGCAGGCGCCGCGCGGGGGCGAAGGAGAGGCGCGCCTCTCGCCCTCCCTTCCCGCCGCCCTCCTCTCTCTGGCCGGGCCGGGGAGGGGCGGGGCGCCTATTTCCGGGCCAGCCTCGGCCCCTCCCCCGAGGGGGCGGGCCCCGCCGCCGTCACAAACGCGCTGCTCGCCCGCCGATAGGCCGCCCGCCGCGCCTCGGAAGCGGCCCTTTGTGCGCGTGACCAGCGCGAGGGGGCGGAGCTCCGTCCGGCGGGGGCGCTTGACCGGAAGTGCCTCGAGACCGCGAGGAGACCCGGAGGAAGCGGCAGGAGCGGCGGCCGGCTGAGGTAACGGCTCCGCGGCGGCCCTTGGCCGGGCTTCCCCTGGGCATGCGCAGAGGGCCGCCTCCCAGCCCCTTCCCCGGGAGCGCCAGGCCGGCCAGCGGCCGCCGTGCCCGCCTCGCAGGGGCGTTGTTGGGGAGGGGGGTCCTAGTGAGGACTAGGAACTTGGGGGGATCAGGGCTCGTTTAATCTCTCTTGCAACCCCCCCCCCATCTTGGAAGCGCCTCCCTCAGGCCTGGCCTGCCTCGCAGGGGCGTTGTTGGGGAGGGGGGTCCTAGTGAGGATCAGGGCTCGTTTAATCTCTCTTGCAACCCCCCCCCCCCTTGGAAGCGCCTCCCTCAGGCCTGGCCTGCCTCGCAGGGGCGTTGTTGGGGATTCAGAGAGCAGGAGGCGGAGGAGGGAGAAGAACCACTCACCCCCCCCTTGAGGTGCCTGCAGGGGGGGTGCAATGACAGCACATAACTAAGATTCCCCCCCCCCCCACAACAACCCTGTGAGAGAAGTCGCCATGAGAGAGATGGCGAGTGGCTCAAGGTCATGCCCAGCGAGGCCCGAGAGGGCTGAGTTGAGGGGGGAATTCGAGCCCTGCTCTGATCCCCACAATCGCCCTGCGAGGGAGGCTCAGGGAGGCGGTGCTTGGCTCCCAATGTCACCCCCAATGAGCTTTGTGGCCAAGGAGGGGTCAGAAACCTCCTTCTAGTCTGACACGCGCTTAATTCCAGTCGCTTAGCTGCATGGAGGGGGTTTTTCCTTCTGCCCACCCCCAATTTCTATTATTCAGCCTCACTGGATTAGGAGAGAAGGAAGGACTTTCTTCACAAATGTGAATAATTTTTTACCCCTGCATCACTTTACTCACTACCCCCACCCAACTAGGAAGCCCCACGTGTTATTTATTGGTTAAAAAGCAGGAGGCTGAGAGTAGGAAGAAGCGGACAGACTCCATCGTGGAGGGATGCAAGAAGTATATCTGGACTTCGTTCTTCCCTCCCTCCCTTGCAAAGAGGGTCCATTTAAATTACCTGATTTATGAACAAGTTTCCTGGTGACCCCACTTCTTGCACCCCTCCATTCTGGGGGGGCGTGTCTTATCTATTCCTACGCTCAGCTTCCTGTTCTTTAACTATGGTTCTGGGATTTACCCAGAGGCAAGTTGCCTCTGGATGTGGAGCCTGTAGTTTAGCTACCACAGCTAATACCATGGAAGAGCCCCAGTGGGTCAGACCAGGCGGCCCCACTGTTCTGGCATCCTGTTTCCAACAGCAGCCAGCAGGATGCTGCCCGGAAGCATCCATGTGGCACATGAAGATTGCAGCCCTCCGTCATTTTACCACCACCTCTCCCGGCCCAAACAGTTGATAGTCTGCAGCTTGCTGCTTCTGGACTTGGAGGTTCCACTACCTGCCATGGCTTCTTCCATGTGGTGAAGTGGAGGATGTTTAGTTGTCCTGCCTGAGCATCTGAAGGTCGTGCTGTTGCTGCTCCCTCTGGAATGGGGCCTGGCGCTATCCTGAGCATCCCACTCCTGTATCGGAGGAAGTGGCACAGAGTGCTAGCCCCTTGGGTCCAAGACTCAATCAGCTTGGAAACTGAGTGTCAAAAGTGCTGGAAATATAGTTAAGCTGCTAACTGTGGCAACTTATTAACATTTCATTGTCCTGTATACTTCAGTTGTGTTTTTTTGAGTAGGCAACTTGTGATTTTCCTTTGGAACTCTACTGGTCCAGCTGAAAATATTAGAAGCAATGTTAGAGGGAATTCGTTTTGGGGGGGAGTGAGGCACTCATATAAGTTCCTAACGGATCCTTTCTCAAGTTCCTTTGGAACTGTTGGCCTCTGAGAAAGAAAGAAGAAATTCCCAGTCTCTGGAAGTGAGCTGTGCCTGAGCAGCTTGTAAGTGGATCATTCTGCCAGCCCTCTGGTGGTATGATGCACAGGTTTTCCTGAAATGAAGGCAAAGGCAGTGGGAGGTTTCCAGGTATCAACAGCCTCCTGACGTCAAGTCCTTGCCTAGTTGGCATGGTGGCGACTGGAATCCTGTGGCAGGAGGTGCCTGGGGTGCGGCCTCCTCCTGGGACATTTTAGAGAAGGAAGTTTTGTCTCTCGAACTGTAATTTGGCTGATGGATTGCCTTGAAGTGTGCACATCTGCAGCAGCACTCAGCTGGTTCCTGAGCTCTGGGATGGGAATAACTTTTGCCCCTATCCATCACTTGCTTATAATAAGGTGCCTTTGTGACTGGTATGTGGTGTCCTTTTGGGCAGTGGCCACTCAGAAAGGAACTGAAGAGCTAACTAGCAGTGATTTGCAAAACGTCTCCATGTTCCCTGTGGTCTAGGAAAGGAACTGGCAGCAGGGTGCATGATTTGGAGCAGGTTTCTGAGCAACCAGTGTCCTCTGATGGCATTTCGATGGAGGGCATGTCTGTGGCTGGTACTTGATGCATCACCAGGCTTGTGTAGCCAAATTGAAACAGGGTTATAATGTATTGCAAAATCTCTAGGCCCGGACCTGATTAGGTGTTGAGGGCTGACTCTTTTAAATCCTGCTTGAGTTGCTCATTTGCACTTTTCCACCAAGGCACCAAATCAGAAATTCATTAGTTAAGCCCAGGATTTCCCTGAGGGGGCTGGGTGAGGTGGTGCGAGGTAGGGGCTGCTGCAGCTCAACAGGTGTAATGGTGCTGATGGGTAGCTTGTGGTATCCTTTTTAAAGCACTGGCACCGTACCTGCTGTTACTTTGTCCCCACTAACTTGAGGAGATGCAGTTCCCATATCCCATCTCTCTCTTTCTGCATGTCTCCCTGTGTCTTGCTGTATTTGTCTGTCTGTCTCTCTATCTCTCTTTCCCATATCTGCCTGCAAGCCCTGCGGTGTTTCTGACTATCTTGTTGTTCTTGGCCATAGGTATCATCTGTCTCGTCCCCTGCGTGTCCTTGATGGCATGGCTGGCAGAGCTGGCTCGCATTCAGCTTTGGCTGCTCCCTCCCTTTGTTCCTCTGGAGCAGTTTCAATGGCTCACCAAGTAGAGGTGGTTGCTGCTGCTGCAGCCCAAATCCTAGAAATGAAAGGCAGGCATTGAAGGACTTCTTTGCTACTCTTTCTGCTGCCAGGGCAGCTGCAGCCCAAACAATGGTTTGCTCAGCAGTTGCACATCAAACTGGGCTCTTTGCTCTCCTCAGTTCTCAGGCTGACCATGGAGCTTAGTCGGAGGCTGTTCTTACTGAAGAGTGGGCATTTTATTGGACCGCACAGTGAAAGTTGCTGGTGACAAGGACTTACATTTGGGGTGGTAGGCTTAAAATCCTGCACTTCTAAGTTGGCTTGGTCACAAATGGATCAGGTTAATGCTTCGCACCACCACGTTGTTAGCCTTTGATTTGCAAAGCTTGGTTTTCAGCTCCAGCTGCATGAATCTTATTTGACTGTTAAGGATGCTGCAGACTTGAGGCTGTGTAACTGACTCTTGCTCTTTCTGAACAGGTAATTGAGGACTGAGCAAAGTGTCCTGCAGCCCAGCCAAGATCCCCTGGTTGCAGAATGTCGTCTGATGTAACAGAGGCACTGGAGGAGCCTGAAGATCTCTCCTATGAGGAGTTGGAGGAGGATGACAGTGTGAGGTGAGGAGGAGAAGGAAGTATTGGCAGAGGCGGGAGATCTTGTCCTTGTGGTTGGATGCAGTATTACTGCATGAATGTGGTTCTAGCTTCAGGTAGGTAGCCGCTTTGGTCTGACGCAGTTGAAATAAATAAATAAATTTTAAAATTGTCCAGTAGCACCTTAGAGATCAACTAAGTTTGTTCTGGGTATAAGCTTTCATGTGCATGCACACAAAAGCTTATACCCAGAACAAACTTAGTTGGTCTCTAAGGTGCTACTGGACAAATTTCTTTCTTTATTTCGACTACATGAATGTGAGTAGGCCTGGAGCAAGAAAATGAAGTGAAAATGCCCCCAAAGGAGACTTATTTGGTTCACCGTAACAAAATTTATAGGCGGCTTAATAAAATAAAATCTGTTAAGTGATCTACATAAAATAGTGGTTATCAACTGAAAAAAAAGCAACACACTTTAACAACAAGTAGACAATACAGTGATCAAAAATACCGCTTCGACACAATTAACTTTCTGCATATTGATGTTCCTGCTGCTGCCTCAGATGTGGGAACTTGAAGAAGGAACGCTGGTGTTTCAGCCTCGGGTGTTTGTCATGCTGGGGGAAACCCCTTCCCTGCTAAGCCAGGTGCCGAATGAAGGGAAGTTTGTTTGGTAATGAAACCCACTCCTCCCTGAGAGATTCTTAGTTGGGGGTCTTCAGAGTCCTCAGCTTGCCATATCCAGAGAATGCTTTCAGAGTTCAGTATCTGTGCTGCCAAGAAGCCCTTCTGGGAAAATGGCACCTAGCTCAGCTCTCTCTGAAGGTGTTATGGAGCTCATTGACGGAACCAAATGGAAGCAGGTGGGCTGGGGGGAGTCTCCCAGATTAGAGGACTCATCCAGGTAAGGCCAATAACTCTGGCCAAGGTGGGGAACAGCAAGGGCACCTGTAGGCAGCAGGAGGCGCCCTGGGCTGTTTTCCAGGCATGTACAAGGCTCTCGGAGGACAGGTTGGTGAGGCTTGGGGTGCTGACAGCACATTGCATGGAGTGGGGCAGTGTAATGCCTTCTCTTGCCCTGGAGTGCAGAAAGGCACAGCAGTGTTTGTGGTGGTTTCATGGGGCCTGAGAGTTCTGGGCTGGTTGTTTTTGGGTGCCGGGAGGCTGAATCAAACACGTGCCAGCTGCTTCCGATCTCGGGCTGCGCATGTAAGACCTCTTCCCCTTAGGCACTTCTGTCTCTCCACAGCGCCACAGACTTGTCTGAGCTGCTCAAGGAAGGGACCAAGGAATCACATGATCGGGCTGAAAACACTCAGTTTGTCAAGGATTTCCTGAAAGGGCGCATCAAGAGGGAGCTCTTCAAGGTGCGTCTTGCAGTGTCCTGGCTATGATCCCTCTTTAGAACAGGTGTTGGCAACCTTTAGCCTTCCAGGTGTTGCTGAACTGCACCTCCCATCAGCCCTGGGCATTGACCATGCTTGCAGGGGCTGATGGGAGTTGTAGTTGAGCATCAGCTGGCGGGGGGGAGCGGCAGCAGAGGTTGCCCCACCCCGTTTTAGCAGATGGGGGATGCGATTCATATGTGCTGTGTGGCCTGTAGGGAGCTCTCTCCCCCAGCAAAGAACTTAGCCCAGCTGCAGGGCGCAGATGCTTCTGGCTCTGTTGAATAGTCCCCCTGTGACTGGTCAGAAGTGGGCTTAGTGGCGGCTGCTCAGCCTTCCCTGTTCACTAGTCAGGGGATGGAGATCTTACTTATATTTTATTTCATAACACTTATACACCACTTTATTATTTAAAAAAAAACCTTCAGTGTTTATAAAAGATACCGTATTGGCCTGAATATAAGCCGCTGCACCACCACCACCACCACCAACAATTATTTTATTATTTATACCCCTCCCATCTGGCATGGTTTCCCCAGCCACTCTGGGCGGCTTTCAACAGAACATTAGACATTAAAAAACTTCCCTAAACAGGGCTGCCTTCAGATGTCTTCTAAAAGTCGGATAGTTGTTTCTTTCCTTGACATCTGATGGGACAGAGTTCCACATGGCAGGCACCACTACCAGGAAGGCGCTCTGCCTGGTTTCCTGTAACCTCACTTCTCACAGTGAGGGAACTGCCAGAAGGCCCTCCGAGCTGGACCTCAGTGTCCGGGGGGTGGAGACGCTCCTTCAGGTATACTGGTCGGAGGCCATGTAGTGCTTTCAAGGTCAGCACCAACACTTTGAATTGTGCTTGGAAACGTACTGGGAGCCAGTGTAGGTCTTTCAGGACCGGTGTTACATGGTCTTGACAGCCACTCCCAGTCACCAGTCTAGCTGCCGCATTCTGGATTAATTGTAGTTCCTGAGTCACCTTCAAAGGTAGCCCCATGTAGAGCACACTGCAGTAGTCTGAGGCTGTGTGAGCCCCCAGCAACAGCACTGGATCCAGAAGCAACTCCTTCGGGGGGACCATCCAGGTGGGCAACATTTTAGCCCACAGCTCCCAGGACTGTTCCAGTCTCTAGTCTTTTGCCTCAAACCTGCTGCCCTCCATAGTCCACCTTGAACTCTTCAGATCGTGGGGGCAGATCAGTGAAATTCAAGCAGCCACCCGATAAGCTCCAAACCCCTCATTTGAAAGGAGTTGCTGACATGTTGCCCAGCCAGTTAGGTGCCCACCGGAGGGTTCCCAAGTAGCATGGCCTGGGGCAAAGGAGGCCAGCCTGAGAGTGCAGCCGAGTGCCCTAGCAGAGCCCCTGCTTCCATGCCCTCCGCATCTCGGCTTAAAAATGGTTCGGGCAACAGCGCCTGGGAAGACTCTTCTCTGCCTGGGACCCAGGAGAGCTTCTGCCAGTCAGGCATTGTAGGCTAGAGGTGGGCAAGCTGTGCCCCCCACCTATGCCAGGCCCCATAATTCCTGACCAGGTGAGGATCTCTGGAGGGGAAGCCGGGGTTCCGTGCTGCCTCCTTTCCCCACATGGCTCCTCTTCTCTCTTGCAGCTGGGCACCGTGGCCCTGTACTTCACGTACTCTGTCCTGGAGGAGGAGATGGAGCGGAACAAGGACCAGCCGGCCTTCACCCCTCTCTACTTCCCCCTGGAGCTGCACCGGAAGGAGGCCCTGATGAAAGACCTGGAGTATTTCTACGGGGAAGGCTGGCGGGAGAAGGTCCAGTGCTCAGAGGCCACCCAGCGCTACATCGACCGCATCCGGCATGTGGGGCAGCACGAGCCGGAGCTGCTGGTGGCTCACGCCTACACCCGCTACATGGGGGACCTGTCAGGGGGGCAGGTGCTGAAGAAGGTGGCCCAGCGGGCGCTGAAGCTGCCCAGCACCGGCGAGGGGGTCCAGTTCTACATCTTCGACAACATTTCCAACCCCCAGCAATTCAAGCAGTTCTACAGAGCCCGGCTCAATGCCCTCGACTTGGACAAGGGGACCAAGGAGAGGATCGTCGAAGAGGCCAACAAGGCCTTCGAATTCAACATGCAGGTACGGAGCCGGGGTGGGGGCAGGAGAAGGCTGTTTCGGCTGCGGAGAAGACCTCACCTGGAGCTCAGGAGGAGGAAGCAGCTTCTGCTGACAGGAGGAGCTACAAACCCTGACCTGCTGCCTGCTGGGGTGGGGGGTGCTTGTGGGAATCCCCCTGTCTTTAGCCAGCCTTTGCCCTCCCTATAGTTCTCAGTCTGGCTTTGAGGCTGGCCCCTTGGTGCTCTCTCCCGGGCAGGGTGGTGCCTCCGGCCTCTGCTCTGGACCGGGTTGCGTGACACCTCCCTCCCCCTACCTTTTGCCCTCCTTGGCCCACATCCTCAAGGGAGCAGTCAGCAGTGCTGGCTCCTGGGCTGTGTGCAAAGGTCACAAATCTGTGGCATCCGTTGCCAGGGTTGCGACTGAACCTGGCGCAGGAGGTTGAGTGTTGTTGTGAAACAAGTTTCTAGCCCCCCGTCGGCAGCATGTGCGCACACACAGAGTGTCAGCAAGGCGTTGCCCAAAGGGGCAGACCCAGGGGCAAAATGTGTCTTCCCGCTGAAGAGGTCCCACCAAGGGATGAGCAGGCCTTGCGGAAATCTCTGCACTGCCCAGGCAACTGCGGCCTGCGAGGCTGCCAAGGCCTTGGCTTGGTTGGTGCCAGGCCCTGGGCTGTTGGACCTCCTTTGACTGGAACCCCAGGCTTGGCGCAGGTGGCACTTCAGAGCCAGCCCTTGACCGGCATGCGTCTCCGTCTCCATCGTTCTGCCCGGACACGGAGGTCCAGCGCCGAGGGCCTTCTGGCGGTTCCCTCCCTGTGAGAAGCCAAGTTACAGGGAACCAGGCAGAGGGCCTTCTCGGTAGTGGCACCCGCCCTGTGGAACGCCTTCCCACCAGATGTCAAAGAGAAAAACAACTACCAGACTTTTAGAAGGCATCTGAAGGCAGCACTGTTTAGGGAAGCTTCTAATGTTTAATAGGTTATTGTATTTTAGTGTTCTGTTGGAAGCCGCCCAGAGTGGCTGGGGAAACTCAGCCAGATGGGCGGGTATAAATAATAAATTATTATTGCAGTGGTACCTCAGGTTAAGTACTTAAATCATTCTGGAGGTCCGTTCTTAACCTGAAACTGTTCTTAACCTGAGGTACCACTGTAGCTAATGGGGCCTCCCGCTGCCGCCGTGTGATTTCTGTTCTCATCCTGAAGCAAAGTTCTTAACCTGAAGCACTATTTCTGGGTTAGCGGAGTCTGTAACCTGGAGTGTATGTAACCCGAGGTACCACTGTAGTATTATTATTACTATTACTATTATTATTATTATTATTATTATTACTCTCACCCGAAATCCGGGCAGCGGGTATAAATGATTAATAATAATAATAATAATTAATAATATTAATTATTATTATTATTATTATTATTATTATTGTGCACCAGGACTCCGGGGGGTGGTTGCTCTGGCTCATGGCTTCTCCTTGCCCTTTCTCTGCAGGTGTTTGAGGAACTGGACAAGATCGGGGCTTTGTTAGCGGAAGAAACCCAAGAGGGAGGCCTCCCCGTGCACGATGGGAAAGGAGACCTGCGCAAGTGCCCCTACTACGCCGCCAAGCTAGGTGGGTCTCCTTCTTACACCTCCCCCTCCCTCTTTGGGTGCCTGGCCTGCGCCCCTGCCGGTCTCTGATTCCACCCTTCTCTCCCCCCTCCCTCTCCCCAGGCGCTGCCGAAGTCTCCAGCTGCCCCTGCCACGTGGCCTTGGCTCTGCTGAAATTGCCCACCGTCCAGCTGGTCCTGGCGGCCTGCGTTGCTGTCGCCGCAGGAGTTGTGGCCTGGTACGTGATGTGAGGAGGCAGCGCACTCTGCTGCTGCTTCCTGGTGACAGTGGCACTTACTTGGCGGGACTCTGACTGTTTCCCACCGACTCAGGTGGAACGATTTAATTAAGAAACCATTAAACCCAAATGCACAAGGAATGAGCGAATGGGGGAGATGCCCTCCTGCCTGTCTGTACATGAGCGGTGTTTTGGTGGGTTAGCTAGCAAGATGGCACTAGAGACACGCACCCCCGGGCTGCTTGCTTGGCACTGCGCTTTGTTGAATACCAAAGCCCTGGGTGGAGCCTGGCAGCTCGTTCCCAGACCCACAACTCCCTGCCCGCCTTTGCCTGGTGGAGAGGGAGGTCTGGGCACGACCATGGGTGGGACCAAACAGTTTGCCTCCTTGCAAGGGGGGGCAGGGAGGGGGCAGGAAGCGTCCAGCCCCTTCCGCTTCCGCTCATGGTGGTCTCCGACTTTGTGGCATTCCAGGTACGTAGTAGACGAACTGCATACTTTCAGTTACCCTCTTGTACATAAGAGAAATGCTAACGGTTTAGTTTCCCTGTAACTTATGGACTGTGTTAACGACTCGGAAATAATAAAATTTATATTTCGGTGTCTTAAAACTGCTGTGTGACTTGGGGATGAAGAGGAAGCAGCCTGACTGCAGGCAGCTCTCCTTGCCGGATTTGTGAGAATGAGGCCCAGCTGAGTGTGCCCTGCAAAGCCTGCTAGAGGGTCAACTGCCCCCAGAGCCAGGAATCCTGGTGTTGCCCTATTCCTCTCCCCCCCCCCCTTCTCTCTCTCTTGTGCTGCATCAGCTGCCTCCACTCACCACTTAGCAGTTGCCCCAAAGCCCTGCATGGGTGACTTCCTGGTGAGGCTTTGAGTGTCTGGCAGACAACCCCCACTTGGTTTTTCAAGTCCTCTTTTTGGCTAACTCCTTGGCAAGTGGCTGGCTTTCACTGCTGTGGAAACGGAGACTTTTAAAGTCAACAGTCGGGCCAACTTGCCAGCTCAGATTTGTCCTCGCCCATTCAAGGTTTGGTGGCTCATTTACGTTGGGGCTTGGAGTAGCAACTTTCTCAAGATTTCGAGGTCTGCCGAGGGCAGTCTTTCTGGCCATTTCCCTCCCCCCCCCACCTCCTTGAGGAGGCAGCAGAGCACTGAACTCTCCTATCCAGCGGAGGATTAAGGACAGCTCTATTAAGCCAGCCCATTTAATCCAACTTGCTGCTTTCCAAGCAGATGCTGAGGAAGATCACAAGATGGGCCCCTCCCCTCCCATGATGGCTGCCTGGAAACTACCACCATTTAGCCATTGCCAGATTTCCCTCCCCCTCTCCAAATGCTCACCATTAGTTTAATCCTCCTGAATTCATAGCTGTCCCACAGCAGCGGCATTTCAGCAGCCGAGCCGTCCTTTTCCTTTTGGGAGGGGGCCCCCGGTGTCAGAGATGTCCCTTCACGAGGTTTCCCCTTCCTACCAGCAGTTCCAGCCAAAGGCCTCCCAAGTAGATGGAGGTGGGAAGATGGGGGCTGTCGTAGTAAAATGCATCATAATTGGAGGGATGCATTAATGAAACTGGCCTTGGCTGTGGCATTCTCCTGCTAGAGAATTTCAACAGGGCAGAATAAAACCGATGAGCAGACGCCAGCCTTCCCAAAGTTCAGGAAAGTCGGAGTAAGGGGGCAAAATGAATGTGCCAGCAGCAAACGTGCAGGGAAGGGCCGATGCCCCGTTGCCTCGATGCAAGTGGTCTCAGGTCCATTCCTCAGCGTCTCCAAGCAGGGCTGGGAGAGCAGCTGCCAATCGGTGTCAACACTCCTGAGCTAGATGGACCAGTGGTCTTAGTCTAAGGCAGGTACAGGTAGGTAGCCGTGTTGGTCTGCCGTAGTCAGAACAAAATAAAAAAAAAATCCTTCCAGTAGCACCTTAGAGACCAACTAAGTTTGTTACTGGTGTGAGCTTTCTGAAGAAGTGTGCATGCACACGACTAAGGTGCTACTGGAAGGCATTTTTTTTATTTTGTCCAAGGCAGATTCCTATCTTCCAAAAGCAGGCAGAACCTTCTCCAGCATGTATGCAAGCACATTCGTGTCTGGTTGCAGGTACACTCAGAAGTGCGATCTCATGCTTGTGCATGCTCATTGGCACATACAGGGGAGAAGAGGGAGCCTCCCTCTCTCTGCGTTTCTTGGGAATGGTCAGTGTGGCCCAGGGAAGGCCCGAGGGGGTTCCAGCTTGCCTTCCTTTCCCTCCCCACCTCCGCCAAATACATCTCGTGTCTCGTTCTTCCTGCTAAAACCAGGAAGTATACCCACCCAATGACCTCTGCCTGGTGCCCCACCTGTAATCACAACCGGTCTCTCTCACACAAAAACACAGAGAGTCTTGTGGGTCTGTATTTTAATTATATAGAAACATGGAAAAGCATCAACAGGTTGCCTCTGAGAAAGAGCATGAAACTCCCTGCTGGGTCAAAATACTTCACAGATGCATCCGTAGTGTTCAGAGCCAAGAGCCTTTTTGCATTCCTCATGTCTTCCTATGCAGCAGCCCTTGGGACGGACAGGGCACCCAGGGCAGGGCGCCAGAGGGCGTGGACTGGTGTCTTAAGGGGGTGGGAGGCCACAGCATCAGGAGGGGGGGGCACATGCCAAACTAAGGTGATACCCGCCATCGAAACGGAGCATTTGGCAATGGACGAGCCCCCTCTGTGTGGGATCTCAGGACAAGCCCTCTTGGCCCTGCTTTGTCCTGTTGCTCACCCATGCAACGCCGTGGCTTTTCTGGAGGAATTAGTGCAAAACCAAGGGGGTGGGGGGGACGGAGGTGTGCACAGGGCCTTCACATTTCTGTTAAGTCACAGTTAAGAGCTTTAATACAAACGGGGGAAAACAAACCACATCACAGAACAGAATTCGGACAAGCAGACTCCGATTAGACAAGGTATTTACATGTGGGGAGAGGGGTCTGGATACAGGGGCCTCCCGGGCCGCCTCTTGGCCTCGATATGCCAAGGAGGGGCAAAGACGACTGGCGTAAGGACATGGCCCAGGGCACAGCCCCCCACCACCAATGACGGGGGAAGGGAGCTGGGCAAAGGGTACAGAAGAGCCTTGCGGAGGCAGCGAAGCTCACGGGGGAATGAGAAGAGGAAGGGACTACTTCCTCAGGGGCCCAAGCTGCCATCTGCCCTCCCCCCAGCTGCCCCTGAGCCTGGCACGGGTCACGCAGCAGCAGCAGGCAGGGGACACCTTGGCTCCTCTTGCCCTCTCCTCTGCCGCCCCAGACCAAAGTAGTAGAGCAGCTTTTGGCAGGGTGCAAAAGGAAAAGTGGGGGGCGCCCCCCAAGCTCAACGGCCAAGGTTTTGCTTTGAAAGAAAACCACCCAACATGCCCCATGATTCATGCCGCGCCTGTGGGGACAATGGAGGTCTGCGGCACCTTGCCTGCCACTCCAAGGAGAGGTCAAGAAAGCAACCATGCCAGGTCTTGGCCCCCTTCCTCACCCTTCCCGGGAGGTCCCCACAGGGATGAGGTTTCCTCGCGCGTAAGGACAGCCCGTGGCCCCTCTAGTCCAGCATCCCGGTCTCACTGGCCAACAGGATGCCCGTGGGAATCATGCGGCCAGATCCTAACCGAGAGGTGCTGGAGGCAGGGAGCCCCACATGCACATGAGAGAGAAAGGGGAGGGGGGCAAAGGAGGCCGGCCACGGCTCGTCCGCCTGGCGGTTGTGGCGCCCGCCCTGCAGCTTCCCCAGGGACCCCGCGGTCCTGAGGCCTTCAAAGCTCTCTGCGCAGGAGGGAGGAGGGAAGACACAAGCGGGGGAAGCGTTGGGCACAGGTGAGTCGGGCCAGTGGCGCGAGGAGGGGAGTGGACATCTCCTGGCCCAGCGGGCACTGCTAGCACATGCGCTTGTACGTGTAGATGTAGGCCTTGCAGTTGGGGCAGGTGTGCGTCACGTCCTTGAACTCGTCTATCAGGCAGGGGATCAGGCAGCAGCCCAAGTCGCACCTGGAAGGGGGGAGAGGAGGTGCCCGCCGTGAGGCCAACAGGCAGGCTGGAAAACCCCAAGCAGCGCCAATGGCGCACCCACCTCCTCACGCAGTCAAAACCCCAGCCAAACGCCCCATTTCCATGCTCCTGCAGGGAGCAGCAGCTAGCCAGACCCCAGCAGGAAAACTCAGTTATAAAAATATATCTATACCGCTGCGTCGGAGAAATACAACAATGCAAGAGCCATAGTATTATACAGTAAAATCCTAAAAAATAGAAGCATGTTGAAAGCAAAAGAAAAACCAGGCGGCAGTAGACCATTGTGGGAGGGTGTGTTCTTAATGGCCTGCCCAGGCCTGGAGGAATAGATAAGATTTCAGCAGGCATTTAAAAGTTGGCACAGAAGGCAGATGCTGAGCTTATTGCAAACTCTCACAGCCTTCTCCCATTTCAGCCAGATCAAACACCTACAAGCAGTGGCATCACAACTGCCCTCCTTTCCCCCCTATTCTTTATTTGCAAATTTATTGGGGGGGCGGGGAGAGAAAACAAAAACATGGTCAGCAGATGTTAATAATTATCCTAATATATTCCTTTTATTATTAATTGAATTGATGCGCCCAGGGCAGGTGACCAGAATTGAAGATCACAATTAGAACGGTTTAAAACAAATTGCAGTCGCAAGAATAGGGTGGCTCCTGAAATATATGGGTATCGCGTGTCAAAGGGCGAAAAGAGGAGCGACTTCAGCATGCAGGAAAACCTGTTCCTTGAAGGCACCAGGTGCGCCTCTGCGGGGAGAAAGTCCCACAGCTCAGCGGGGGCCACGGAGGGTGGAGGAAGTACCAAGAGGGTCCCCTCTGCCCATCGAGCACCTGAGAGGGTCTGTGAGGAAGGAGCTGGTCCTCAGGTATTTGGGGCCTGAGTCATTTAGGGCTTTAAACACTAGCATGACCACCTTGTTCATACACCTTGTTCTGCAATACTTAGCTAATTGGGAACCGCTGGATAAAGCGAAAGATTATGAGTCATGGAGGTGGGTGGGCGAACTTCATAGTGCCTACCTTATTTTTTAGTTGCTGGTTTTGCTAATAGTGTCATACACATGATAACTGTGTGGCTGAGGATTTGCTAATTATACTGTATGATTTATGTGGTACTTGCGATGTTCTACTCCGTTGCTGTTATTTGCTATTTCTAAGCCACTCTGGAAAGCGACGTAGAACTGCAAGGGAGCGAGAAGGAGCCGCAGGATGAGACCCAGCCCCTGCCTGCCCGCCTCTCTCCCTCACTTACCCCACAAAGCAGCAGAAGAACCCCAGCAGGAAGTTCATGAGGCCGATCTCGTGCGTGATCTTGGTGGTGATGGCCTGCTGGCAGTGCGGGCAAACGGTCGGGACGGGGGCAGCCTGGAAGATCTCGCCCTGCAGGACTGTCACGGTGGCCGCGGCCCCCGAGGGCACCAGCACTGTGGCCGTCTGGCCCCCCGCAGGGGCATAGGGGCCGGCCGGAGGGTAGTAGCCCATGGGGGGATGTGGTCCTGGGGGCATGTAGTAGCCTCCTGGAAGGAAAGCACACAAAAGGGGGGCACTTAAAAAAGGAGAGACCCTCTCGCTGCCTGCCTCCCCCCGGGCATGGGCACCCCTTGCTCCCAGATGGGCACAGGACCAGTGCCAGCATAGCTGCCCGCCTCCCTGCAACTCCAAACAGGACACCTAGTGCCCTTGCTCAAAAGGAAGAACCCTGCGGTCAACAGCAGACTCCCTTCTCTGCCATTCTGGATGGAGCTGCCTTGTTGTCAGGAGCCTTAGTCAGGGAACGGACAGCAACAGTTAACGCTTTATTCAAGGAAGCCAAAGCAGCGCAAGCCTAGTAGTCACAGCAACTCTTCCCAGTCAGCCTTGCTCCTATGAGGAAGTGGCAAAGACTGAAGGTCTCCGCCTTCCCACTGCTGCCCAACTCCCCTCCTCTCCAGGTCCCCCCCCCAAGTAATCGGAGACTGCGCCTGCACACAACCAATCTCTGCTCTTCTCTTTTCATCTCTCTTTGTGCTCTTGGAGACCAGGGAGGGGAGCTGGTCGTAGCAGGAGGGGCTCACTGGATTCTTCAGCAGCCTGATTCCTCTCTGCCCCTTGGCTGCTCTTCTCCCGCCTCCACTGTTGCCTCTGCGTCTGGACTGCTCTCTGCCCCAGCCTCTTCCCACTCACTAAACCCTGTTGCCTTTTCTGTTTCCCACACTTCTTGCTTCCTCTTCTCCCTCTGGCCACTCACTGTCATCCTGCCACCAATCCCCGGCCTCTGAGCCTTCTGCTTTTGCAGGTCCCCCACTTCTCGGCAACCCGCCAGCCCATGATGCTCACCCTCCTGGCCACCAGGCAGCTCCTGAGATGCTGCCTTATAGCAGGACACACACACCTTCACACACACACACACACCTGCCCTGACCAAGGGAGGTGTACCCATCAAGGGGTCGTTCTCCTGCACGCCCCCTCCTCTGCCCACCCACCCCCAACTCACCAGGTGGCATGTAGGGCACTGAGCCATCGGTGCCCATGTGCGGGGGGATGAACCCCGGCTGCGGTGGAGGTTCGTATGGCGGGGGTCCGATGTCCATCGGGGGCTGCGGGGCTCCTTGCGGCTGCACCATTGCGGGCGAGACTGCGCCTGCAGGAGGACAAGGGCACCAAAAGAGGGGCAGGCTGCTCAACCTGCCCAACTTGCATTTTCGGCTTGTTAAGCCATGTAATCATGACCATATCCCCTCGAGAACCAGCTTAAAATTTTGTTTTTATGTTGATACGCTTATATGAAGCAAAATGTTTTGCAACTGTGTATTTCGACACAAGGGAAAATCAACCCAAAATTAATTAAAAGAAAGGGGACTGTCTGCATCTGCGGAGAGTAAGGCAAACCCTTTTCCAGGACTGCGGGGAGTGCGAGGAATAGCCCCCCCCCCCCCGGCTCAATCTCAGCTGGATAAGACCATCCAAAACTTTCCAGCAGCCTCCGGAGGATGTCCAAGAAAGTCTCCAGGAAGCTCCTCTCTGGACGCAGAAGGGGAGGCGATTCTTGGCCTAAGCAGTGCTCCCCACTCTTCTCCCTCCCCATGCCCTTACCTGCTGGGAAAGGGTAGCCATCCTTCTCTTCTATGAGTGGGGCAGAGGGTCCCCCCGGGTAGGGTGGAGGTGGGTCACTCGACATGCTTCACGGCTGGCCTGGAGGAGAAAGAGAGAGAGAGAGAGAGGACCTAAGAAGAATGGCTCATCCTGACCACATCCTGTCCTCGCAGTGCCCAAACAGAGGCCCCAAAGGGAAGCCCAAAAGCACCAGAGGCACTCTCCACACCTGCTGGCGTTCAGAAGCACTGCTGCCTCCCACCGCAGAGGCACAGCAAAGCCATGGGGGCTGATAGACACCTCCGACAGGCCTCTTCCCCATGAATTTGCCTCATCCTCCTCTTTTACAGCCATCCAAGTTGGTGGCTGTCACTGCCTCTTGTGGCAGCGAGTTCCATAGGTTAACTATGTGCTGCGAGGAGGAGGACTTAATTTTGTTTCTCATAAATCTTCCAACCATCCGCTTCACTGGGTGTCCACAAGTTCTGGGGTTTTAGATGAAGATGATGGACTATATGGAACTTGCCGAACTGACCGGGAGACTCCAAGACCAGAGAGAAGAGGCGGTGGAAGAAGACTGGAAGAAGTTTAAAGAATATTTGAAAAAATATGTTAATATTTAAATCTTAGAATAGCTTTGGAAGTGGATATAGCCTGTAGGGTTAGAAGTAGAAGATAGTGTATTTTAAAAGAATATTATTTGTAAGTGATAAAATGTGAAGATTTTTATGCTAAAAGTAAGTGTGATTAAAAAAATGGTTAAAAAATATGATATATGAAACTGCTAAAGATGAGGTAAAATGAAAATCAGATGGGGGGACTTGGGGAAGCTCACCTAACAATGTTTAGAAAAAATAAGGATAAGACAAGAATTTGTTTGTATTGTTTGTATTGTTTATTTGTGTTATAAAATTAATTTAAAAAAATTGGGGGGGAAACCAAAAACAAGTTCTGGGTTTTTGAGAGAAGGAGAAAAACTTTTCTCTATCCACATAGTCCATCATTTTTTAAACTTCTGCCCTGTTGCCCGTGACTCACCTTTTCTCTAAACTAAAAGGTCCCAAACCCCGCTACCTTTTTTCACTGGGAAGTCACTCCACGCCTGTCAGTCCCCTTGGGTGCCCTTCTCTGAACCTTTTCAAGTTCTACCAATACCCATTTTGGGGGTGAGGTGGCCGGAACTGTACAGTGATGGAGAGGGAGGACAGGGGTCGGCGGGTGGGTTGCTGCAACCATGCCATGGGGGGGGGGAGCAAGGAAAAAAAGTCCCACAGGCAGAACCAGGCAGGTTGTGTGTCCTGGGAATCAAGGGGCCCGATTCCCTGTCCTGGCTCAGCCTCAGAGAAGAGCAGAGAATTCTGCAGGGAGGGAGGAAGGGCCAAGAGCAATTGCTCTGCTTTCCCTGTGCCTATGAAGCCTGCCCCCGCCCCCTGCCCCGCATATTTATTTATTTTATAACATTTATAGACTGCTTGACTGTAAACAAACAAACCTCGACGTGGTTTACAAAAGGGGGGGGGGACACAAATAAAAAGGGAGCAGATTAAAGCATCCAGGTCAGTCTGTCCAAACAAGCCTTGCCTTTAAAAGTACAGTGCAAGCTCCTGATTGATATCAATAGGCAGGGGGGTCCCATATGCCTAGCCCCCCACCATCCTGAACAGCCCCCCCACAAATTAACACTGCTTTAAAAAACAAAACAAGACTCAGGCTTTTTGCTAGAGTTCCCACTGACACATTTTACAGTGGGATCTACTGTCCACACATCTCAGTTTAGAAGTTATAATAAAACAGAGGCTGGGGGGTGGGGGAGACTGGCCCAGGGTGGTGGTATAAGGAGCCCCCCTCCCTCGGTAAGAGGCAGTTGCCACCCAATGACCTGCGCAATCTGGTTTCGTTTCCCAGGCTCAGGTGCCAGGATCCAGGATCCAGTTGCGGCTGCCTCCTGCCCTGCCCTGCGCCCAGGACAGAGAGCAGCGGCCGGAGAGAGAAACCCACAAACATAGCAAAACAAAAAACCCCTCCAGCCACTGATTGCAGAGAGCAGCCTTTCTTGACCAGTAGCCACGACCATAGCTATCAACGTTTCCCTTTTTTAAAGGGAAATTCCCTTATTCCAAATAGGATTCGTCGCAAGAAAAGGGAAAAGTTGACAGCTATGGCCGCGACTCAGATCGCCCAAGCATTATCCTCAAAGCTTCTTGTGTACACATCTGGACCACGCTGCAAACCCAGTGGTGCCCCAAAAAGGGCTCCTTCCAAGGCAACAGGATCCCAGAAATAAATAATAATAATAATAATAAATAATGTAATATTATTTACACCCCGTCCATCTGGCTGGGTCTCCCCAGCCACTCTGGGCGGCTTCCAACAGAATATTAAAATACAATAATCTCTTAAACATGAAAAGCTTCCCTAAACAGGGCTGCCTTCGGATCCCTTCTAAAAGTCCAGTAACCACCCCATCTGCAGCATCCCACCTTTGCAGAGGAGCAAGGCAACCGTGAGCAGCTGCCGTGAGACAAACCTGCTGGAATCTTGCCCTCTGCCGCATCCGGGGCTCAGCTCCACGTCCCCGGCCACAAGTCGGCCTGAAGAGGCGCCTCCTGAAAGCACTGGGATGCTTCCCCCCCCCCCCAGCTGCAGATGCAGGGCTGGCGCACACAGGAAGGATGCGCTGGCCGATCCGGAGATGGAGAGGAGGAGGCCAGGCTCTCTCCTGGCCTGGTCAGCCGGAGTCAGAGAAGGGCCCCCTGCCCCCCCCCTCCGCTGCACAAGGCCCGGCAGCCGCAGAAGGGCAGCCAGAGGGTCACTGGCCACAAGCGCGGCTCCTTCCACTGCGTGATCTCAGCGGTGCCACGTGATGCAGCCAGGAAAGCAGGCCAGCCTCGCTGGGAACCAACCAGGCAGGGGAGAGCCAGGACTTGGCGGCTCCAGTTTCTCCGCCTGCTTTTCTGCTGGATCCCTGGCAAAAGAAGAACCAAAGTCTGCCTCTCTCTTTGCGCTCCTTCCTCCAGCAGGGGAAGGCTTTGGGGAGCTGAGGCTGTTAAGGAAAGGGCTGGCACCCTGCCGTTGCTATTGTAATTAGTTTTAATAGATCCTCTATATCAACCTACGGTTTTAATTCTAGCTATGTTTAATTATTTTTTAATGACCCCCCCTTCCTTTGAGCTGTTCCTATTTGTATCTGTAAGCCACCTTACAACATACAGTGGTACCTCGGGTTACATACGCTTCAGGTTACATACGCTTCAGGTTACAGACTCCGCTAACCCAGAAATAGTACCTCGGGTTAAGAACTTTGCTTCAGGATGAGAACAGAAATCGTGCTCCGGCGGTGCGGCAGCAGCAGGAGGCCCCATTAGCTAAAGTGGTGCTTCAGGTTAAAAACAGTTTCAGGTTAAGAACAGACCTCCAGAACGAATTAAGTACTTAACCTGAGGTACCACTGTACTATACAGTCATACCTCAGGTTACAGGCGCTTCAGGTTGCATTTCTTCAGGTTACGGACCGTCGAAACCCGGAACGGATTACTTTCAGGTTTCGGCAGTCGCACATGTGCAGAAGCGGTAAATTGCGCTTTGCGCATGTGCAGAAGCACTGAATCGCAACACACACATGTGCAGATTCGCTGCTGCAGGTTGTGAACGCTGCGGGTTGCAAATGTGCATCCCGCACGGATCACGTTCGCAACCCGAGCGTCCACTGTATTAGGGTAGAGCAGGAGACTCTTAATCCCATGTTGGGCAAAATATTTTTGCATTGCAGGGGGTTGGACTAGATCCAGAACCATCTTTCCCATGTGGGTTAGTGGTGCGTCACGCCAGGGCACCAGGCTCTCAGGGGCACCCCAGCGAGTGGGGGAGCTTCACGGCTTTGCTGGTGGCCTCCCCTTTCCCTGTACGCCCGCCAGCTGCGCCCCGCCAACCATATGGCCAGCGGGCACGCAGCTTCCCTCCCAAGCCTCTGCAGGGATTGCTCTCCTGCTGCAACATGGGGGAGAGTTGCACCCCCCCAATGGCTGGCAGTGCGCAGCTTCGCCCCCCATCCGTGGTAATTTGGGGGCGCTGAGCGGATATTTGCACCCCAGCGCCGCATCTGCTGAAGACGGCCCTGTAGAAGATGACCCTCGCAGTCCCTTCCAACTCTGATTCTACCAACAACAAATGCCTCAACTTCCTTGTTGCAGCTTCCATTAAGGAAACGATTCAGGGAAGTGGAGGGAGGTTCTCCTCCAGCGCGGCCTGCAGCCCGAGATGGGCTGTTTTTTTACAACCGCTGGACCTAAACACACTGACCCACACCAAGAGCCGCCTTGGACTGCGGTGCCGTTTTCAGCGCCCCGGAACAAAGCCCCTCTTTGTGCAGAGAGGCTCCCAGGATTTCTGCTGCCAGACGGGAGCCAAAAACCTCGCCAAACTCCAGGAGCCTTTGGGCTCCTCTGCCAGCAGCCGAGCTCCATGGAGACCATCTTGCAGCAAGCAGGCCCTGAATCCCAAGTTGTTTCCTGCATCGCACAGCACTTGCCAGACTCCTCGCAAGCAGTTGGAGCGGATCTGGGGCAGCCTTACAAGCAATCCAGCCCAGGTCTTCTAAGCGGCCTAAGCAAAAACTGGCCGCTGGTCCAGGGGCAAGGAGAAGGGAGGGGGCCCTTTGGGGCAGGCCGCCCCATCAGCCAGGAGGGGGGCCCCCCCAGCAGTTCCATGGTTTTCACTCCGCATGCCGGCATCTTGTGATACGAAAGTGCGGCTCATGCGTAGTTTAAATGCAAACAAACAGGTTTCCACAGTGCTGGGAAGAATCTGGCACATGTCTGGAGGAAAATTTCAAGGGTATCACGTGAATAAGTAAATAAATGAACGTATTCCGCCCTGCGCCCTCCACATGAGACAGTTTTGACAAGCGGACCGGGCAAATTCACCTGTTCATCTTGTGACATCATTATGTCACATGATTGACAGGATCCCTGCCCACCTGCCAAATTCAGAGACCGGGAAACACTTGGGAAAACATCTGACAGCGCTGTCTGAGGAAGCACAGCACCCTCTCCTTTCAAAATCGTCAGAAACAAACTTAAAAAGCAGGGGGGCTGCTTCAAACAGAGCTGCAAAATAAGGCCTCCGCCCCCAGCAGTCTTTTAAGCCCTGGGCCCTCCCAAAGATCTTTCCTGAGGGAGCTTCTAGTTCTCATGGCTACAGGGGTCACTCTGGAAGCCCCACATTCGCCCACCTGCCAGAGACTCCGAGGCTGAATGGGCTCTGCATGGAGACAGTCCCTGCCAAGGCCGCCTTTTGCCCGTTCCCACATTGGCTGTGGGCGCCTCAAGGAATACGAACAGAGCTTGCCAGAGTAAACAGTCAGTTCCTCTGGGCCTGGCAGGTGGCAGAGGCCCAGAGGCAGCCTCCGCGTGGCATGGCCTCCGCTGCCACCAACAGCATCTCACTGGGGTAGGAGGAAGAAAGCTGCAAAGCCACAACACTTCCGCCCGTTCAGTGTGCCCCCTCAGGCCAGGAGTGGGCAGGAATCTGGCTCAACCGGGTCCTTTGCAGCCGATCTGCAAGCATTTCCGACTCTCGGTTACTGAACAAAAGCAGCTCCACCCCTGCACTGCGGGGATAAAGTATGCGTGGGGTAACCAAAAGCGAGCCCCTTTCATTTGTGGCACTCAAAATATATATGCCCAGAATAGTGTATGGGTCTCCGACCGCCAGGCTGCAGTTGGTGGCTCTTGCTGGTTATAGCCTGAGGTCTGCCTTAAGACACACAACTGCCACCAGCTTCTTCCACAGGAAAGTTCGAGATTGTGCCCCAGAAGCAAGAGCCCCTGGCGCCGACCCAACACTTGGTAAAAGCAGCAAACGTGGGACGAATGGAAAGCGAAATTACAGGGGCTTTGGCTATGAAAGGGCAGACAGGAAAGAGTTCACTTGGACTGGCCAGGAGTGAAAATGCTGCTTGCAGCTGCAAAGTTATATCTGTTACCATCCGCCAGGTTCCAGAAGAAACATTCAAGAAGAGAAATACGAGCCTGAAACGGACTCCAAGGTGCCTGCAAGCTGAGGAACCTGAGATCGGTGACACTCGAGTTGTGAGAACAGGGCGGCTCTTCCACACACCCATCCCAAAGATCAGCTGCAAGAGGGAGAAGGGGTGGGCAGCCGGTTTCTGACTAAAGGACCTCCCTATAAGTGTGGGGGGGAGAAGGGACACCTGGCTTGCCAACAGTGCTTATGAAAAGGAACCAGGGGTCTTAGCAGACCCCAAGCTGACCATGACTCAAGAGAAGCCTAATGTCCAGATGAAGGGAAGCGATAGTCCCACTCGATTCTGCCTTGGTCAGAGCCCACCTGGAGTCCTGTGTCTAGTTCTGGGCTTCCCAGTTGAAGAAGGATATTGACAAGCTGGAAGGGGTGCAGAGGAGAGCAACCAAGATGTTACAAGGTCTGGGAACCCAAGCCTGATGAGGAACGGTTGAGGGAGCCGGGGATGTTTAGCCTGCAGAAGAGGAGATGAGAGCCATCTTCTGAAGGGCTGCCCCATGGAAGAAGGAGATGGGAAGACACAGCCTTGCACACGACAGAAGAATGGCTGATAAAATTATGGGACTTAATTGAGACGGCTAAGCTGACATGTTTAATTGCAGAAAAAACCATTACTAACATTTGTTAAGGATTTGAAATTTCTTACGGCCCTTTTGCAAGAAAGAAAACAAAGTTGTAATATCTGGGTCTGAAGACCGAAAAAATACTGGCTTATAGAAGATAGAATGGTTGGATTTTAAAGAGTGAATATCACATGTAGCTGCAGAGAGCAGACAGTCCTTTTATTCTACAGTTTTAGTTTTCTTTCTTTCTTTTCCTTCTCTCTTGTTCTCTCCTTCCTTAGATTTCTCCTTGTCTTGTATTTTCTTCCTTCTGAGTTTGCTCTTTTTTAGCTGAAGTAGCTGTGTTATCTCAGTATATTATAAAAATATACTTTTTAATGGGTATATATATCTCTATTACTTTGAATAAGTTTCAACATATATATATATTTTAAAAAAGATGGAGCCAGCTTGTTTTCTCCCGCTTCAGGGGGGTGGGGGGTAAGACTCGAACCCATGGCTTCAAGTTACAAGGGAGGAGATTCCGGCTCAACATCAGGAAGAACTTTCTGACAGTAAGAGCAGTTTGACAGTGGAACGGTCTCCCTCAGGAGGTTGTGGACTCCATGGGAAGTTGGACGGTTGCCTGTCAGGGACGCTTTAGCTGAGATTCCTGCATTGCCAGGGGTTGGACTAGATGACCCCTGGGGTCCCTTCCAACTCTACAATCCTATGATAAGCAAGTGAGGCTTGGGTAGGGGGCAAGAGGGAGAACAGCCCCTTCCCTCCAAGCCTTCTCTTCCCCAACATGTTTTCCTCCATCGCGGGCTGGTTGCCAGCTCTCCCCTCTTCCCCCCCAGCAGTGCAGATGGCCTCACCCCACAGACTTGCACCTTCAGATGGGGCAGAATCAGCACCAGGCAATGTGCACACAGACTCGCATCCTGAACTGCTGGAAAGGCACTCTGCCCATGCTCTGCGACACTCCCTTTATTCCTACACACTCCAGAGCTGAGAACTGATTAGACACACTAGAGGATCCTTGGCTATTTGCTTCTGTTTCTCCCATGAGTGCCCTTCCCTTCCTTCCTCCAAGGTCCTTGTGGCCGGGGAGATCAAATTTCAAAAAGTCAGAAGAGAAGGAAAAAAGCCTTTGAGGGGGTTTTTTAAAGGTGGGGGGAGAGAAAGACCATTAAGGAGAGAGGCTTAAATAATTAAATGTTATGTGGGGTCTTCTTCTTCTTTGGCAATCCCTCATAGCCAAGTAAGATTGTCTTTTTAACAATGAGTCCGTAAGTGACTATGGAGGCCAATTCTGGATCCACATGTCCTTCCACAGTGGGGACATTGGTTTCTGGGCGGGAGTTGATCACAGTGAGGGTTTGCCAAGTGTGCCTTCCTCTTAGCACATTTCTCCCCTTGCGTCCTGAGTTTGAGGGTCTTCAAAGCCCATGATACCTTTGGTAAAGGCTGTTCTCCAACTGGAGCGCTCGCAGGCCAGTGTTTCCTAGTTGTCAGTGTTTACACTACATTTTTTAAAATTTGCCTTGAGAGAGTCTTTGAACCTCTTTTGTCGACAACCAGCACTGCACTTTCCATTTTTTAAGTTCGGAATAGAGTAGTTGCTTTGGAAGACAATAATCTGGCATCTGAACAACATGACCAGTCCAACAAAGCTGATGTTGAAGAATCATCGCTTTGACACTGGTGATCTTTGCTTCTTCCAGGAAACTGGCATTAGTTTACCTGTCTTCCCAAGTGATGTGTAAAAATTATATATATATGTGGGGTATGCAGAGACCAACATTTCCCCTTCTCATAAACAATTAAAAACAGGTTTTGCTAAGCAATTAGGTGCAGGGCTAACAAGCGCAAGATTAATTTACACCAGGGTCTCTAATACAGGCTTCCTCAACCTCAGCTCTCCAGACGTTTTTGGCCTACAACTCCCATGATCCCTAGCTAGCAGGGCCAGTGGTCAGGGATGCTGGGAATTGTAGTCTCAAAACATCTGGAGGGCAGAGGTTGAGGAAGCCTGCTCTAGCGCCTCAGGAGGTGATGCCACTGGCTTGCATAGCTTTAAAAAATGTAGAAAGCATAAGCAGCCCATTAAGCTGTGCCAGCCAGATAGAGCCTCCTCATTCCGAGGCAGTCTACCTGCCAGTGGCCGCTGATGGGGAGCAAACGGTGGCAGGGCTGCTGCCTTCGCAAGCTGCTTCTGGGCTTCCCCTTAGGTTCCTCCATACAGAAGCACCCAGAGCAGTGTTTCTCAACCTCAGGTCCCCAGACGTTGTTGGACTACAACTCCCATCATCCCTGAGCTGTGGCCTTGCTAGCTAGGGATGATGGGAGTTGTAGTCCCAAAACATCTGGGGACCCAAGGTTGAGAAAGGCTGACCTAGAGAGACTCCTGACAGCAAGCATCTGTCATGCATGCCAAAGGCCCCAGCTGGCAGGAGACGAAGCTCCATCTGGTACGCAGGATGAGACCCTCCCTGCCTGCAGACTGTCTGGCCAGAGTGGTGCATGCTCTGGTTATCTCCCGCTTGGACTACTGCAATGCGCTCTACGTGGGGCTACCTTTGAAGGTGACCCGGAAACTACAACTAATCCAGAATGCGGCGGCTAGACTGGGGACTGGGAGCGGCTGCCGAGACCACATAACCCCGGTCTTGAAAGACCTACACTGGCTCCCAGTATGTTTCCGAGCACAGTTCAAAGTGTTGGTGCTGACCTTGAAAGCCCTAAACAGCCTCAGTCCAGTATACCTGAAGGAGCGTCTCCACCCCCATCGTTCTGCCCGCACACTGAGGTCCAGCTCCGAGGGCCTTCTGGCGGTTCCCTCACTGCAAGAAGCAAAGCTACAGAGAACCAGGCAGAGGGCCTTCTCGGTGGTGGCGCCCGCCCTGTGGAACACCCTCCCACCAGAGAACAACCACTACCAGACTTTTAGAAGACATCTGAAGGCAGCCCTGTTTAGGGAAGCTTTTAATGTTTAACAGGTTATTGTATTTTGGTGTTTTGTTGGAAGCCGCCGAGGGTGGCTGGGGAAACCCAGCCAGATGAGCGGGGTATAAATAATAAATTATTATTACAGTGGTACCTCGGGTTAAGTACTTAATTCGTTCTGGAGGTCCGTTCTTAACCTGAAACTGTTCTTAACCTGAAGCACCACTTTAGCTAATGGGGCCTCCTGCTGCTGCCATGCCGCTGGAGCACGATTTCTGTTCTCATCCTGAAGCAAAGTTCTTAACCCGAGGTACTATTTCTGGGTTAGCGGAGTCTGCAACCTGAAGCGTCCGTAACCTGAAGCGTCTGTAACCCGAGGTACCACAGTATTCTTATTATTAGAAGCGCGGAGCGAGGTGGGCTCAGCCCGAGGCAGCCTCCTTGCAGAAGGGAGGGCAGAGCCTCCACGCGCAGGAGCAGTCTACCCCCGAGCCGCCCAGGAAGGCTGCCCGCACCTTGGTGCCCCCCTCCGGCCCCAGGCTGGCCCCCCTGGGCCACGAGAGGCGGGAGCCCCCTCCCCACGGCCTGGCGGGGGTTTCCTTGCCCCGGGGCCAGCCGGGTCGCCCCCCGCCCCTGCCTCCCCCTGGCGTCCCCCTCCGGGGCTGCTCAGCCACGCTGGCATCCGCACCTGGGTCTCCGCGCTCGCCTGCTGCCCTCCGATCGCGAAGCCGCTCTCGCCGCCGCCGCCGCCGTTGCACCAGCTGTTTCCTCCCTCCGCAAGGGCGGCGCGGGGGCCGATGGGAGTTGTAGTTCTCCGGCGGGGGCGCAAACCACCACCCCCAGCACGCACCGCGCGGCGGCCTCCCGAGGCCCCGAGAGCCGAGGGGCGGGGCCGGCCGGCAGGGGGCGTGGCCAGGCGGTGCGGGTCTCATCCGGAGCAAAAAGCCGGGGAATGACGGAGGTTGAGGCAGGAGGCGCGCCTCTCGCGTGTTTGTGCAATACCTGTTCACCCCCCAAAATTATGCAATGCTCTGCTGTTAAAATAAAATAAAAAGTTGTTCAAACCTACTCCATTTGGGGCAATTAAAATGTTAAGAGTTAAAGAAAGCTTGTGGAAGGAGGAGTGTTAAGGTATATAGAAGTGTACATATGGTTAATTTGAATATGTTGTTATCGAATATTATTGAATATGTATATTATTGAATATGTATATTATTGAATATTGTATACCTAACGTATCAGACACCTGGCGGGTTTCACTGTGTTTTTTGGTGGTTGGTAAAAAATAATTTATATATTTTTTACCAACCACCAAAAAACACATGATGACTTTATTCTTTTCGAAGGGTGCTTTTAAAATTTATTTATTTTTCAGACAAACGTATATGTGCTTGTCTGAAAAATAAATAAATAAATTTAAAAAGCACCCTTCGAAAAGAATAAAGTCATCGGTGGAAAAAAGGTTAAAAACAGCCATTTAAACATTCAAAAATCAAAATCAGGGATAAACTAAGAAATAGATTGAAAAGTCTGTGGCAGGATTTGAATGACTTCCGTGTTACGATGGATATTTATAAGAGAATATATTATTGACGATTAAAAAGAAAAAAGGAGATTAATAGTGCACTAGATAAAATAAGCAGTAAAATGTATGATGGGGTGGCGGGAAGCCGCAGGGAACTCAAGAAGAATGTACAGTGATTTTCTTTTTGTATTTCTGTTTTGATTATATATATTTATATATATATATATTTGTTTCATATAGCATTTCAAAAAGCATTTAAATTAAACAGAAAGAGAGAAAGATTGAAACCCACGCCCTTGTTCTAGATGTGTGTGGGTAAGTTCTTTCTTGTGGTGTTAACTCGTGCTGAGACTGTCTTGTCTAGGAGTTGGGAGGGATCCCAAGGACCTGATCCATTTCCACCCCCTGCAATGCAGAATTGCAGCAAAAACTGGGATGGCTCCGTCGGGAGAGACTCTTAATTCCAGGGAGCCCCATCTCAGGCAAAAGATTCCTGCACTGCGCCGGGTTGGACGAGAGGATCACCGGGATCCCTTCCAACTCTCCGATTCTGCGATTCCCTCCTCACCTGGAATAGCAACCAGGACGGAGCAGCTGTTCGTTTCTTTAACAACCTAGGAGCATCGGAACATCCTACTGCTGGATCAGGCCAATGGCCCTTCTCTGCAGGACCAGCACCTTGTTGTCCCAGGGTCCGGCCGGCAGCGCCTCGGCGTCCTGGTTAGCAGCCATTACTAGCCGCCTCCATGATTTTGCCCGATCCTCTTTTAAAGGCTGCCTCCTGTGGGAGGGAGTTCCATAGTTTTAACTCTGCGCTGCATGAAGAAGGACTTCCTTTATCTCTCCTGAATCTGTGGAACTCTCTGCCACAGGAGGTGGCGATGACCAACTTGGATGGCTTTTTAAAAGGTAAAGGGACCCCTGACCATTAGGTCCAGTCGCGGACGACTCTGGGGTTGTGTGCTCATCTCGCTCTATAGGCGGAGGAAGGCTGTTTTTCTGCAGACAGCTTCCGGGTCATGTGGCCAGCGTGACTAAGCCGCTTTTGGTGAACCAGAGCAGCGCACACAAACACCGTTTACCTTCCTGCCAGAGTGGTACCTATTTATCTACTTGCACTTTGACATGCTTTCAAACTGCTAGGTTGGCAGGAGCAGGGACCGAGCAACAGGAGCTCACCCCGTCGCAGGGATTTGAACCACCGACCTTCTGATCAGCAAGCTCTAGGCTTTGTGGTTTAACCCACAGCACTACCCACGTCCTTTTTTAAAAGGACTGGGCAAATTAATGAAGGAGAGGGCTGTTGAGGGCTACTACTAGTCACGATGCCTCTGTCGCCTCCGCGGTAAGAGGCAGCAATGCTGGAGACCACAGGCTTGGGGAGGGCTCTTGTGTTCAGATCCTGCCATTGGCCTCATCCAGCAGCTTCTTCTTAAATTCTTACTTTGGGTATATATTTTAATTTTATTTCTGGTTTTCTGGTCTGCAAGGTGAGCAGTTCATCAACCAAACAGTTCTGAAGACATTAAGGAAAATGATATATAATGGAATTGAAAAGGATGTTTAAAATAAACTTTGTAAAAAAGCAAAACAAGCTTTTCTCTTTGAGAATTATAGGTTCTGAACTAAATTACATAGAACTAACTGAACTAAATTGTGTAGAAACTTATTCATGTATGCGACTACAGCAGCAAGAATGCTATTCACCCAAAAATGGAAAGAAGCAGAAGTCCCAGCAAAGGAAGAATGGATACAAAAACTTATGGAATCTGCAGAAATGGCGAAACTTACCTGAAGAATAAGAAATCAAGATAACTAACTTTTACTAAAAGAATGGAAATTGTTTATTGAATATTTACAGAAAAATTGCAAACAGATAAACACACTGGCAGGATTATTGTAACAACCTGCAGTTTCATAAGAGTATGTATTTAAAGTAGATAATTAAATGAGCAAATTAAATGAATTTGGATATGCAGAAGATATTAAAAAATAAATTTAAGGAACGGCAGAAAGAGGGGGAAGGAAGTCAAGCTTTGAAATGTTAAAATGATTGTAAAATTAATGAAATGTATAAACCTGAAAAGTATAATTTTTTTTGAAAAAGACGTTAAGGAAAAGGTTTCCTGCCTCTGCCAGGAGCAGCAGCTGGGTTTGAGCTTGCCAGTGGCTCTAGTTTGGTGGGCATCAGGGGACGGAGTGCAACCTGCCAGCCTCCGCCCAGCTCCCAGGGTGCCAAGGCACAACGCCCCCATCTTCCAGCCCCCTCCCTCGCTCATTTCCAAGAGCACCTTCCCTTGGCACCAAATGCTGTTTGAGTATGTGGCTAATCTGGCTCCTATCCAAGTACCGCTGTGATTCACGACAGGCTCGGCTGGTTCCCTGCCTGCGCTGCCCATCTTCCAGAGCTCCCCGTGTTCCGGCATCTCCTAGCAACCAGCAGAAACTTTCCGCGCAGAGCAGAACTCCGAGCAGCAAGCCTGACGCTGTTTTCCCCCGGATAAATCCCATGCGCACATTGTCAGTGACTGATTAACTCTGAACCTACTGGGCTGTGTTGCTGTCCCGTCCCCAAGACAACTAGCTAACCTCGGAGTGGAAATCTCGATACCCGGCTCTTCGGAGGCCGTCTGCCGGAAGAATCATGACCCACAGCATCTCCTTTGCAGAGCTGATCAACCTGGCCATTGGGACGCCAGAACTGGGCAATGTCAACTTCAACGCCCTCCATTTATTCCTGCACAGCCTCTTGGATCACCTCCACCTGAAAGACATGAAGAAGGAAATCACCGACGATGAGCTGGACTTCATCAAGCCCCCGAAAGACCTGGCCACAAGCGTGGCGACCTCCGAGGTGGTCCAGCCGGCCAAGAAATCCAGCTCTATCTTCCACCAGCTGCACGACAGGGTTGTGGCACTCGAGAAGCAGCTGAATTTCCTGAACGAGGCTCCCACCACCGCCGAGCTGCTGGCCCGCAGCCAAGGAGCTGCCCAGCCGGCCCAGGACATGTGGCAGATTATGCAGCTGAAGAAGAAGATGGAAATGAATGAGGCCGGGATGACCAAGGTGAGTCTCCCCGAAAGAAGAAAGGCACCTTCTTTCCTTCCTCTTTTTCCTGGGCAGCTGGCGCAGCACACCTGGATGTGGCCCCCTGCCCCACTACCTACAAAAGAGAAGGGACCGTGATGTTTGCAATGGGCCACCATTCATGATCAGATGGTGGTCTGGAAATGGCCCTGGAAGGTGTAGCCAAGGCCTTGAGGGCAGGGATGGGTGAGGCCTCCTGAGGTTGCTGGACTCTGGTTCCCATCAGCGCCAGCCAGCATAGGCCACATTTCAGGGACGTTGTGGCCCAAGAACATCTGGAGGGTCCTAGGCTCCCCATTCCTGGTCCATATCTGACTTCTGAACTCAAAGGTCTGTATGCGGATGAGGACCAAGAGCAGAAACGGGTGGCTTGAACAGGAGAGGGCCTGAGCTTTGCAGAAAAGGGGTGGGTGTGGGTGTGGGTGTGGGTGTGGGTGTGTAGACTGAGTGCACTTTCCATAGTTCCTATCAATGGCCAGCTCTGCCCAGCCCTCCTGCCAATGGTCTCCCTAGGTGTCTTCTTCTGGTTCCAGCCGTCACTAACTCCCTCTCTGTCCTGTCCAGGCCATGACTACCTTGCAGGAGCTGCTGAACAACATCTGCACCCTGCAAACAGCCACAGAGGGCTTTCAAGGAGAGCTGGGGCAGCTGAAGGAGCACTTCACCAAAGTGAGTATCCCCAGAAGATGGAGACAACACCAGGAAGAGGCATCTTGCAGTGGAGCAGAGGGCATTTTTCTTTCAAAGCGAGGGGGACCCTATGAATGTAGCCTGCCTGGGCTAGGCCCCCAGAGGTGCCTCTCAGAGATATACAGCCCAACTGTGGTTACTCAGCTGGCATGGGGAGGCACTCTGGACATGCTCAGAGCCCCTCTTTCTACTATTGTTTATTATTATTATTATTATTATTATTATTATTAGCAGCAAGTCCACCTATTCTGTGTTAAATGCAGGGCACAGTGGGCCATTGGCACAGCTGCATTCTCCAGCCCTCCAGAGCAGGGGCAGCCCCCTGGTTTATGAGGTCATGATCAGGCCCAAAGATGGCTGGGGCGCAAGTCTTGCAAGGGCCACCAGACACGCCTAAGAGCGTGTAGTTCTTGGCAGGGGAGGCCGCAAACGTGGCCTTCTTTGTCACCTTCATTGCATCTACAACTATCCACCCAATGGAGGTCTTCCAAGCAATGCAATGGGTTCTTTCGTCTACCTTGGAGAGCCCAACTCTGGAACCCCCAGAGCCAATTTTGCAAGGTACTTTGAGGGCAAAATCGCCCACCTCTGTGCAGCTCCGAGTGCCGCCCAGATCACCAATATGCTTTTTGGGGGTGAGGCAATGAAGTAGCAGCAGTTCAGCTGCAGATGCTGTTGGAGGAAACTCATTCCCTGGACCCGTTTCAGCCAAGGTCTGGTTTTGGGGCTTGAGTCCTCCTGACCCACAATGCCCTTCTGGAGCGTTACAGTGGGGGAGTGTGGATGTGGAATTCTCAATGCCATTGTTTGGCTTGCGGCTTTTATGTAAGATGCTTAGAGACCAAAGTTGATACCACTTATTATTATTACATAATAACCATGTGATAAATAAACAGCTCAACGTTGACGAAATGAGGGAGCAGCTCACCCGATTAGATGAGCAGGCCAGGAAGATGGACGGGATCAGGGAGCAATTGGTGAGTGCAACTTCCCTGACTCCCACCCGCCCTGCCCTACGTCGTGAAAGCGGATGAAATATACTCGGAGTCGAGTGTGGATTTCATGCTCTTTATTCAGCTCATAGTAGTGAGGAGGAATGGAAGTTCCCCCAGAATGTCTGCTTTATATACATTATTTACACAATGGGCCCCACGTGATTGGCTAATTCCGGGATTCTCCTGTAGGCCAATCAGGTTGCAGATTCACTTCCACCTGGAGCTGGATTGGGTGGCTCCTGTGGACCAATCAGACTGCTGCATTCTGAATCCTATTGTTCTAGGACCAATCAGACTGCTGCATTTTGGATCCTATTCAACTCAGTACATAATAGTGGAGAAAATGCTTTTGCTCTGTGCTGAGGCTGGACAGGAGCCTTAAATGTTGCTTGTGTGTTTGGAGCCGAGAAGAAGAAACGCAGGACAAGAGCGATGACTTCCTTCCAGCCTCCTGACCTACCTTCCTGGGACCAGGCGGCTCTTCTCAAAGCTGCCTCTGAGCCTAAGAGTGTAAAAAGGACCTGCTGAATTAGGCCAGTGACCCATCTAGTCCAGTGTCCTGTTCTCACAGGGGCCAACCAGGGGCCTCTTCTGGGAAAGCCACAAGCACAGCCGCCCTCTCCCTCCTGCGGTTTCCAGGCAGACCCACTTCCTTCCCCAGAGGCAGGTTTTGTCCCTGTTTTAGATGGGGGACCAGCCAGCCTTGCATGTGAGCCCAGGACACCCACAGCTCGCTCTGAGCACAATACACCTCTGTCTCTCTCTTTTCTTAAATTTTTTATTAACAATTTCAACATAACAGAATATCAAAACATATCATATTCATTATTTCCCCCCCCCCCCTTTTTCCCATTCCCCATCGCAAGGTGGTTAGATTGGTCTCAACTAGGGCCAGGGCCTTTTCAGTACTGGCCCCGACTTGGTAGAACTCTCTGTCCCAAGAGACCAGGGCCCTGCGAGACTTGACATCTTTCCGCAGGGCCTGCAAGACAGAGCTGTTCCGCCTGGCCTTTGGTTTGGACTCAGTCTGACCCTTATGTTTCCCTCCCCTTATGGTTTTGATCTATGGGCTACTTTTAAAATGAGGTTGCATTTTAAATTGCATTTTAACCTGTATTTTAAATTGGGTTTTTTTTTCCTATTATGTTTTCATTGTAATTTTACTGGTGTTAGCCGCCCTGAGCCGGGAGGGCAGGGTATAAATAAAATTTATTATTATGATTATGATTATTAATCAGGGACCGTTCCACAAAGTGGCTCAGCAGGACAGGCAGCAGTGGGGGGCGGAGGGGCAAGCTTTGCTGCCCCTCACTGGGCCCAGTCTCCCTACCAAGACAAGTGGCTCAGTGTGGCTCATGCACAGAGGCTGGCGATACGAGAGGGAGGACCGCTTAGCCAAGCTGAGCCCGTCTGTGGGGTGGGGTGGGAGGAGTCCCCTGGTTTCTTTACAGCCTTTATCGCTCCCAGGCTGGGCCGTGAGCGATGGCCTTCCCCACGCAGGTCCTCACCTGCTCCTTTCCCAATGCAGGGGAGGTTGGGCTCCTTGGCAGACGCTTCGGACCTGGTGCGCTGGAGCTCCCTCTGCGAGATGCTCACGGGAAAGGTGAGTGTGGGGGACGGAGGAGGGGGGCAGGAAGGCAGGTTCCCAGCCCCCACGCCCTGGCAGCCCTTGCATGAGATCCTGCAGCCCTGCAGAAAAGGGAGGGAGGAGAAACTCAGTGCAGAGGCAGCAGGATCCCTGTTGGGCATGCAGAAGGTACCCCCTTGGCACACCTCCACTAGAAGGGAGTGGCAGGGAAGACCCCTCCCTGCCCACCAGCCCTGAGAGCTCCTGCCAGTCCAGGGTTACCACACGTCCCGAATTTCCCAGACTTATCTGGGATATTTATTTATTATTTTAGTTACATACCGCCCTGTACCAGGAGGTCTCAGGGTGGTTCACAGAAAAGACCACAATATATAAGACCAAAATCAAAACAATAACCCAGTAACACCGCCCCCCCAAAAAAGAGCTACGTTTTTAAATATAGGCTGTCTCTAGGAGTATCGGGGGGGGGGAGCTCAACAACTTTTCTTTCTGGGTTTTCACCATTTGAAATATGGCAACCCTATGCCACTTGAGTCTACGTTTGCCACCGGAGGTCAAGAAACTCAGCCAGCTCATGTGGCTGCCTCCAGGGGGCAGGGGGCCTTTCCTTCGGTCCCTCCCCCTGGTCAGTCCATGGAAGGCTGGCCAAGCCTCTTCCCATTGCCACGGCCACCCAGAGCATCATGGAGGCAGCCATGTCTCTGGTGTTCATGCCAAGGCCAGGCTATTCCGCAGAAGCCCGCTTCTCCTGGACCGCCACATCTGGCCCTTAAGCCAGAACTTTCTGACAGTGAGAGCCCTTTGACAGTGGAACGGTCTCCCTCAGGAGACGGTGGGCTCTCCTTCCTGGGATGTTTTTAAGCAGAGGTTGGGTGGCCATCTGCCATGGATGCTTGGGCTGAGATTCCTGCATTGCAGAGGGTTGGAGTACATGATGCTCAGGGTCCCTTCCAACTCTATGATTCCATGAGTTTGGCTCACTGTCAAACGGCTGTCACTCAAGGCTCAAACAGTCAGACCCTCGCTCCACCCAGCCCAGTTTTGTCTGCTCTGGCGGGCAGCAGTGGCTCTCTGGGTCTCTCCCAGCCCAGGGATTGAACTCAGGACGTTCTGCATGCAAGGCAGGCGTTCTCAGCTCACCCACTCCACGGTCTCTCCCACACACGTGCTTGTGTTGCAGAGCTACACCGACCCAGAGGGCTTGGAGAAGTCGTCCCGGGAAGTGCTGGCTACCCTGGGACAGCTGCCCGGGAAGCATGAAGTGCTCCTGGCCCAAATCACTCAGCTGGAGGAGCAGATGAAGCAAGCCGGCCTTCGGGGTGAGTCCTTGGGCGACCCCACACCCACCCCAAGTGGGAAGAAAGAGCCATATACTGGGGGTGGGGAGCAGCACCCAGTTGGGGCTGACACCTTCTGACCCAGAGGCCCCACCAACACATCCGGGGCAGAATTGCAAGGCACACCCACCCACCCCAGAGAGCCAGTGTGGTGTAGTGGTTAAGAGCGGTGCACTCGTAATCTGGTGAACCGGGTTCGCGTCTCCGCTCCTCCACCTGCAGCTGCTGGGTGACCTTGGGCCAGTCACACTTCTTTGAAGTCTCTCAGCCTCACTCACCTCACAGAGTGTTTGTTGTGGGGGAGGAAGGGAAAGGAGAATGTTAGCCGCTTTGGGTAGTGATAAAGCGGGATATCAAATCCAAACTCCTCCTCCTCTTCTTCTCATCAGCTGGTGGGCCGGTCTGGAGCCAAGCTCAGGGGCCAAGTGCGGAGATGCGCTCTCTGCATGCCCAGAGGCACCCTCTGTTACAGTTACCTTGGCTCCTCCAGAGCCAGAGCAATGGCCCATCCAGCCCAGCCTCCTGCTCTCCCAGTGGCCAACCAGGTGCCCCACAGCGAAACCAGTAAGCAGGACCTGAGCAGTGTGGGATGTTCAGGGAGGCAGGAGAGGATGTATTGTTCATTAATATCCTTCCTAACTTGTGCTAGCAAGTTCCTTAACTTAGCAGAGTTTTACATTCCCCCTTTAAACGCACAGCAGATAGCTGGTTGCAGGCTTGTTTAAGCCTCTCAATATTAGGCTCCTGGCAAGTCCCCTTATATCCCTCTTAAAAGAATGAACATGCCACAATCTTGTGAAAGTATATAAAAGAAGTTTACTCACATCATCAGTTCACAGTTGGATCCCTGAAGGCAGACTTAGTTACAAAGTATATACATGTGGATCTATCCCATGTGGGGACAATCCCAGTGTCCTCTGGAAGACAACAGAGCATCTCTAGCTGAAAAGCTGCTCCAACGATGGTGGAAGTCAAAAAGAGAGAGGGTGCTGTGTGCCTTTTCCTTTTGTTACCTGGACAGGTAAGGTCACACCCACCTGTAGTCACATGCAAAGGAAGTATGTTCCAGCCAGGAGGAAACAGGAAGTTTTCAACTGGCTGGACCAAACACTCCCCTGCATGTCCACTCTAGGAAAACAAGGAATGTTGTACTTGACTGCTACTTATGTATCACATCCCACATAGAAGAGCAACTTTTCCTTCCTGCAGTTTCCAGACACTGGGATTCAAAAGTGTGGCTGCCTCTGACTGTGGAGGGCATGGTGACTAGGAGCCATCACTTGCTCTCTCCTCCAGAAATTTGGAGGATGAGGCAGCCCAGCTGTGAACCTTCTCTCTGCTTGCAGGCCTTTCTGGAGAACCACCTGAAATGGAGTCTCTGCTAGAGCGAATAAACTGGATCCAAAGTCAGGCTGAGAAGGTGACTTCTGGAGCAGGGGGCAGGAGGGGAAGGGGGCGCTCAGGAAGGTCCTCCACACCACCCAGCTGTTGCCTGCCAGGTGGGTGTGCACCCGGTAGAATCCAAGGGTGCACCTGCTGAGTCTCCCAGCTCCTTTGCTTGCTTTCCCCAGGGTAAGGAATCGCTGAAGGGCACCATGGATCAGATGCAGAGACTGAAGGATCAGTGCGAGAAGCTGCAGACAGGCATGGAGAGGATGATGAAGAGCACGTCAGACATCCAGGTGAGCAGCGTCACTCGCCTGGGAAACTCTGTAAGAAAATCAGAAGGGGGTCCGTCTAGCTAGTAGCTATCAATAGCCATCACTGCTGATGGCAAGGGGAATATAGGGTATAAAAGGAGAATTCCTGGATGGCAGGATCCAAATTTGGGGCAAGTACTCTTTGGTAAGAGAGCCCCAGCAGAGTTTTAAAACCACAAAATATACAGCAAAATTTGGAGATATTATATAGGCTGTTACAATGTGCCCTTCTAAGTCTCTTCTGAAGTTCCCCTCTTTGCCTAGTGTAGGAAAAGATCACACATTGAGTGAGTTGAAAATGGTTTACTTACATACTCTCCAAAGGTCTATTTCATGCACCTTTCCATACATCAGCCAGAAAACACAGGCAGTACAACTTGGTTTAGTTCAGTGGTGAAAGTTCCTATATTATTTATATAGAAACACAAAAATGGCTTGTAAAAGCCATGCGGTCTGAGCCTTTTTTCATGGCCAACATACACTGGATCAACTACCCTGCTGCCAGCCAATGCCTGTGTGAGAGGCAGGGAAGATCTCCCAGGGTGGGCAGCTGGGAGAATAAAGGGAAGAGCTAAGAGGGTCCACCCCTTTTGGGTGAGGCAAAGGTTAAGATTTACCCCTGATAGAGGGCTTTGCTTTTTTTTTTACCTCCTCTTCTCTCTTTTTGTTTTATTCTTGCTTAGATTGGGTTTTTTATTATATTGTATAATGAAAAATAAAGGGACGTGGGTGGCGTTGTGGGTTAAACCACAGAGCCTAGGACTTGCCAATCAGAAGGTCGGCGGTTCGAATCCCCACGATGGGGTGAGCTCCTGTTGCTTGGTCCCTGCTCCTGCCAACCTAGCAGTTCGAAAGCACATCAAAGTGCAAGTAGATAAATAGGTACCGCTCTGGCGGGAAGGTAAACGGCATTTCTGTGCGCTGCTCTGGTTCGCCAGAAGTGGCTTAGTCATGCTGGGCACATGACCCGGAAGCTGTACGCCAGCTCCCTCGGCCAATAAAGCGAGATGAGCGCCGCAACCCCAGAGTCAGTCACGACTGGACCTAATGGTCAGGGGTCCCTTTACCTTTTTATAATGAAAAATATCACTTTAAAACTTGTGCAAAAATCCCCGGTGCCTGGACACACACATGTGTGTTCCGAATAATCTCGGGGCATAAATGCCGGTGTCAAGTGTGGCTTCTGTTCCTGTGCACAGACCATGCGCATCATGTTGGAGCAGCTGGATATCACAAAGGCAGACAAAGCCCTGATCCAGGAAGAGATGAACGTGGTAAGTGGACCGCGTGGAGCTGGGAGGGGGCTCTTGCCTCCAGGGGAGGCGCATGGTCTGAGTGACGGGGCCCTTCCCTCTCTGAGAGCTTAGCCTCTAGGGGAGGGTTGCCTTCCTTGGCCCCCCTGCTGCTGGAGGGCACTGGGGAGGGCCTTGCTGCTTCTCCCCGCAGAAAGCCGACAAGAGCCAGCTGGAGGCCAAGGTGAACCATGTGGAGCTGCAGTCGGCCACCGCCCAGCTGAGCGAGATGATGCAGGACCTGCTGCAAAAGATGTCCCTGCAGGACAAGGACTGGCAGAAGGCCCTGGAGAAGCTCTTCACCGACATGGACTGCAAGGTGACGCCCTCCTGGCAGAGCCACCAAGCGCAGGCGGGCATCAGGGGCAGCCCGGCTGAAGCCTCGCTTACTGGGATCCTGTGGTTTCCGGGTTCCAGCAAGACCTTGCGAGAGCGGAGGCCTCCGTGTGATTTTGCACGGCTCTTGCGAGATCTCACCGGAACCCGGAAACCAACGCAGTTGCTTCTCTGGCCGCAGAGGGGCGCCCATGGAAGTGCTCCTTGGAATCCGCCGCCTGAGGCAAATGTCTCCATCTGCCTCCTGGGTGGCCCAGCCCTGGCAGACATCCTTAGCGGTGGGCAAAGTTCCAGCTTGCATTCCTAGGGCTCAAAACCTCCTGGCGTTCCTTGCCTGGCATCATGGGCTGGTTGGAAGCAGAGGAAAGTTGGGAGGGAGTAGCTGGGCAACCCCCAAGGGACGAAGGCTCAGAGCCCAGGGAGTGGCAGTGGGATGATGATGCGGTGTCAGAGGGGGAAGACTGGGAGGAGGTGTCAGATGAAGGAACAGGGCTGTGTGAGCTGGGAGAATCAGTGGCAGTCCAGAATCAGAGGCAGAAGCTGAAACAGGAGAGGAGGAAGGCCAAGAGGCAGAGATGAGTCTGGCTGGTGAAGAGGCAGCAACTCCTGCTGGTCTCCCAGAACCAGGAGAGGCATGAAGAGGGGGGAGTAGAAGTTAGCTTCACACAGGCATAGTCTCAGATTGCTTGGGGGAAACCCTGGAGAGAAGGAGACATAGTCAGATGTGGGGACGTTGTTATTAAAATGCGTATATCATCTCAACCTTTAGTCTCGGCCGCTGATCCGTGGGGAGGGGCAAGACCTACTGTGGATGAGCTGCTGTGCTCATTTGGCCAGACACTCCGCCAAGTCTGTGCGGATCCTGGCCTTGCTAATAAAGCCTTAACTCCAACGTGCACAGTGCGACTGACCACTGGCTCACTCCTGCCACCTCCCCACAGCTGGACCGCATGGCCCTGGACCCTCTGAGCCGCCAGCTGGAGCAGGTGTGGCAGGTCGTCAAGAAGTACCTGAGCGAGGGCCCCCGCTTTGACGCAGACAGTGCCGCTGGCTTTAAGAAGTGAGTGGGGGGTTTGTTTGGCAGGGAAGCTGGGGCTGAGCATCTTCTCTCCATCGTCGCAAGAGGCAGGGCAAGGGCATCCCCTCCGCAGTGCCAGCTGCCACTAATTTTTGCAGCACCGCTGCAAATCTGCCTCAAGGCTTGCAGGCTGTCAGGATTTATGATCTCCCTCTCACACCAAGAGACAGCAGGCTGGCGGTTTTATAACATTCATTAAAAAAAATATATATTTAACATAATTATTACAAAATACAAGCAAAATACTGCAAATACATACATACATATGTATTTCAGATAAGCACACATATATAAAAAAGAATAAAAAAGGAAGAAAACAAAAAAGAAAAAGAAAAAATAAGGAGAAAAAGAAGAAGAAAAATTGGAAGAATTTCTTCCAAATTTACCGTATTCTACAAATATCTCAATAATAAAATTTCATTGATTGACTTCCATCACTTATACTGCACTTCCTATATACATTTTAAGCAAAATTGTATCTGTAATTCCGTATTTTTCCCGTACAATCTCATACAAATATTCTAATCAATAAGTTTTCTAAATCTTTCATAAATCTATTCTAAACACAACCAATACCTTACATTTAATCTTTGTCTACATAAATAATCATTTAAACATTTCCATTGTTTCTGGATTATATTTTTTGGTTTTTGTCTTATCAAATCAGTCAGCTTTGCTAATTCCAAGTATTCACATAATTTATTCAGTCATTCTTCTTTGATTGGAACGTAATTCCCTTTCCAATTATTGGCTATTAACATTCTCGCTGCTGTTGTCGCGTACAAGAAAATATTAATTTTGTCATTCAGGATCTCACCATTCAAAATTCCTAATAAATATGATTCTGCTCTTTTATTATGTGATGTTTTTATTAGCTTTTTAATTTCCTCATGTATCATATTCCAATATTTCTTAATTTCCAGACATGACCACCACATATGGTATAATGTTCCAATCATTCTATTACACCTCCAACACTTATTATCACCCGATTTTTTCATTTTTGGCAACCTATCTGGCGACATATACCATCTATGATGCATCTTTATGAAATTTTCTTTCGATTGATAATAAGCCGTAAAATTTATATTTTTTTGTCCACAATTTAACCCAATCTTTGTATTCAATTTCATAACCCAAATCTTGATCCCACCTTAACATATTCTTGTTTCCGTTCCACCTTAAAAAAGGGAGCAGGCTTTGTGAGTCACAGAGTCTGCGTATTTCCTGTTCACAGGAAGTTTATGTTTTGTATGTGCTTTCGTTTTCTCTGTGTCTGAGACACTGAAGCAGGCAGTCATGTTTTTTTCTTTGTTCTGACCAACGCTGAATAAACTTGTAAATATGCTCTCCTGAGTGCATCTTTCGCTGTGCAAAAGTCTGCTGAGAGAGCGTGCACCAGCTCTGGAATGTGGCAAGCTATTTCTGAAGCTAGTGTCGCTAATTGATTGATATTGCGTTTCTACGGGAGGTCGATGGACGTCCGGAGACAGCGTGGGGGCATAATGACTTTTGTCTCCCTGGCAGTATCCCAACAATTCTTACTTTTAATTCCTTGATCTATTTGTATATTATTTAATAATTTATACATTTTTGTAAGTATTTTTTGTTTATTTTTGCAGCACCGCTGCAAATCTACCTCAAGGCTTGCAGGGTGTCAGGATTTATGATCTCCCTCTCACACCAAGACTGGTGGTTTTATAACTTTCTGATTTATTGGTATTTACACAGTAGTTCAGTCCAAGCACACAGCTCAATCTTCCTCACTCGATGGGTCAGTTGAGCCCACTGGAGGGTGGACTCTTTTCCAACAGGATATACGCCATCTGCTCTGCCTTCTATTGGCCTGACACCAAGCCTGAACTCTGCTCATCCTCCTAGTCTGAGGAGACTCATGATCAGATTGTCCAGTTTGCCTCTCCTCCCCTGAGAGTGTGTCTGAAAGCTCCTGCCCTTCTGTCTGCCTTTCACTGTCCTGGGAATTTACGACTTGCATTCCAGGACGAGAGGGGCTCGCCTCGCCTCAGTCTCTGCATATGTAGAAAGCAAGCCTCTTGTCACTTTCTGCCTGCCACCCCCCTTGGTCCTCAGAGCCCTCACAGTCGCTCTGGGAAGGGACTTTCCTGATACAGGGCTTGGCACAGATGCCCAAGTGGCAGAGTGCAGGCTGGCAAGGGGGCTGGCTTGTTCTTCTTCTTCTTTTTAATCATTTTTATTAAGTTTTCCATTTTAACAATCCAATCCAATCACTTTAAATATTCCAAATTATACATATACATATCAAATAATCAAAATATTCTGCCGAATTATAATTTTTTTTATTGGGACTTCCCATGCTTCAAGTTTGGGGGGGCTCTGAGCATCTCATATCTCCTGCTTTTGATAGTCATTTCCAATAGTTCCTTTAAATCTTCCTGTTGTTAACATTCCTTCTTTCACAGCCTCCGAGTTGTTCCCACAAGCGAGATGAAGTAAACAATGATATGTTTCTGTGTGAATTTTATGTGTATGATTCCCCGTCCATTTGCAGTATCTCCTCACACGCTGGTATTTCTGCCGAATCAATCCAAAGGTCTTTTCGCTGCTGGCAGCTGCCATCTTCCCTCAGTTCTGATGAAATCAATTCTAGGCATCTGCTCATTAATTTTCCCAGACCGGTTGCATCAAACATTAGCCTTTCCGGAGGAGATTTACCAAATCGAACTTGAACTACAAATATAATGACATATTAAAGGCTCACCTCCAAGGGGGCAGGCGTCTTCTGCCGGCTCTGCGGCCGCTGACCCCCACCCAAGCTGCCACGTGAGACATCTTCAGGGTTATTCCATGGAAGATGGATGGGAAAAGGACTTCCTTCCTCAGGTGGTCAACTCGGGTCTCTTTGTGCTTTTCAGACAGCTCTTTGAGAGAGTGAAGTGCATCTCCTGCGACCGGCCAGTGACCATGATGACCGGGCCGTGAGTACAGAACCCCTTGGTACCTTGCAGGGTGGGAGGAGGGTGGCTGCTTTGTGGGGGAGGCAGCCCTGGGCCTGTCAGGAGTTCAGCCTACACTCGAGTAGGACCCTGGTAGGGACACATGCCCAACTGGCATGTTCTCTGCCTCCTGGTCAATAGTTCAGGAGCTTCAAAAGTTTTCTTCAACCCGAACATCACAGCAACCGATGCCAACAGACATCGGCACACTTAGGGATCCACAGAGTTTGCGCAACTTGCGTAACAGACCTCAGCAACTCAGCATTTTGGCTAATCTACTTTATTTACATATAAACACCCACGGAGCACTGCAACATGGCTCCCCCTCTCTCTAGCATCAGACAGCAAAGAGAAAAAGAACAAAGGACAATAGTCCCACTTCATGGAACACAATAACACAAAGATCCTGTCTCCATCACTTCCCACTCTGTGGAGTCAAAATGTACACCGACATGTGATAGACAACAATCCCATGACTGCAGACACGGAGCAGGAATTCTAGCAGCCCCTCCGTCTCACCCCCCTCTCTTTTCTTCTTTGCAGACACATGGTGACCATGCGGAAGGGCAGCGCACGCCGTCGTCCGGCTAGTGCCAGCGGCTACGAACACCTGACACGGCTGCAGAGGAAGTGAGGAGGGGGCACTGCGATGGGGGGGTGGGAGTCGCGGTTGGGGAGCCCTGCTGATCACCCCACTCGGAGGGATGCTAAGGGGGGAGGGCCCTTTCTGCATCTGAAATCAGGGGCAGGCAGAATCGGGGCTCAACCAAACTTAAGGGCAATCTTTCACGATATGGCTCCCTGCGCAAGGCCAAGATTTGGCTCCCTCAAATGGATCTTCTCAATTAAGGATGTTCTCGATTTTGCACCCCCTTGGCTTGGTGCCCTGTGCAGAGGAACCACCCCCACCCCAAATCTAGTGCTGCAGGCATCCACTTCTCCCAGGTCATATGTCCAGTTTCCCCCGGACATATCCACGACTCCAGTGGCAAAATTACCATTCGGGGGAAATTTCTAAAAATCGGCGAAATGTCCCAGTTCCCCTCCCCTCCAAAAAAAAGCTCAACAGCTTTTTGTATCTGGATACTTCTTGAAATACGGCAACCCTCGTCTGGGCAGTTTTCCACTTCATCTGTGATTTCTAGAGATGGCTCTGAGCAGTTTCCCCCTCGTGCCACTCCTCTCCCTTTAAACCAGAACAAACAGCAACCTTTGGAAAACCCAGCTGCCGTGAGCTCCGTCCGATTGAGCCCTAAAGAGCAGTTTTTCCTGGAGGAAAGGCAGTGAGACAAGAGAAAGTTTGGAGAAGCCCTCAGCCTCTCTGGTTCAATGTATTTTACCTTCCTGTTTCTGGTGGCCGGCCTCTCTCCAGGGTTCCTTCCGTCCCCAGAGTCAGGGCTTTTTCTCTCTCAGGGGGAACTCACAGGAACTCAGTTCCGGCACCTCTCTGGTGAGTGCCATTGTCCAGGGGACTAGTAGAAAAAAGACAGTCAAGGAACCGAGAAATTGCACAAAACAAATGAAATACTGTGAAAATCCCTGAAACGAGAAGTAATTGACTGGAAATATTATCTTATGAAATAAACGAACTAATACAAATCAAACAGTTTATGGGAAAAATCAGAAAAACCTAAAATTGAACAAAGCCTTAATGGGATGCCAGCTACAAATCTCGTTTCACTGAACTATTCAGTTTCCTCAGAAGGAAATAGAAAAATCATAAACCTTAAATGACCATTTAACATCAACAGTAACATCTAGACCATGGGAATGTTTCAGCCCTGTTCCTGAGTTTGTTTAAAATCTGAAACAGCTTATCTTGTATTCCTTTCTTTGAATTTGTGCCATTTAGGTTTTTTAAACCTTTTTGTAAAGGCAACGCTAGAATTTTCAAAGCTGAGTCCTCAACTCTTTATTACTGTGCTTTGCTTCCTCTAAGTTGGGCTTTGTCTAAAACTTGCGATTTAGGTTTTCAAACCCTTTTTGTACATTCAGTACAGTGGTACCTCAGGTTACATATGCTTCAGGTTACAGACACTTCAGGTTACAGACTCCGCTAACCCAGAAATATTACCTCAGGTTAAGAACTTTGCTTCAGGATGAGAACAGAAATCGTGCTCCGGCGACGCGGCAGCAGTGGCAGCGGGAGACCCCATTAGCAAAAGCGGTGCTTCAGGTTAAGAACAGTTTCAGGTTAAGAACGGACCTCCGGAACGAATTAAGTACTTAACCCGAGGTACCACTGTATTAGAAATTGTACCTTTGAGTCCTTAATCCTTTATTGCTGTGTTTTGCTTCACGTAGGTTGAGCTAGGATTATAATACTTCAGAATTTTGGGGAGTTTTACATCCTTCCTGTGAATTTTGGTCATTTAAGGCTTATGATTTTTCTATTTCCTTCTGAGGAAACTGAATAGTTCAGTGAAACGAGGTTTGTAGCCGGCATCCCGTTAAGGCATTGTCCAGGGGACTGGCAGTCTCCAGCCCTTGAAGATGAGCCCCTGGCCTGGTCTTCTTTCCTCAGGGACGGGGAGGCGAGCGAGGCCAGTGGCGCCCAGCCCCCGCAGACCTGCTGGCAGTGCCAGGCCCACCACCAAGCGTGCACCATCAAACGCCTGACCCGATCCCAGGACCTCACCACCATCTACCCCTACGGAGACCCGACAGCCATCACTTACGACAACGTGAGCGGCCGCTGGGCCACCTCGAGCCGCCTGCCAGGGGGAGGATGCTGGGTGCAGGGTGGGAGATCTGCCTGAAGGACCACAGCAGCGAAGGGTGGCCCCGCTGGATCTGGGCCACTAAAGGCCCATCTAGTCCAGCCTTCTGCTGGTGGCCAGGCAGGGCTGGCCAAGAAGCCGGCAAGCCCAGCTGAAAAGCCAAAGCCCCCAAAACTGCCGGAAGGTAGACTGTCACTGAACATGGAGGTTCGACTGCGGATCCTTCTCTCCTCCTCTGTGAAGGCATTTGGTGGTAACGCTTTCTTCAAGAGATCTGAGCTGGTATCTGGGCCTGGGTTGGGTCCGTTTGTTTCCTGATTCCCAATATTTATATGCCACCTAGTGATAAATGCCCTGTTGGTGGCTTACGAGCAAAAACTAAAAAAAACCCATAAAACGCAACTTGAAACTAAAAACCTAAACCAGCAAAAAGCAGTGGAAAGAAATATTTATGACTGCCGTTGTCTTCACCCGGCGCCTAAAAAGGTCATTGTGTAGGCCAACCTCTCTGGAGGGGCCAACGCTGGAAAGGCCCTGCCTCCGTTTGTTTCATTTTGCCACACTCCGCCCTGCCCTTACTGGGTCTTGGCTTGGCTCATCTCTCACAGCCTTTGTCCCCCTTTCAGACCGAGGTGGACATCCTTGGCGTCAATGGCGTCCTCTACAAAGGCCGGGTGGACTCCCAAGCAGTTGAGCGCTCCCTCGCCCTCCAGAGGGAATTCACAGGTGCGGCACTTTGGGGGCAGTGGGCACGTCTATGGCAGTCCTCTTGGGGGTCCAGTTGCCCTTCTGCCTGGGGCTTCAACCACACAAGGACCTGGCCTCTAGCTCTCTCTCTCTCTCTCTATTGATGGGTTTTTTCCACGACTGGCTTGAAGCAGAATTAAAACAGGGGCTCCAAGCAGCGTATCTCATCTCTCCCCTGGTCTCCCCGGTCTAGTGTGCCAACTCTACCCACTACACCACACTGCCTCTCCTGCTGGAGCAAGAGACAGATGAGTGAGCAAGCAGGTGGCCATTGGGGAAGGGGAGGAGGAGGAGGAGCAGGTTCAGGGGCTTTCGGCTGACCGGCCTTCTCGCTTCCCTCCCCTGCCAGTCCTGAAGTGTCCCCGGCCCCCCTTGGGGAACAGGATGGAGAGAGCCCGTTCTGCCTATGCCGACGTCAGCGCCTCGCCCTATGCATGTGAGTCTTCTAAGCACGCCTGGGCTGGGGGAAACACTGGCAACTGGGCACCAGGGAAGAGGGGCTGGAATCGGACTCGGGGGGCCGTGATCCGTGGGGGACGGTACCAGCCGGGAGCTGCGGAATGGGCCAAATAAGAGAATCCCTCCTCCTCCGCAGAGGTGATTTGAGCCTGGATCCAGCAAAGGCTGTATTGCAGTTGCTAAATCGTATGGCAGCAGAAAGCACAAACAGCTGTTGCTTCTCTCTCGCGCTCTCTTTTTAATTATTTTTTATTTATTTTTTGAAAAATTGTCTATATATAAAACAAAACCATTTCAAACATTAAAATACAGAGTCTTTCGAACCCTTAGACCTTCCCTTCCTCCATGGGTTCCATCTTTAAGATTAAATTTACTGCATGTTTTACCCTTATCTATCTATTATATAACCATAATTACCATAAAAAAATTGCCACATTACAAGTGTCCCTGCCAAAGATTTTAACTGTTTGCAGTGGTCTTTTAAATAAATTACAAATTTACTCCAGTCTTTAGAAAATACTTGATCTTCCTGGTTTCGGATCTTCCCCGTCAGTTTCACCATTTCCGTATGCTCCATCACTTTCACCTGCCATTCTTCTTTTGTTGGTACTTCTCTTTCCTTCCATCTCTGGGCTAGTCGTTGCCGTCGTTGCCTACATAAAAAGTCTTTTATCTTCTCTTGGGACCTCTTCACTTACTATACCTAGTAAAAAGGCTTCTGTTTTTTTGACAAATGTATTTTTAAACATTTTCTTTAACTCATTATATATCATCTCCCAGAAAGCCTTTACCAATGTACCGGTACATGCCCACCACATATGACAGAAAGTGCCCTTTTTTCTCTTTGCATTTCCAACACATTTCAGAATTTGTTTTGTACACTTTAGCCATTTTCCTCGGGGTTAGATACATCGTTTTCATATGATTTCTCTCTCTTTCTCAGTGCCTTCTGTCCGAAGGATAGTGCCAGGACGCCAGCAGCAGCTGCAGGTGCAGCAGGAGATCACCTTCGAGACGGTGGATGGGACGGTGGCCTCCACCTTCAGCCAGAGCAACTTCAAGAGCGGTGGAAGGTTGGCGGGCATGTGAGCTGCGCCAGTGGCTTGCCCCTTGGGCGGCTCTGCCAGGCAGCACCCGCCCCTCCCTTGTGTTAATTGCGGGTGCCCCTCTCCCCCGGCAGGTGGGGCTGCGACTCAGGAGTAGCTCCAGGGCTGCCCTGCTGGGCCTCCCCCCTTCCCTTTGGCTGCCCAACTGAGAGAGGCACTTCAGGCAAAACCAACCCTGGCACCACCTGCCACCAGCTGCTGCCTATAGAGGCCCAGTTGCCCCTGGGAGATTGGGGGGGGGGCTTAGGAGCAGCAGTTGGTGAGCAGCAGGGTGCTGGCAGGGGAGGGGAGGGGCAGTGTTTGCCCCCAGCCAGGAGTGGGAGGGGGTCTGGCCGGGTGACCCGGGCCTCTCCGCACCCAGTTGCCAGAATGCCCCTTTTGGAAGACCCTGTCCCCTTCCCGGGGGCCGCAGTCAACGCAGCTCCTCCCTCTCCCCATGGATCCACGCATGCCCACATACAAAGTGGAAGCTGGAGGTTGTCCGAATGAGTCTTACTTTAATGGGAAAGGTGAGCTTTAGATGCCAGAGAGAGAAAAATTATGGGGGCATTTCCTGGAGTTTGCAAGGAGGTGAGCTGTGCATGCAATGACCCCCCTCCCCACTTTATCTGTGGGCATGTGAATTATACCCCTTATTCCCTGGGCAAAAGCTGGCACCAACTCCTCTCCAGCTCTTGCCGCCTGCCAGCTCCCCCCCCATTCTTCCCAGGGAGGGCCACAAACCCCAAATGCCCCCCTATGAGACCCCCTGGAGCTACTCCTGATTCTGTCCTTGGGTGGATGTGACTTAAGAGTTTGTCGAGCGAGGAAGAAACCCATAAAGTTTTTTGTCTGTTTTCTTAATTTGCTGCCAGCCGTTCCTCCTGTCGCATTTGGCAAGGATCATAGAAGTTGGAGCGTGGGGGGTCAGAACCACTGGGCCTTCTTTGCGGGTATATTCGGGTGGGTGGGAAGGCTGGGACCCCCTTTTGAAGGACCCCCTTAGCCACAAGCACACAGCAGATACACGGAGGCCCTTCTCCTTTCCTTTGCTGGGGGAGGGGGTCTCTGACCTGGCCCCTTTCCCTTTCGGACGCAATAGGCAGAGCAGCGAAGCCTCCGTCCACATCACGGAAGGCGCATGACAGCCTCTCCGTCCCCATGTGACTCAGGAGATGTGGCTGGATCCTGGCCTAGGAGGAAACTCTTGAGTGGAGGTTGCCTGGAACAGAGTTTGGGCCACAGCCGGCCCGTCCATGAGGCAACTGAGGTAGCTGCCTTAGGTGGCAGAATCCATTGGGGTGGCTTCTGGGGAGATCTCACAACAGCCCTGCTAGTTCCTGCCTGGAGAGAGCTTGGGAACCTGGCCTGGGGCACAAGGGGGCAGCTCCCCCTGGCATTCTGCTCAGCCTTGCTCCAAGCAGTGGCGGAAGAACCCTCTCTGCCACCCAGAGAGGAGCATCCCGTACAAAGTGTGCATGTGCGGCATCCCTTATGGTTGCTGCGCGAGAGGCAGCCCATGCAGACGCCTGTATGGATGGCGTGTGCCCTTGGCCGCTCTACAGCTGGGGGGAAGCAGGGGCCATATTGTCACTCCCCCCGAGTGGCACGCGAGTCAGACCACCCCCTCTGCCCCTGGCTCCAAGGCTCCTTTGCAGGGAGTTGAGGGTTGGAGTGGGGCAGTATGCAGTCTCCACCACCACACCCATCGCTCCTCCCAAGCCATGCCACAAACAACACATCCGGAAAAGAAATTTAATCCTTAAAAAAATGGCAGATTATTAAACCAGAACAAAACCAAAACCCCAACCACCACCACCACTTTTCAATGGGGGGCAGTTGAAATCTGAGCATGCGGTTTGGTCCATGGGTGGCAACGCCCACCTTGGGCAGAGCTGAGGTGGCAGAGACAGCAAAGAAGTGAATCGCTGGGAGCCCAACAGGGGTGGGTTTCCTCCAGGAAAGGCCTGCAAAAGTCCTGCCCCCCATACAGGAAAGGCACTGGAGTGGGGAAGCAGAACTCTCTCATGCCCACCTTGCTCTGAGTGCGTCTCAAACACAACACCCACACAGAGGCGTTGGCACCAGCCTACCCCTTGCAGCCAGGCCCGGTGCCACCCACCTCCAGAGTCAAGCAATGCCCCTGGGGCTGTCAGCGGCTTCTCTATCCATGTCTCTGAAGCGTTGTGGGTCTCACCCCCCCCCTGCATCTGCTGCGTGGCCCTTGTCTCCTCATCTCTCGGCCTCCAGCGTGGCACTGGTCTTTGGCTCGGAGCTGCCTTGCTGGGAGAGGTTGCCAGGCCAGCCTGCCGGCTGCAGAGGGTGGCTGGCAGTCCATGCACCCGGCTGCCCAGGCAGGGAGCAGGCCGGCCAGGGGAAGGCTCCGGGCTGGGGCAGTGGGGGCGGCGGAAGGGGAGGAGAGGCGGCTGCCTCCGAGGCCTTGAGGCGGGAGAACATGGCGAGGGCCTCAGGGAAGCTGGGCGGGGTGGCAGGCGTGTTGGCAGGCGTGCACATCTGCAGAGAAAGAAGACAAGAGGGGGAGGTCAGAGGGGGTGCCCCCCAGCATTACCACGGAGCTGTCCTTCCCGCGGCAGAGTCACAATTGTGGCAAAATCCCGGACTCTCCATCACTTTAGCTCAGCCTGTTTGTCGCTGGTGAAGAACAAGGCAGAGGATGTTGGGCAAAGCCTGTCGTGAAGGACAGCACTCAGTGGTGGAGCATCTGCTGGCATGCAGAAGGAAGTAGGTCCCCAGTCCTGCCCCAATTGCAGCAGCCCTGGGGGGTTGGGGGGGTTGAGAGAGGGAGACCCAACGAGGCTGAACGTTGGAAGAGTCAGGACAGAGAAAAGAAGGTCCTTCACTAAGACATAATTAAACTCCTGAAGACCAACCTGTGAGTCCCCAGATGTTGTTGGACTACAACTCCCATCATCCCTGAGCTCTGGCCTTGCTAGCTAGTGGTGATGGGAGTTGTAGTTCAACAACATCTGGGGACCCACAGGTTGAGAAAGGCTGCTTTAGAATATGGGTAGGCAAACTAAGGCCCGGGGGCCGGATCCGGCCCAATTGCCTTCTAAATCTGGCCTGTGGACGGTCCAGGAACTTTACATGAGTAGAATGTGTCCTTTTATTTAAAATGCACCTCTGGGTTATTTGTGGGGCATAGGAATTTGTTAATTTCCCCCCAAAATATAGTCCGCCCCCCCCACAGGGTCTGAGGGACAGTGGACCGGCCCTCTGCTGAAAAAGTTTGCTGACCCCTGGTTTAGAAGATGAGCCCAATTCACAGAGAAGAGGGCAATCGATGGCTCCTAGCCAGGACGGCCATGCTGGGCCTCCATGGTCAGCCATGCTTCTGAAGGTCCACTGCTGGAAACTGCAGGAGGCAAAAGTTATTCTGTGCCCAGGTCTCTTGCTTGTGGGTGGATTCCCCCGGGGGAGTCTGGCTGGCCACTGGGAGAACAGGATGCTGGCTTTGGGCTTCCAAATTTCACCAGCGGCCTGCATGATGCCAAAGGGCAGCCCCCACCCCACCTCTTGCCTTTGAAGTCCTTGTTGTGGCGCCCCTCGTTGCCCAGTGCGGACAAACCGGTTATGTTCCCCTCAATCCCGCCTCTGGTTGCTGGACACAGGTTCTTCTTAGGTTCTCTGCAGACCAAGGGGGGTAAGCAAGCACGGCTCTCTTTGGCCCCCTGTCCATGCTCAAAACTCACTTCCGGGTTCTGGAAGCCCTGTTCATCCCATAAACATCTCAAGGAGGAAACGTTTTGCAGGCCACTTACCATCTGGTGATGGGGATGGCTGTAGGGGATGCCGGATTCTTGGAAGAACGCGCTGAGGGCTGCCTATAGAAAGGGGGGAAACGGGAAGAAGAGTAACCAGAGTGTTGCTGGCTGGCCTGCAGTCCTTTGCCTAAGATGCTGTTAAGATTGATGCACATGCACACAATTAAAGGGCCAAAGGCAATTCCAGCCAGGGTTTAGATTACAGAGTTGCCGAAACTTGATCTCTAGCTGTTTTTTAACTACAGCTCCCATCATCCCTAGCTAGCAGGATCAATGGTCAGGGATGATGGGAATTGTAGTCCAAAAACAGCTGGAGACCCAGGTTTGGGAAACCCTGCTCTAGAGGCAGCTAGGTAGTTGGGGAAAGAGACGGCGTGGTGTAGTAGTTAGAGCAGGGGGACCAGGGCCCGGCAGAGACCAGGGTTCAAATCCCCACTTAGGTCGGGAAGCTCTCGCGTCTTGAGCCAGCCACTGCCTCTCTCAGCCTAGGCAACCTCACAGGGCTGTTGTGGGGATGAAAGGAGGAAGGGGAGAGCCATGTACGCCATATTGAGCTCTTTGGAAGTCAAAGGTGGGATATAAATGAAAGAATGAATAAAGGCACTCTGGGGCAGGAGGATGGAGGGTGTGTCCCCCTGTGCACAGTAGGGAGGTGGTGGTGGAACACAAGGGAGCCCCCACCCCGAAAGGTGGGGAGGGGGATAATCTCAGTCCTGGTTAGAGCAGGATTTTAATGGGAGGATAGACCTTTAATAGGATCCCCAGGTGCTAGAATGTGTCCTTTGCTCTTTGACTGAGCAAACCGAAGACTCAATATTTGAAGTCCCTTCCTTCCCTCCCCGCAAACAAACACACTTCCTCCAAAAGCAAGTAGCTTCTAGCAGAAGCCAGGAAAAAGTTCATGAGCTTTGGAATTTCTGTTGGGGGGGTTTGCAAGGCATTTTTTTTCAGGGGGAGGGAGATGTACAAGTGCATTTATTTTACCTGTCTTGCATTTATATCCCATCTTTCTTCCATGGAACCCGAGGCAGCAGCTACATTTGAGGTCTCCAGCTGGTCCTCCATCCAGGCACTGATCAGCGCTGGTCTTCCTCGAATCGGGGTCCCCAGCTGTTGTTGGACTACAACTCCCATCGTCCCCAGCTACCAGGACCAGCGGTCAGGGAGGATGGGAGTTGTAGTCCAGCAGGGTTGCTGGGTCCGGAGGCCTGGAATCCTGCAGGGCGCTGCTGGAATGTGACCTGCATTTTATGACACGTTATTGTGCAGTCGTCGGAAACACGGGGCTTTTCTGGTCGGAACTTTCCTCTCTCCTTTCTCTCTCATCTCCCCCATCCCGGACCGGCCTCGGACACCTGTTACTCCACGAGGCCACGTGAACCGGTTGGGGCATGGATCAGGCCCGGCTGGCTGGGGAGGAGGAAGGACCCCCCTCTCTCCCCGGCTAGGCGCACGCATTTAACCCAGCTCTGAGATGCGCAAAGTGGCCCGCGCAAGAGCGCGACGGGCAGGCACTCTGCACATGCCCCGAGGGCGGAATCCCGCTCCGATCCTACCAACCCCACACGCCTCTTGCTTCCCACCCCCAATGTTAGACCTTTCCCAAGCCGAGAAAGGGCTCAGCCCCCGTGGGCCCACCTCGTACTGCCAGTGGGCGGCCTGCAGGAGCTGCCGGGCTTGGTCCGCGGCGCAGCCGGCCGCCGCCACGAACTGGCCGATCAGCAGCTGCTGCTTCAGCTCCTCCGAGGCGCCGCTGCCCCCCGACGCCCAGGCCATAGCGCGCCTTCGGCTTCTCGCCCGCCGCGGGCAGGACCGACGCCGGCGACGCCGGACAGGGGCAGCCGGAGGGGGCGGCCCGGCGGGCGGGGACGCTGCCAGCTGGGGTCCGCCTCCGCCTCCGCCTCCGCCTGCTCGGCCGAAGGAGTCCTGCCGCGCCGCCGGCTTCCCGAGAAGAAGCCTCTCTGGGCACGACGGGCCGCCCTCTGAGCATGTACAGAATACCTCGAAGGGGGGTTGCAGCGGGGATGTCATGGGCAAGAGGACGGGGGCTCTGCTTCTCATGCGCCTCTGGATGCGCGCAGTCCGCGCTGGACGGGTCTGCTCTTCTTTACTTAGGCAGGGCTCAGCAAACTTTTTCAGCAGGGGGCCGGTCCACTGTGCCTCAGACCTTGTGGGGGGCCGGGCTATATTTTGAAGAAAAAAATGAACGAATTCCTGTGCCCCACAAATAACCCAGAAATGCATTTTAAATAATAGGACACATTCAACTCATGTAAAAACACGCTGATTCCCAGACCATCCAAGGGCCGGATTGAGAAGGCGATTGGGCCGCATCCGGCCCCCGGGACTTAGTTTGCCTACCCATGGCTTAGGGGTACAAGGCTCAGCCCCCAGGGCTGCTTGGGCTGCCAACGTTTCCCCCAGTGGCGTGTTCCTGAACCTACGCAGAGTGCCTGGCCAGTCGACCCCGCACAACATAGACGGGCCATCCGGTGTTACAGGAATTCTAAGGTCTGATATATATAGAATAAATTACATAAATGTACAAGGCAATAACATACATAGGTATATAAACTACGTGTCTGAAATAGTACAGGAGAGCAATCCTAGAGGCATTTTGACTCTCCCAAATTGACCTCAGATATTTCTCTGCAAGGTGGAAGGAAATGGGAAAAGCTTTCGAATGGTCTTTGGGCTGTAGGGGCTTACTGTAAATACAGTCTGCAAGTACCTGTTAAACTGAGCACACTATCAATTTGTGTAAGACAGGCATGTCCAAAGTCCGTTTCGGGGGCCTAATCTGGACCGCTGGTCGGTTTAATCCGGCCCCTGCAGGGTAAAAACTTCAATCCTAAAAAAGCTCTACAACTTTGGTCGGCTCTGACGCATGTTCACTTCATCAAATCTGGCCCTCTTTGAAAAAAGTTTGGGCACCCCAGGCATAAGAGATTCAGCAAGTATTTACCATCCCAAAGGTATTGCCAGACTACCCAGAAAATGCAATCAGACAAGGCAGGCATATCCAAAGTCTGTTTCGGGGGACTAATCCGGCCCGCCGGTCAATTCAATCCGGCCCCTGTGGCAGTTTACTTCCTGGGGTAAAATCCTTAAAAAATCTCAACAGCTTTGGTTGGCCCTCTGGTCTGCCCTCACACATGACCACTTCACCAAATCTGGCCTTCTTTGAAAAAAGTTTGGACACTCCTGAGATAAGGCATTATCAGGTATCCTGGCAGACAGGAGAGAAACAACACACTCAAATTTCTGCTGGGGACCACCTCTTTCTGCAGTGTATGTATGAATGGTGTTTTGGGGGGTGGTCTTGGCCTACAGTGTGGGCAATTTCAAAAGTCTATATAAGAGCTTGTACACCATTATTCTGGGTTCCTCTACTCCCTTCTGTGTGGGGTGAGCAGGGGACCCTGTTGCAAAAGTTTAATAAAGATCAGGCTTACTAGCTGCTTTGCTTCTCAATATTCTCTGCTTAGCCTCTGTTATTTTCTCCTACCGATATGGAACCTACATAAGGACTCCAAACGTGCTCTTGGGTATCCCATAAGGGGAAAAGGAGCAGTTTTTTTCTTATAACAGGATGGATGGGCCCCTTTTATAGCCCTTTGCAGCCCCTGCTATGCCAGGCCATTCTTACACAACCTCCTTTGTGGTGGCGCCCTGTGCTCTCCTCCGAGAGGATGGGCAGGAGAGTCACACTATTAATGCTTTTTTAAAAGAAAATCTTTATTAATTTTCACATAGACAAATATACATAACATATACTACAAAAGACGATACAAATGAATAAAAGCAATAAAGTTTGAAAAGTTAGAAAAACAAACATAAACAAATACAATATATTACACTTACATAACAAATTTAAAAAAAAATAGGGATGCGGGTGGCGCTGTGGGTAAAACCTCAGTGCCTAGGGCTTGCCGATTGCATGGTCGGCGGTTCGAATCCCCATGGCGGGGTGAGCTCCCGTCTTTCGGTCCCAGCTCCTGCCCACCTAGCAGTTCGAAAGCACCCTTAAGTGCAAGTAGATAAATAGGGACCGCTTACTGGCGGGAAGGTAAACGGCTTTTCCGTGCGCTGCGCTGGTGCTGGCTCGCCAGCTGCAGCTTCGTCACGCTGGCCACGTGACCCGGAAACGTCTTCGGACAGCGCTGGCTCCCGGCCTCTAGAGTGAGATGAGCGCACAACCCTAGAGTCTGTCAAGACTGGCCCGTACCGGCAGGGGTACCTTTACCTTTACTTTTACCCTTAACAAATTAAAATATGTAATATATATAATTCTCATTATACTACTTATGTATATCTATATACAAAATAAAATAATACGAGTCTGTGCAAGGAATAGAGAGTCACACTATTAATGCCAATGATGACGAATGATGGTGCTGCAGGAGGAAATCAATAAGAGGCATTGGTTTAATTCAGCCCCTTCACTTGATTTAGAGAGATCCAGGCGAGCACAACCAAAGGAGATCTCTACCCTGTGATTCTTGCATTGCACGGGGCTGGACCAGATGACCCCTGAGGGTCCCAATTCTTCGCCCCGCCGCTTTCTCCAGTGCTGCCTCGACTACATTACCCAGAAGCCTTTGCTTTGTTGTCCTACTTGTTGCGGGGCGGGCGCTGATGCAGTTGGACTGACAGGTGGAGCAACCAGTGAGCAACGATCCTGCGCCGGCAACCTTGCCATATTAGGTAAAAGGGCTATCCGGCAGAGCCAATGAGCTTGCAGAGGAGGCGGGCGCAGGGAGGGTCCCCGTCACGTGGCGCCTCCGGGGAAGGGAATCCGGCCAGGCGGGCAAAGGGCGGCGGCCGCCGGCTTGAGAGCACAGTTTATAGGGCGGGCGAGTGAGGAGCGTCCTCGGCCGAGGCCTGCATTTCTGGGCTCTTGCGCAGGACTGTCACAGAAGCATTGAATGGTCGAGTTGGAAGGGGCACCCAGGGGCCATCTAGCCCAACCCCTCGCAGTGCAGGAATCACGTGTCCTGCTCTCTGTCAGCTGTCATCCAGCCTGGTGATACGAACCCAGGACAAGCGCCTGGAGCCCCTGCAATCTCGCGCACCGCTTGGTGGGGATTGGGGTGGCCTGTAACAATATATATCATATGGAAAAGTTTGAGATTTGTTTAACCATTTTTTAATTATTGAGTTTTTGAATTCTGGTGCTGGAGGAGACTCTTGAGAGTCCCATGGACTTCAAGAAGATCCAACCTCTCCGTTCTGAAAGAAATCAGCCCTGAGTGCTCACTGGAAGGACAGATCCTGAAGCTGAGGCTCCAGTACTTTGGCCACCTCAGGAGAAGAGAAGACTCCCTGGAAAAGACCCTGATGTTGGGAAAGATGGAGAGCACAAGGAGAAGGGGACGGCAGAGGACAAGATGGTGGGACAGTGTTCTCGGAGCCACCATCATGAGTTTGACACAACTAACCGACTAAACAACAACAACAATTATTGAGTTGTCAGGTTGGCTTCAAAAACCAGAAAGAAATTGTTGTTGTTTAGTTGTGACTCCCTAGATCAGAGCACGCCAGGCACTCCTGTCTTCCACTGCCTCCCACAGTTTGGTCAAACTCATGCTGGTCGCTTGGAGAACACTGTCCCACCATCTCATCCTCTGTCGTCCCCTTCTCCTTGTGCCCTCCATCTTTCCCAACATCAGGGTGATAGATAATTTATTACGGTCAATGACCAGTTCACATAACACAATAAAAACAGCATTCCTAAAGATAAAATATACAATCAGAGCAGATTGCATCAATAGCTCATGAGTTAAAATTGAGATATATACATACACCCGTACAACTGAGATTTGGGCTCCCATTAAAATTGACCCTGATTTCCTTCAGAATGGATAGGTTTGATCTTTTTGCAGTCCATGGAACTCTCAAGAGTAATTAATACCAGGATCTCTCCCCCTCAATTCAGGGTGGGAAACTCTACATTCCTCCATAGACAACTGAATTGTCACTTTAAACTACATTTTAAAAAAGCAAATACATTCTTACTGAGTTTTCAGCTTGACCTACAAACCAAGCGCGAGGAATCTGAGCGAAATAAACTCACTTTACCTCCCCTCCCCCCGCCACTTACAGAGTGGAAGCTCTACCTTTTCCTATCTCTACCGTCCCGCGCTGCCATTGGCTGAGGGACAGGCCCCGCCCCGCGCCTCCCACGCCCTCCCATTGTTGTGTTGTTCTCTTCTCCCCGCGCGGCGCGCTGCCTCCTGGGGGTTGTAGTCCGCGGGCGGGCTCCCCTTCCGCGGCGAACCACGCGAAGGCCCTGGGCGCGAGGACTCTCTTTCCCGTGGTGCCCCGCGCGGGAGCGGCCTGCAGGCCTCGCCGCCTTGACGGAGCGTCTGAGGGGCTTCGCTGAGGGAGAGGAAGAGGCTTCGCCGACGAGACCCGCCGACCGCCATGGGCTCCCTGCTCAGCCGCCGCATCGCCGGCGTGGAGGACATCGACATCCAGGCCAACTCGGCCTACCGGTACCCGCCCAAGTCCGGTAAGGCCCGGGCCGCCGCCCCCGCACCTGGGGGGGCCGGAGCCCCGCGGAAGGAATCATCATCATAATAATAATAATAATCATAATAATCATAATGATGATGGTGATATTGGTAGTAGGGACCCCTCTTGCTCCTCAGCTTCCCCTCCCCAGTTTTTGTTGGGGGTTCTCCCCCTCCCCCGACCCACAGGGGGGTCCCTGTTATTCCCCGCAGCCTGAGAGGAAAAGCGGATTCCTTTCTCGGAGCGGCCGCCCAGGCTCTTCCTGGGTCGCGGCGGGTTGGACTAGATGACCCCTGGGGGCCCCTCTGGCCGCCATTCCTGCCTTCCAGGGGCTCGGGCTGCCTCCGCCGCTCTTCATCCCCCCTGAGGATCGCACGGGCGTTTGGCATCGCAGAGCAACAGCGCAGTTGAATTATTATTTTTTGGATAGCAGTTTATTGATTTATCAAAAAGAACTGTAACAATACCAAAACAAAGCAAATTGACTTCCGTGGGTAGGCAAACTAAGGCCCAGGGGCCGGATCCGGCCCAATCGCCTTCTCAATCTGGCCCGCAGACAGTCTGGGATTCAGCGGGTTTTTACATGAGTAGAATGTGTGCTTTTATTTAAAATGCATCTCTGGGTTATTTGCGGGGCATAGGAATTCGTTCATCCCCGCCCCCCAAAAATATAGTCCGGCCCCCCACAAGATCTGAGGGACAGTGGACCGGCCCCCTGCTGGAAAAGGTTGCTGGCCCCTGCAGTCTAGTCCCTTCCTTGGTTCCATTATTTTTCAATATACTGCATGTCCATTGTGCGATAGCGCAGTGTAAAAGGCCCACGATAAAAAGAGCCTTTTTGCCTGGCACCTGAAGATGCAGGTGAGGAAGGTGCCTGCTGAGCCTCCCTGGGGGAAGCGCTTCAGGAAAGGGGAGCCACCACCGAAAAGCCCCCCTCCTCCTCCTGCCTCCCTTTGGGCCACTTTGCCTGGAGGGATTGGGGTCCTGGGCCCTTGAAAGGTCCACAGCAGCACTTTGAACGGGGCCTGGAAACAGAGGGGCATCCAAGACAAAAGGACCCTTGGCTTTCCCTCCCAACTCTGCCACCCTGATCCCCCATTCCCAAATGTGACCAGAAGCCCCCCCCCATCAGAAGAGCCTGGTGGCAGGTGCCTCTTCTGAGAAGCCAGGAGACCACCTGAGCATAGCTCCCTTCCCCCTCCCCCCCCCCGGGGACCCAGCCGCTGAAAAGGAGCCAGTCAAACGGGCAGAGAGGAAAGAAAACACCTGCAAATGTCATTGCTGGTTTTTAATCGTTTGAACATTTCAAGCAGTGGCTTTTCCCGGATGATTTTCATGTATTATTGTATGAATTTTGCGAAATAAAATAAATAAATAGCCACCGGTCCCAAGGGCTCCTCAATGCCCCTTGGTCCTGGAGGCAGAGAGGTCTGTCAATTTCATGTATCATTTGTCTGCTTTCTGGCTGAACAGGGATGTTTGCAGAGTTTTGTTCCAATGTGCTTGTGACGCCCCCCCCCCTCCAGCTGCTATGAACCAGAACAGCTGAGAATGGAGCCTCTGTGCTCAGTGGCAGCCTACCTTTGAGTCTCTGGTGAGGGGGCCACCTTCATGCCCAGCTTGTGAGCTTCCCAGAACTGCTCATTGATGGAAACCGGGTTACATGGCTGTCTCCACCCCCATGTACAGCTGTAGTGGGCGCCCTGAGAGCTGTTGCCCTCGGATCCTGCTTGCAGGCTTCCCTTTGCTTGGCCACTCGGAGAGCAGGATTCCGGAACAGATCCAACTGCAGCCGGGATCTTCTAATGTTCTTATCATGGCGTGCCCCTCCCTCCACTGAGCCATTGCTAGGCAGCAGCAGTGGGCTGCCCCTTCCTCTTCTCTGCCTCCCCACATATTGCCTGCCTGCCAGTTCTCTTCTTCCAGGTGCCTGCCAACAGCAAGGTGGGTGGTTGTAAGCCTGCATTGCACAGCCCACAAAAGGGGCTCTTTCCACAAATCTTGGGGTGGGGGGCAAGTGAAGCTTTTGGCTGCCAGCTGGTGTGGATGTCTGCCCTCTCCCACTCCAGAGGGAGCTTGCTGAGCCCCGCCTTGTGCCAAAGTCCTGCCAGTGCCCTTGGCATCTGTGCCCGATCAGCGGTGCAGGTCCTTTCTCAACTGTGAGGCTCACTGTGTGACTTTGGGCTGCCCTACCCTGCAGGGTTGTTGTGAAGATAAAATGGGTGTGTGTGTGTGGGAAGAACTCTATATGATGACCTTGAGATCCTTGTGCGGACAACGGTGGTTAAAAATGTAATAAATACACATGTAAAACCAGGTCTTTGCCTTCTCTTCAGGGAACTACTTTGCCAGTCATTTTTTCATGGGAGGCGAAAAGTTTGACACGCCACACCCTGAGGGCTACCTTTTTGGGGAGAACATGGACTTGAACTTCCTTGGCAACAGGCCCGTCCAGGCAAGTACTCATGATTTTGGTGCACCAAAATGAACCGGGGGGAGGGGAGCACCAGCCAGCCAGCTGTTTCAGAGCACAGCTCCCATCACAGCCATTGCATGGGGGTTGTTGTTGTCCCAAACAGCTGGAGCCTGCCAGGTCAGATCAGGCTGTCCTCACAGGATCTCACCTGAATTATGACCTCTCAATTCGAAGGGTTGCAGGTGTGTGTTTTTAAACAACTTTTCCCTGAGGTTGAATGGGGTTCAGAAATACAAAGTGAGAAATACTGGTGGATTTCAATGCGGGGACAGACGGACCCCTGATTGCTGAATGTGTCCAGCTCTCCCTTTTTTGTTCTGGCTCAAACCCTTCCAGGGATAGCAGATGGCCCTGGGTGGAGGTTTCCTCCTGTGTGTGCAGCTGGAGAGAGCCAGCTTGTGCCAGTGGTGGGGGTGGAGAGTGGCCTGCCCCCCTCACGTCCTCCTTGCTTCGTGTGTGCTTTCTCAAGAGGCTCCTGTTTTTGCATTCCAGTTTCCCTATGTAACCCCAGCACCTCATGAGCCGGTGAAGACTTTGCGCAGCTTGGTGAATATCCGCAAAGATTCCCTTCGCCTGGTCAGGTACTGCAGACCCAAACCCCTATGGGGTGAGACTTTTCAGGGGCCAGGGTGGAATCACAGCTGCCTTAGCCTATGCTCTGCTGAGGCCAAGGAGCTTAAAATGCAGACTCTGCGATGGGTTGGCACGGGGGTTGGGGGGGAGAGGTTTGGAATTGTGTCTTTTTGCAAAGAAGGTGCTTAACTTGCCTTCTTTCCGTCTGAGCATGTTGCTTGATTTTCTGACATTCAGAGGCTTCCTTTTTTATTTTTTATTGTGAACTCTTGATTGTGAGCTGAAGAGGGAGGCTTCCTTTGTCTGCCCTGGTCTTAGTGTGCTGCTGAACAGAGCATTTTAAGTGGGGGGTGTTTTGAGTTACAACAAAGGTTGCGCTTAATATCACATTCCACACTTGCAGTGAATAGTGAAAATCTGGAGAATACACAAGATCTAGAAAGCAGGTAGTTTGAAACCTTGCTTTTGCTTGTTTCTAATTCTGGCCAAAATGGAGGGATTGAGAGGGATGGGTTGAGGGGCTTGAGGAATCTGGGCAGGGGAACATGAATAGAGGCAAGAAGGCAGAGGAGTCTGTCTCCTGAAGATCAGGTGTTTATTATGTATAATCTTAATGTGATAATATTGTTTCATGGCATACGTGGCTTCAGAGACCATCTAATAATAATAATAACAATTAATATGATAAAACCATTAATGTAATAAATATTGTGCGTATCTTAAAAAGCATTTTAGACAGTCCCATCAGGAGAGCTGGAAATGTGATAGTTGTGAAGATCGTTCAAGTGGGTGGGTGGTAATAAAGAAACAGAGACGGCTCAAGGATTGAGTTTCTGCGCCAGGTGAGAGATTGCAGCAAGCTTAATGTCTGAGCTCACCTGCCGTGACTCAGCCTCCCTTTACATCAGGTACAAAGAGGACGCTGACAGCCCCACTGAGGAGAACGGGAAGCAGAAGGCCTTGTACAGCCTGGAATTCACCTTTGATGCCGACGCACGCGTTGCAATAACCATCTACTGCCAAGCGACAGAGGAGTTCATTAGCGGCATGGCTGTGTGAGTGCTGGGACCCTGGCAGCGAGGGGCCTTGTGGGGAGCCCGTCAAAGGGATCATGTGTCTTTTGGAGACATCGTCTTCACCCACCCATAGTTCTGTATTATTTTATTTATAAAAGTATTTACACACAATTGTTTGATTTTTTAAAGCAGTTTACAACAGTAGTACATAAAGCCATACAATAAAAGCCATGTAGAAAAGTTAAAATCAGACATCAGATAACTCTTGTGGAAAGATGTACTTTTAATTGCCCTCATCAGCCTGGCAGAATAGAAGAGTATTCAGCAGGCATTTAAAGGTTGAAACAGAATGCGCCTGCTTGATCTCCAGTGCCAGAGAGTTTCACAGGACTGGGCTGATGACACTGAAGGCTCAGTTTCGTGTTGTTGTCAAATGAGCCTTGCCAGCTTGGAGAATGACCAGCGACACTCCTGTACATAATCTCCTCGATCGAGCTGGGCTATAAGGGATTAGGTGATCCCTGAGGTACCCTGGACCTAAGATGTTCAGGGCTTTGTAAGCGAATACAAGGACCTTGAACCTGGCGCAGTAGTAGACGGGCTTTAGCAATGGAGCCCCATGCTGTTGACTAGACATTCTGCACCAGCTGGAGCTTCTGAAGCAGGTCCAAGGGCAGCCCCACAAAGAGCATATTGCAGTAGTCCAACCTTGAGTTACCAGCGCATGGACTACAGTGGTCAGGCTATCCCTGTTCTGGAACGGTTGTTGCTGGTGAACCAGGTGAAGGGATGGGGACCTTAGCTCTCAAATTCACCAGCTTGGCTCAGCAGAAAAATATATTGCCACCCCCAAGGTCTGGCATCCCTGCACCACTGAGACCTACACCCTGGGGTAGTTTGGAGACGCCCTTCTTTTCTTTATGTCCAGAAACGTGCTAGCGTAGCTTGGGGTGCCAGCAGGTCCACATGCACATGACATGGTTTGCTGCTGCTTCCGTTGCTTTTGGCCTGTGCTTTGCCATGACATGGAAGGGTGCTGGATGTGGCCTGTGAGAGCCCAGGAGCTGCCTCCGGGTGTGATGCTGAGCCTCTCCTCTTCTCCCTGCCCGCAGCTACAGCACAAAGAACCCTTCTCTGCAATCGGAAACGGTGCATTACAAGCGAGGAGTCAGCCAGCAGTTCTCGCTGCCATCCTTCAAGATAGACTTTTCAGACTGGAAAGACGACGAGGTGACGTTCCTGGCCTCTGACTGCCTCCCAGATTTGGGTCTTTTAGCTTAGCAGAGTCACATAGGCTTGTGTTTCTCCCTCCTGCCTCCCCCGTCTTAGTGATTTTGCTCCTGGGGGTTTGGGGGGGGGGTTGAAAGCAAAGCAGTTGTGGTGTCCTCAGCTCAAGAACAAATTTATAAAGGTGCTGGGAAATGAACTACAGATCTTCCAAGGGGAGGGGCTGGAAGGAGGGAAGGAAGCTGAGTGGCTGCTTGTCCTTCCTTCCCATCCTGTTCTGGCCTCCAGGCCATTGTGACAACCACAAAAAAGTATCTCCCTCCCCCCCCAAAAGGAGGGTCTTTTGACACCTTTTCCTTGGAGGAGTTCCATATGGAAAGCCACAGGACTCCCTACCAGCCGGACTAATCCCTCTGTTTGCTCCTTCCTTCCAGCTGAACTTTGATCTGGACCGCGGCATCTTTCCCGTCGTCATCCAGGCTGTGGTGGATGAAGGCGACGGTAAGACACCTGCTTCCACCCTTTGCCTTCGTGCCCCGGGAAGCGGAAGCAATTGGGCTGGCTCGGGCACCAGCAGCAGGGTTTGGCCCAGAGGCTGGAGTGGCCTTCCCAAGGGGCCAGGCTGCGCTGGAATCAGACAGTCCTGGGAAAGGTCTCCCCCATGCTAGGTTTTCTGTGTTGGGTCTGAGCAGGGAGCAGGAGGGGAACTGGTTTGCTGGCTCTCGGGCAGGATTTGGCTCATGCCACCTCCACCTTCTGTCCCCATCTGGGACGGTCTCCTTGTTCATAGGCGTCTTCTGGGACGCAGGAGAGGCTCTGTGCTAAAGAAGGCCTGTTCTTTAAGCCAAGCAAAAGACCCGTGTTGCTCAAGAGATTTGGATTGCCAGCAGTGTTAGCAGATTAACTTCAGTGTTTCCTATTCTTAGAATAATTGCGTATCCCTTTTTGAGAATTTAGTCTTACTGATGTACCCTTTCTCAGGAGAAGTATTTTTTACATTTTGCTGAAAGCCGCCCAGAGTGGCTTGGGCAACCCAGTCAGATGAACAGCATATAAATAATAAAATTAAAGTTTTTTTATATAAAAGAATTATAAAGCTATTTTTAAAAAAACAAACATATACTGTAAAGCTATTTATAAAGAATTATTAAAGCTACCCCACGCACTCGTTGCTATCATTATTATTATTAATAAAAATTGGGTAGTTTTAATAATACAGTCGAACCTTGGTTTTCGAGCAGCTTAGTTCTCAAATGTTTTGGCTCCCGGACACTGCAAATCCAGAAGTGACTGTTCTGGTTTGTGAACTATTTTTGGAAGCCAAATGTCTGACAGGGCTTCTGTGGTTTCTGATTGGCTGCAGGAGCTTCCTCAGCTGATTTTTCTAGCTGAGAGCAAATTCTGCTGTGAATCCTTTGAAACCCTTTTGTGTGCCCCTGTGGATACACAGACCACACTTTGGGAAACACTGCTCTGGTTTCATCTGTGACACTTCAGAGAGATATCCCTGGGAGGGAAACAACAACTGGAGCCTTCTCTCCTTCGCCCCCATAGTGGGATCTCTTGTGCTGGAAGTCTTCAGCCAAGGACTGTGTGTCAATAAAGCTGAAGACAATAGCAATGTTGTTTGAAGGAGCTATTGCCTCTCCCTCTTAGCTTTTCCCATCATGCCGTGGGAGAGAAAACGAAAATATTATCTTCTGTTTGTGTAACTGGTAGCCTGGGTCAAGAAAGGCCCCCCCCCCCCCCGCCTGTGGTCACATGACAGTTTGATGAAGAGGTCAGCCCAGTGGGCAGCAGCTGTGAGAAAGGCAAATTCCATGCCAGGGAGCATTAGGAGCCGGAACAAAAACGGTCTATAGCGTGATGCCATGTTTGGAATCCTGGGTACGGTTCTGGTTGCCTCGCCTCAAAAAGGAAATTACCAAGAGGCAAAAGGGTTCAGAAAAGGGCTTGGTTCAGAACCGCCTGCTGACCTCCATCGTATACATTGATTGCGCGCAACTTCTTCCTTGGTCACCTGGAAAGCTCTGCTGCCCATGTGACCATTTGGGTAGCCTATGCAGCTGGGCTGGTGGGAAATCCCGACTCTTGAGAGTCCTACCGCTGGAGGAGTCAGGCCCCGGTCCTCCTCCCTTGGAGCCTGGCCTGATGGGGCGTTTGGGCTGCCTGTCGCCTTGCCCCTGATCTCATGGGCCTTCCGCTTTCCCCGCAGTTGTCGTGGAAGTGACTGGCCATGCCCACATCCTCCTGGCTGCCTTTGAAAAGGTAAGAAGCCCCCCTTTGCCCCATCTGAGCAGGAGATGGCTTTGAGTGGTTGCTGGACTAACATCGCTGGCAGAGGGGCGAGACATTGCTTTGCCTTCTCTGTGGCTCCAGCCTCTCTTGCAAGGCCGCTTTTCGCACCTCTCTTGCCCTGTTCTGTTTGGTGCTTTGAATGGGAAAATCTGCAGAATCTGAGAGCTTGGATTGTGTAAACAGAATAAATCCTGAAAATGCAAGTGGGTCTGTGCATAGAAGGAGGGGTTTGCTTAGCAAGCGGCTGAAGACTTTTCATATTAAATGTGCCAACCTATCTCTCCTGTGTCTTTTCCCCTCATCAGCATGTGGATGGCAGTTTCTCAGTGAAGCCTCTGAAGCAGAAGCAGATCGTAAGTCTTTGTCTGTCTGCAAGGATGCGGCTTAATCTTGTTTTTTAAGCTGTATTTCAATCAATTGTTTTTATATTTGGTGTAAGCTGCCCTGAGCCCGGTTTTGGCTGGGGAGGGCAGGGTATAAATAAAATTTATTATTATTATTATTATTGGCAGAGGTGCTGGCTGACATCCCAGAGAGGCCTGACCCCTTTCCCACTACCCAACTTAGTAGGGCCCATTGGATTTACTGCACTGAGAACGTGTAATACAAATACTTAGATTTTTTAAAAAGGAGGTTTAGGCAGATTCACAGACGATAAAGTTCTCCGTGGGTACTAGGCATGATGTCCGCAGGATGTGCCTCTGAATCAGTACCATTTGCTGCGAGTCCCAAATAAGAACATCAGAAGTGCCTGTGTGCTGGATCAGGCCAATGGCCCATCTAGTCCAGCACCCTGTTCTCACAGTGGCCGACCAGGTGCCTGTTCTGGAAGCCCAAAGGCAGGACTTGAGCTCTCCCCCACCCCTTTCAAGCAACCAATGTTCGGGTGCATGGTCTTCTGACAGTGGGGGTGCAACATGGCCATTGTGGCAAGTAGCCATTGATGTGTTGTTCCTCCACTGCACTGCCTATGGGCTTCCCAGAGTTGTCTGATTGGCCACTCCGAGGACAGACTGTGGGGCCACATGCGCTTCCTTTGGCTTAGCCAGCAGCTGCCAGGTTCTTCTGACTTGTGCTTATGCTCAATGAAGAGCACATTGCTGCCCTTTTATTATTCTGGTTTTGGTTTCCAACCTGTTTCCATCCTTGTTTCTCATTTGCCTTAGATGGTTGTTTCTTCATGTTTAGTTTTCAGCTGTGTATTTGTATCATGTTGTGTTTAACTTCCATTGCAAGCCGCCTAGAATATCCTAGTGTAAATAATAATAATATTAGTAGTAGTAGTAGTAGTTAAGAGTAACGATTAAAAAAGAAGCAAGCAGCATTTCCTGCTTCCCCACAGGTGGACCGGGTCAGTTACCTGCTTCAGGAAATCTATGGCATTGAGAACAAGAACAATCAGGAGACTAAGGTGAGGAGGGAGTGAGGGAGGGGAGGCCATCAACTCTCCCAGGGCTGCAAGGCAGTCAAAGACCATGAGAGGAGCGCATTCCTCTGTCTAAAAGGGGAGTAAGCAGAGAATCTCCCTTGAACGTTCCCTTTTGAGGCTTTTGCTCTCCAGGGGGAGAGAAGTTGTCTATTGACCAACAGCAACAGCTCAGAGCTGTGGCTTTCTTCCGGCATCTGCTTAAGCCAAATCCTGCTTGTGAGTGTGTGCCTCCCAAGTCTGAAATTTTGGGGCTTTGCCTGTTCTAGGTGGGGTTGATCTTGCCACCTGCTGCCAGTAGTGTTGGGTTGGGTGGTTCTGTCTGTCAGAGTCCTGAAAGGGGCCCCTGGATTTCTGCGGTACAGCGAGGGTTCTGACTGCTGAGCTGGGCCACAGGAGCACCCAGTGAGTTCTCTGTCTCCCTCTCCCCCCACTGCAGCCCTGTGACGATGAGAACAGCGACAACAGCAACGAGTGCGTGGTGTGCCTCTCCGACCTGCGGGACACCCTCATCCTGCCCTGCAGGCACCTTTGCCTCTGCAACTCGTGTGCCGACACCCTGCGCTACCAGGCCAACAACTGCCCCATCTGCCGCTTGCGTGAGTAGCAGGGGGGTGGGGTGGGGTGGGGCAGAGGTGAGGGAAGAAGCCCTTTGCAGGCCAGGAGGAGACCAGCAAACCTGGGGCTTGAAGCACAGAGACCCTTCTCCATCTTTGATCACACTGGGCAGCTTTTCCTCTGGGGGCTGCCATTCTCATTGCATGGAGCAGGCTTGTTTTCTGCTGCCAGCGGATTCGGCAGCCAGCGGATTCAGTTCTCAAGAATGGAGATTCCGACTAAGCATTAGGAATAATTTCTGGAGGCAAGAGGCGTTCGACAGTGGGAAGGACTCACAGAACCCACAACTCCCCTGGGTGGTGGCAGTCTCTTCCATTGGAGGTTTCTAAGTGGAGGTCCGATGGCCATTTGTCAGGGATTCTTCAACTGCGATTCCTGCATTGCAGGGGGTCGATGACCCTCGGGGTCCCTTCCTACTCTACAGTCCTATGATGCCCGGGGGGGGGGGCACATTTGTTCCCCCTGCTCAGTGAAACTCATGGGAAGTCCTTTGCTGGTGGGTAGGGATGGAGCAGGGAAACATGAGCTCCGTGGATTCACTTTCTGTGGTATAGCAAGGTGCACATGCCTTGCCACACGAGCACAGGAGGAGCATTGCAGGATTCCAGGTTCGGTGCCCGTGCCCATTTCTGAGGCCCGTGCCTTTAAGGGGCTCTGCTTGGGCAGCAGCTGATCTGCCTTGGCACCTGGAAAGGTTGTGTAAGTCAAAGCCGCCTGTCTCCCTTTGCAAGACCAGCTGCTGTGTTCCCCAGTCAACGTGGCTAGCATGTGGCTTTGGGATCCCGACTCCCAGAGGAATCTGCCCACAGCCCAACCCGTAGGAGGCAAATATGATGTGCCTTGCCCCTGGCAGATTTTGGGCGCAAGAGATGAGACTGGGCTCCTCTTGCCTTCCCCCCTCAGCCTTCCGAGCCCTGCTGCAGATCCGAGCCGTGAGGAAGAAGCCCGGGGCCCTGTCTCCGCTCTCCTTCAGCCCCGTCCTGGCACAGACCCTGGACCACGACGAGCATTCGGTGAGCAGCAGCCTCAGGCGTCCGGGAGGGGTCAGCAGAAGGGGTGGTTTCACTCCCAAAGCACACTTGAAGCACTGGGGTTGGGGAGGATGCATCTCTCTGTGTGGGGTGGAGGGGAGTTGGTTTGGGTTCTGGGCAGATGCTCATCCCCACTTTTTCTGGGGGCTCCAGGTGGCCTTTTCTTCTGAGCCTTGGCTGTCCCTCCCAGGTAATGGGGGGGATGGGGTCAGCCTGCCTCGTAGAAGGACAGGAAGCCATAAAACTAGCAAAGGAGAGAGACAGGGAAGGAGGAAGAGAAGGTGTGTTGCTATCCCGGTGGATGGGAATAGCTGTTTTCTTTTGTTTTCTTACTACTACTAATTTATATTCTGCCCACCCAACTGAGTTGCCCCAGCCACTCTGGGCAGCTTCCAAACATTTAAAACACAGTATCCCCCCTTCCCTCCATCCGGGTGCCCATGGCAGTGGCTTACAGCCAGCCTCCCACCTGGGCTCCGCTCAGCCCCAGGCCTGCTGAGCTTTAGCCTGTGCCTCCAGACTCTCCCCTGGGACTGTTGCACAACCCTAAGAGCCCCCAGCTCAATTGGCCAGAGAAACAGAACCTGAGATGCCCTTCTGAAGACAAAGAACAGCAACAAGAACGGTCATTCTTCACAAAAGTGACTTGAAGCAACTTACGGAGATCAACTCATTGCTAAAAATAAGGCCATAACAAGAGCCTGCTGGATCAGGCCAGAGGGGGCCCATCCAGTCCTGCCTCCTGTTCTCCCAGTGACCAACCAGGTGTCCCTTGTGGGGAACCTGCAAGGAGAACATCAGCTCCAGAGCCCTCGGCCTACTGTGGTTTCCAGCAACGGGTTCAGAAGTCTTGCTGCCTCCGACTTTTGAGGAATTGCCCAGCAGCCACTAAGAGCCCTCTTTTCCTTCATGAATTTGTCCAGCCCTCTTTTAAAGCCATCCAAGTTGGTGGCCATAAGATGTTTCCTATCCCGATAAGGAGTGTGAGATTTTGGGAAGATTTCAAACTGCTTATTGTGGTTCTTGTTATTTTTCTCTCTGGTGTTTTTGTCGTCCTTAAATGTTGTAAGCTGCCTTGTAAAGAGTTAATCTTAAAAGGTGGCGTATAAATGTGTACATTAATTTCATGGCCCTCTGTGGGTGTCTTCTAGTGCCAGGCAGTGTGTTTAGCTGCAATTCCTGCAGTGGGGGTTGGACTGGGTCACCCTGTGACTCCCTTCCAGTCCTGCAGTTCTGTGAGGGCAGAGCTAAAGAGGCCTCAATGCTGTAGGGATCAAACTGCAACGACGGATGGCAGTGGCTGAGCTTTTGTTTTCTTCTTCTCCCTGCAGTGTTCGGACAACATCCCTCCGGGCTATGAGCCCATTTCTTTGCTGGAAGCCCTGAACGGCCTGCGCTCCATCTCCCCCTCCATCCCCTCCGCTCCCCTCTACGACGAGATCACCTACACGGGGGTCCTGGACGGGCTTCCCCTCTCTGGAAGACCCCTGGTGGGGCTGGACCGAGCTGTGGAGAGCAGCCACCAGAAGAGCAAGCGCAGCAAATCTCCAGACAGGTGAAATCTTGTGGAGAAGCCTCTTTGGATCGCTCCCTCTCGCCCTCCCCTACGCCAAGTCCAAACCTTCCTCTGCTTCTCCTCTGTCCAACGCCTGAAGCTCAGGGCTCCTAGTGCCTTTGCCTCTCGCCCCAGAGTCAATCCCCCTGCCATGCGAGCCGCTGCCAATCCTCTGGGTCGCAGCTGTGTCTCTTGTTCTCTGCAGCACCCTCCGGTCTCCCTCGTCACCCATCCACGAAGAGGATGAGGAGAAGCTTTCGGAGGACTCAGACTTGCCACTCAGTGGGACGGAGCTCGTGCTGCAGGAGGGCAGCTCCCCAGAGGTGAATCTCTCTCTCTGTCTGTTTGTCTGGCTCCTGCCTCTTTGCTAAGCCTGGAGTGGCCTGCTGATGGGGTCAGGCTTGGGGCTGCTGTGAGCCTTGCTGAGTTGGCAGCCTCAGAAAGGTGCCTGCCTGCTGCCTGTTCCTGCTGACAGCTGAGCAACCGCAAGAGCTCCTTGGCCAAGTTGGACTGTGTGTGTGTGTTTGTGTGCATGCGCAAACTGACAAGTGGAGGTGTCTGGTTCTGTGTCGTCTTGCAGTAAGTTGTAGGTTTTACTGGCACCGGGAGGTGGCCAGTAAACAGCAGGTGGGCTGTTTGGGCCGCCCACCATGAGCTGCTAGAGCTGGATGCTCCCGTGGGTGGTCCTGATCACCCGTCCCCTTCCCCTCCCACACCCCACCCTCATCGGCTCCTGGGGTCCCGTCCGCACTCCAGGGGAGAGATGAGCTGCTTTTGCCCTCTGCTTGCAGCAGTGCTGATGGCTAGGGAAGGGGAGAAGCCCTCTTGATGTTGGGCAGCAGACCACTCTCCCCAAGGGCTCTGGCAGGGGCCTCGCTCCCCACCAAATGTGATGATTGAGGAGGAAGGACCCCCTTTGGACTTCCTCGCCGTCACGCTGGGAAGAAGCACCCCCTCCATTGCTGGCTTCTGCTCTGTTCCTCCCCATAACAGCCTTGCTTAGCACACCAGTCCCTTCCCACGGACTTCCGGAGCCTCTCCCCAGACTGAGGGAAACAGTAGCTCTTTTTCCTTCTCCATTGACTTGTCAGCCTAGGAAGCTGAGCGCAGCCTGGCTACCAGATCAGGGGATTTTCCACCGGGTGTGGAGGGGCAGTATTGCCTCTCTATCTCCCCGCTGGCCTTTGGTGCCCGGGCTCCCACTTCCACGCAGCTGCCGCTTGGACCTGGCTGGAAACTGTCGGGCCCAGAATGTTTTCTCTTGACTTTCCAGATTTGGGGGGGCGGGGGGGGGCAACAGTCATCCAGAGAGGCATTGGCAGCAATCTTCCCATATTTAGGCCGGTGCTTGAACCCTTGTGATTTTTATTCACAATTTGTATTCCCGCTTACATGTCATCTTACTGGGTTTTGTGTCTTATTTTTATTTTATTTCTATGTGCTAAGCCTTTTTTGTCATTGTGGTCACCTGCTTTGAATATACTTTTCTATAGGAAAGCTGGGCATACATTTTACTAAACCAAAAAATTGCCCTTTCCCCCCTTGAGACCCCCAGGTGTCTCTTTCAATGGGATCCGGAGCAAACCTATTTTCTGCACGAAAACAAAACTCCCTGCTCTGGAAGGGTGCTGGTTTCTGCCCATTTGGAAAGCAAAGCAGGGGCCTGTTTAGCCACCCTCCTCCTTTGCAGAAATGAGACCCTTTTCTTTTTCTCCTCCTCCTCCCGTCTTTCTAGAGCCTGACAGCGGAAGAAGCAGAGGCAGCCAGCCCCCTGCAGCAAGGTGAGCTCTGGCTGGGCCTGTGGGGGGGGGGAGTATCCTTACCCTCTGGCCTGACCCCCTCCTGGGTATATGTCGTGTCTGTGCTCTTGAACATGGGCCTGGAAAGAACCCCACTGCTAGGACTGGCCCCCCGGAGGGGCAGCTTGGGCAAAGTGGAGCAGCCACGAGAGCAACGTGTGGAGGTTAGAGTGCTGTACTAGGACCTGGGAGAGACCACGCTCCACGAAGCTCACTGGCTGAGACCTTGGGACTGTCTCTTTTGGCTTTACCTACCTCTCAGGGTTGTGGGAATTAAACGAGAAGGGCAGGAGAACTAACAGATAAAAATGTTGGCTATTTCGTAGATGAGTTGGGCTGCAGAAGGCGTGCTGGGGAGACCACACATTCAAGAAACACAAAAGTAACTTTTGCTAGGTTTTAATAACAAAAACAAAAACTCATTTTACACTAAATTACAATATATCCATAAGCATGACCCATCCACCAGGGTACTGAGAGAGCGACATACTGCTCTTTATATAAACAGCTTAGTTACCACAACTTAACAGCACCTTCTATACTGCTTCACAGCTGTAGGTCACATTATTTGCTCTGGCCTTTAAAGAAATACACATCTTGTGGAACAATAATGAACCTTCAAATTTAAAGAGACCATTCAACAAAGAAATGCAGAAATGTGAAGGCCTTTGGTAAACCCTTGATCTGGGGGCCCCCGGCCAAGGCGAGGGAGTGGCAGCATGCCAAGGCGCTGAGGCTTCCCCTTCTTTCTCCCTCTCGCAGGTGCCCAGCCTCCCTCTGTGGAGGCCCTTGTCCAGGAAGGCAGCAGCAGCAGCAGCACCTGTGACCCCAGCAGCCTCCCCATCCTGGAGAGCGACCTGCCAGCGGACGTCTACCTGCCAGGTAACGTCGAAAGGAGCCCTCGGTGGTGACTGGCGCTTCCTTTCCCTCCGCTGAGAGGGGGATGATGCCCTCGCTTGGCCAAGAAGGAAGGGCCCTGACCCCTCTGTCCCCCGTCCCCCCAGCTTCACGCGCCGTCCTGGCTTTTCCTGCTCCTGCACCCAGCGCCCGGCTGCCTTTACATCACTGCTGCTCTCTGTGTGGCAGCCATGGCCCTGTTCTGTACGTCCATGCCACGCAGGCCCTGTCCGTGTGGCACAAGGAGGAGGGCAATTGGGAACGGGGGCGGGGGGGCGGGAAGCACATGCAGAGGGGGCCAGAAGAGGCTCAGAGGCAGAGGGTGAGGCTCGTGGTGGGTTGCAGAAGAGGCCTCCGCCCCGCTGTCGGGCACCGCCCGCTGCCCACAGCAAGGGGGGTGTCTGTCCGTCCGTCTGTCTTTTCTGACCACTTTTTCTAACGTCTCCCCCCTTTCTGTCTGCCCCGCCTGGGCAGCCCTCGGCCTGGACTCCTGCTCTGTTGGGATAGAGGAGTAAGCTGGTACGTCTCGTCTTTCCTCCCTATATGCTGGCGGGGGCCTCTTGGGAGGGCGGGTGGGGAAGGGCAGCCAGAAGTGGGGCAAGGGGGCAGAGGAGAGAGGGGGGCTGCAGTGGGGAGGGGGCTGAGATGCGCAGGGCAGCTTCCGCCCTGCTGTTGGCGGTCTCTTTCAGCGGCCAGCACCCACCTCGGGGTGCCTGAGTCGGGCGCCCTGCCTTGCTTCTTGCTCCCACCCTATGCCTGGGGGGCAGGAGGGCTGAGAGGGGCAGCAGCAGCAGGGCTCCTGAGCCGGCCTCTTTCTCTCCCCCCCCCCCCCCAAACCGCAGGATCTTCTGACTTCGCTGGCACCCTCCCTGGCCGTGGGACCAGCCAATCCGGGCAGCCCTTCCTGTTCAACAATCCCCGCCTCTGCGTGGAAAGCGGGCAGAGCCCGTCCTGAGCGCCTGGCTCGGGGTTCGAAAGTCGCTGCCACCGAGGTGCTCACAATGCCAAACGCCCGGGGCATCCTCTGGGGCGGCTCCTCTTCCTGCCTGCCTGTGGGGAAGCAGCCCCCTCTGCCTCCCTTCCTCTTCCACCAGCGAAGGATCCTCTACAGGACACGGGTTCCGATGCTGCGGCACGAGACAGACGTTCCCCCTCTGCGGGGCTCAGCCTCGGACCAGGACTCTCTCCCCCCTCCCTCCAAGGGACTCTTCTGTGTCTTTGTACAGAAATGCATGATATTCGGTGCCCCCCCCCCCCCACATTGGCCTGTGAGGCTGGTGTGATGGAAAAGATTTCCTCCTGCCTTGCTGTGCTCTCTTCCTGCCCCCCCAACCCTCTTTGGACATATCTGTTGGCCCCTTGGCCTTTTTAACCCCCTGCCTCTGATTCCCCCCCTCCTGCTTCCCAGCCTGCCTGCTCTGCTCCCGGCCAGCACTTGGGGCTCCTGGCAGAACCCCCCATCTAGGCACATGGGGCGGGGGGGGGGCTTCTTCCTGCTCCTGCAGAAAGGGAAAGTGGGTCAGGCCCAAGGCACTTGCTGCCCCCCCCCCCCATGGACTTCCTGCCAGGGGGGTGGCTGGACTCTAGAGAGGAAGCCAGCGAGGGGCGGGAGGGACTCAGCTGGAAGTGGCCTGAGGCTCCCCACTGGGACCTGCGTCTTCTGCCCCACAGCTACCCCCCCTCCACCCCCACGACCTGCTGCTTTCCTGCAGGAGGCAGAGCCAACCTGGGGGGGGGGCACTTTTGCTGGAGGGTGACGCAGAACCTGCTGCTTCCTCTCTTGCCCTGAGGCCGGGGCATCTGGTGGGGCCCCCTTGTGCTGCCTGTGGCACCGAGCAGGAGCCTGTTCGCCCCCACCTTGAGCTCCACGGTTTGGGGCTGTGCCCAGGTGGCCTTGTGCCTTCTCCTCCTCCTCTTCCTCCCTCCCAACTGCTTCACCCAGAAGGCGGTGGGGTGAGGGGTGTCCTAGCTGCCTGAGGGGCTGCCAGCTGCTTCCTTGCCCACCCCAAACTGCCGCCTTTGAGGGGGCCACTCTCTTTCCAGGCCCAGAGGGCAGAGCTGGGCCAATGTGTTTCTATATTTATAGTAATAAACCCCTCCTGTGTCAGTCTGGTTGATGCTGGTGACTGGCTTTTTCTTGTTGGTTTCTTCCTTCCCGGTGTCCGGTGGGGCACACTGACCATGTGGACGGGGCCACACGCAGATCCAGTCTCTTCACTGACCTGAGGAAGTCTCCCGCCTTTATGGGCCTTATGCCAAGTCAGGCTGCTGGTACCTTGAGAGGAGTGACATAAATGTTGGGAGTGCCAGTGCTCTGCGTTTGCCTTCTGCCCCTTCCTTGCCTGCCCAACAAGCCACTGCCCCCCTGGCCCTTCTTTCCCGCTAGTCAGGAGTGGGTCTGTAGCAGCCTTGGCACGTGGCCCAGGTCTGCCACTCACCCCTTGGCACTGCAGCCAAATCCAGTGGCAAAATGCTTTTGACCCAGATGCCAGTGCCTTCTCAAGTCAGGCCAGTGGTCCATTCAGTGGGGCTGGTGGAGGAGAGATCCGCCTTTCACCCTTCAGGGGCGGCAGCTGCCTTGGGTGGGGTGCCCCAGGGAGGGGAGGGGATGGTGCTGTGCTCTCAGCCAGGCCTCGCTGGCCCCTGCCCTCGCAGATCTCTCTCCCACCCTGGCAGGTGAGCAGGACAGTTTGTTCCTCTGAGGAGCCTGGCCGTTTGGAGGAACAATGAGCCAGCCAATGCGCCCGTCCGTCTTGGCTCAGGCTGCCACTCTTTGTCTCCAGAGCACTTGCCCAACTGCCCCTGGCAGGTCCAGGCCTGTCTGCTGCCCGGTGTCCATCTCCTCACCAAAGGACAGGAAGGAGAGTCTGTTTGCCTTCTTCCCTGCCCATGCACAGAGCAGCAGCTGGCACATGCCTTAGCACATGCGTGGCATGGGAATGCCCACCTCCCACCGGCACCTTCAGGGAGTTTGCCAAGGGTGCTCCAGTGCTCTTCCTGGCCTGCCTTTTAGCTGCCAGCCTTAGCTGAACCCCTTTCCTCCCATGGTCTGTCGAGGCTGCTCAAGGAAGCAGAAACGAGACTCTGCTCTCAGACAAAATTATTTGCATATATTTTCTTACAAACATTGTGATGCCAAAGTTGATTTGGAAAAAGGATATTGGTTTTGCGTGCACAGGAAGGGAAGGAGGGGGAGGCCTTGAAGTCTTCTGAATAGGGAGAGGACGAGAAGTGCCCCCTTTCCCCTGGTTTCTTGGCCCCCAGCCCTTTGGCAGACCCGCTTTGCCCATCCTTGCACCTCTGAGAGTGTGCTCACCGGTTTCAGAAAAAGCTGTACATCCTGAGCTAATGGAGCTCTGTTGTGCCTTTTGACATTTGGGAATACAGGCGCTCTGCGACCTGCTGCCATACACACCACAGCATGACTTGCATCGAGCAAGGCTACGGCTATGGCGGACACCCCCAGCCTCTCTGCTCTGGGGCAGGGCTGCCCACCCCGGGCAGAGGTCAGCTGCAAACCAAGGCCGCTTCTGCTGCGTCTTCTCATTGCCTCTTGGGGGCCTGCAGAGCTCATGCTTCCCACGGCTGCATCTCGGCTAGGAAGCCCTCGACAAAGCAGGTGCCGCCCTCCTCCTCGAAGGCCCAGGGGGGTCCCAGCGACGGCTCCGTGGCTGCTTCCTCCTCCCCCCACGGTTGGCCCAGGGGCTCGGCATACAGCGTCAAGTCTTCCACCAGGGCTGGGACAGGGTGAGGGGGACCCTCTTGGCTCAGAGGACTGACTGGCTGGTCAGAGGAGGCCAGGACCACCTCCTCGGCGGCCAGGGAGCCGAGGGCTGCCGTCAGCTCCAGGTCCTCAATGCTGCTCCCGCTGCCAACGAAGGTGTCCTCCAAGACAGGCGCCCAGCTGAGGTCCCCCGGCAGAGCCACCCCCTCTCTGCCCACAGAGGCCAGAGGCGAGCGGGCACCGGTCCAAGCAGCCTTGCTGGTGCCCTGGCCTGGCTGCTGCTTGCACTTACCGGGGTGGCGCTGCCCCCCAGGAAGCCGGGGCGCCTGGTCCTCTTGCAGGGGGCCTCGTCCCCTCCCTCGGAAGCAGCCCAGCTGTGCACCGGAGGCAGGCAAGGGGGGTGTTGCCTGAGTGGCCAAAATGCAGGGAAAGGTTGGCACCCGCCTCCGCCGGAATATCCCGTCGACGAACCTGTCTGCGTGCTGGGGGTTGATCCGCCAGAAGCCCCCCTTGCCAGGCTCGTCTTTCTGTCGCGCCACCTTCTGAAAGCACTTGTTCAAGGACAGGTTGTGGCGGATGGAGTTCTGCGGAGGAGACAAAAGGCCCATGGGCAGGAGGGGAAGAAGGGGGAAAGAGAGGGAGGGGTGAGCAGAAGGGCATGCAGAGAGCCCTACGGGATCAGGCCAGGGGGATCCCACTGGCCCCTCATCCTGCTCTCACAGGAGCTAGCCAGATCCCTATTGTGAGAAACTTGCAAGCAGGACCTTCTGCCCACCAGAGCCAGTGACTGGCCTTGTGCCTTGTAGCCACTGATTGCCCTCCATGGATTTGCCCAACCTCTTTTAAAGCCATCCAAGTTGGTGGCCATCACTGCTTCTTGTGGCAGGGAGTTCCATAGTAACTTTGTACCCCATGGAGAATTGCTTTCTCTTCTCTTTGTCCTGAACCTCCCTGTCTTCAGTTTTGTTGCAAGTCCACAAGTTCTAGCATTTGCGGGAGAGGGAGGAAAACCTTTCTCTATACATCCACTTTCTCCAAGCCACGCCTAATGTTCCCAACAGCTGCCTCTTCCTTGCATTTTTCCCAAACTAAAAAGTCCCAAACGCTGCAACCTTTCTTCCCGAGGAAGCCCCCCTGGATCATTTGAGGTGCCCTTTGTCTCTTGCCCTGCAAGAGAGCTCCCTGGCAGAAGTTATTAGTGCCCATCTGAGGAATGTTCCCCCCCACACCTCCACCTGCCGCTGGTTGCAGCAGCCCCTCCTGTCCAGCAGGATGGGGAAGGGCACCTCTGGGGCTGGGGGAGAAACTCGCTTCCCATTTCTTCAAGTCCACAATATTGATGGGAGGCCAGCTCAGTCTCCCCCTTCCCACTGGCCCTTCCTGCCTTTTGTCATAGGAACACAACTTTCTGCCTTGTAATAATAATAATAATAATAATAATAATAATAATAATAATAATTTATTATTTATACCCCGCCCATCTGGCTGAGTTTCCCCAGCCACTCTGGGCGGCTCCCAATCAAGTGTTAAAACAGTACAGCGTTAAATATTAAAAACGTCCCTGAACAACTTCCCTCGTGTGTGTCCTTGGTCCATTTAGCTCAGTATTGTCTACCAGCAGCAATGGCTCTCCAGGGTTTCAGGCCAGAGTCCCTCCCCTACTCTGCCCCTGGGGATTGAACCTGCTCGCAAGGCATCTGCTTGCAAGACCACCTGCTGCTCAGGCACCGCCTCACCTGCCAGCTGGGCTCTGCGTGGCGGTAGTAGCAGAAGTTCTCGGTGATCCAGGCGTAGATGGCCGAGAGCGTGAGCTTGGCTTCTGGGCTGGCCCGCATAGCCATGCTTATGAGGGTGGCGTAGGAGTAGGGCGGCTTCACCTGCCCGTTGGTCCGGTAGTCGACCGCCTCTGGGGCGGGGGCGAGGAGCTGCAGGGAGGAGCTGGAGCTGGCGGGTTTGCCCATCCCCGTGGGCACCCCCATGGCCGCTGTGTCGCCCGCGGGCGGGCTGGCTGGCGCGTAGGAGCCCTGCTGCAGGAGGCTGGCAGAGGAAGGCTTCTCCGGGCTGGCGGGGAGGAAGGTGAAGCCCTGCAGCCACTGCAGGTTGGTGAGGCTGTCGTCCACGGCGCCAGCCCCGCAGGAAGCGCCCCAGGGCTCTGCGCCCAGCTGCTGCTGCTGCCGCCCCGTCTTCGGCCTTACGAGGGACATTCTCCCCGGCCCGAGTCAGATGCCGTCCTTTTCTCCTGCAGGGCCAGGGATAGGCAAGGCGACGGGGGCGTCGGACGGGAAATTCTCCTGCAGGGCCAGAGACAAAGGACAAGCTGTTGCTCCGCCAGGTCCCCCGCAGGCGCATTTGGTTACACGGGCTCCATTCGCCGGGGCCTCGCCAGCCCGCCTGCGGCTTGGGGAAGCGGCTCCCTGGGGACGAGCGATCCGGTTTCGGAGGGTGCGCAGGTGGCGGCCGCCGAGGCTTCGTCTTTACACTCATTAGGGGAGTGCACAGCTCGGCTGTAACCCGACACGGCCTCTCCTCCTCCGCCACCCTGCGCTAGGAGACCCCAGGCGGCTGGCCAGCCCGGCCCGCGAAGGCTGCCGCCGCTGCCCTCCTTGCGCCCACCTGCGGGACACAAACTCGGGCGCGGCGGCTCGCAGGAAGCTGGGTTTTAAATCCGCCGCGTCCTCTGGTGCCACCTGCGTGGGGCAGTGCCCCCCTTGCTCCTTGCTCCACCAGTCTCTCTGCTTCTGAGAGGCGAGCACCCTTGCGCCGGAGCACCCAGGCAGCTGCCACCCACGCGCGAGAAACCAGGGAGCAGCCAGAAGTTGGGGCGCGGGGAGCAAGGTCAGGAAGGGCGGCTCTTGCCAAGGAGGTGTCCCGGGATGAGTGGAAGAAGCATCGAGCTGGCCGGAAAATTAGAAGAGAGGTGGAGGGGGGCAGCCGACGGCAGGATGGAGGGGGGGCATCGTTATCAGCCAGGAGGCTTCTACGTTCCTCTCTAGCCCGCCCACCCCCAATTTTGGGGTGCATCCCCTGTCCAAGGGCCTCGCGCAAAACTCTGAAAAGAAACAAAGCCCCCCCTCCAGTTCCAGGTGCCCCCTCCCCTCCAAGCGCCTACCTGCTGCCCCGCACTTCTGCGAGTGCCAGGGGAGAGTGGCGCGTCCGGCTGGCTCTTTGCAGGCGATGGAGAGAAGCAACCTGTTCAGGCTGCCACCCGCCCGCCCCCCCGCCAGCCCCACATTTCATTGGCTGTCGAGGCCACCTTTTGTCTCAGCCGCCTCCACACGCCGCCACTTTGTGAAAGCTGCTGCGCTGCGGGAAGAAAAGGAGGCAGTTACGCGCAATATCACCAGGTGCTGGGAAGTTTTTGGGGTCCCAAAAGTGGCTCCCGGGAGGCTTAAGAAGCAGCTGCTGGCAGCCCGTCTGCCTTGTAACGCCGCCTCTTGGCTGCCTGGCCCGAGTCCTGCCCCAGAGGGCCCTTCGTGGCACCTCTGGGGCCAAGGGGAGGTCGGAACATCGGGAGGGCAGCAGCTCCGGGGGTGGGACAGAGGTGCCCATGGGGCATGGCGCGCGCACAGCAGAGGCAGCCTTTTCGCCTTCACGGGTATCCCCCGCGGGGCCTCCATGGCATCTGTCCTGGGTACATAAAAGCAGATTGCACATATAAACCACAACACACGGCTCAACTATGGAACTCGCTGCCACAGGAGGCCAACTTGGATGGCTTTAAAAGAGGATGGGGCAAACTCGCGGGGGATAGGGCTGTTGGTGGCTCCTGAATCCCAGTTGCTGGAAACTACAGGAGGGAAGAGGGCGCATGTGCTGCGATCCTGCTTGCAGGTTTCCCATTGTACACCATGGCGTCTCCCTGGCCATTGTGAGAGCAGACGCCACTGCGCCGGAAGGGCCACTGGCCTGATCCAGGACTTTTCTGATGTTCTTAAAGGTTAATTTTCCAGCCGGGAACCCGGTGGAGCTTAAACCAGGGCTCCTGCGCACAGTCAACACATTCCTCTTTCCTCTCTGCGAGTTCATTCCATTAATTAATTAATTCAACTTGTCACCCAATTATAATATTGATATGGCAACGTGTGGATGACTTTGGAAAGGAGATTTAAAATTTATAGCATGCTGCGCATTAAAAGAAAACTACATGAAGATGTTGTATAGATGCTATTTGACGCCTAGCAAGCTGACAAATTTAAAGCCAATGTATGCTGGAAGTGTAAAGAGAAAGAGGGTACTTTTTTCACATGTGGTGATTCTGTAAGGTTGCAAAGGCCTTCTGGAAATTTGTTTATACTGTACTGTAATGAATTGAAAAAATGTTTAAAATAACTTTTGTTAAAAAACCAGAAGCTTTCCTTTTAGGTATACTTGGAGAAGGGGTGCCAAATATCAGGAAAAAACTATGTATGCTATCAGGGCTGCCCGAATGATATACGCACAAAACTGGAAAGAGATGATTGGCAACTAAAACTGATGAAATACGCGGAGATGGAAAAACTTACTGGAAGACTAAGATATCAGGATGATAAACTCTTTGTAGCAGAATGGGGGAAATGTATTGGACATATGAAAACAAACTGTAAACAACTAAAAACATTAGCAGGATTGATATAAACAGGAGCCATAAGGATTATAAGGGAATTAAAAAGGATAAATGGGTAAAATGGTTAAATTAAGATATGCAGTAAGAATTTGCTAGAAAAATAAGAACCCGCAGGAGGGAGGGAAGTAGCAGAAAACATCACTGGGTTTGTGTGTAATTCATATTTATTGTTTAATATTGTAAAATGAAAAAATTAAATTAAAAAGGGAAGAACTTGTCACCCAAAGGGTCCCTAAGCAGAATAATCACACACTTTACTCACAATCTTGTGTCCCTTAAAAATAATGTTTAGATGCTTTATTAAAAAGACCCAAAACTGGTCCGGAGCGAAGCTGCTCCCTCCGCTCAGCCGCGCGGCCCGGGGAAGGCGGCACTCTGCCCATGCCCAGAGCATCCTCGCCCTCCCCGCCGCCCAACGGACCACATTTCCCAAGACGCACCGCGGCAGGGCGGATCTCGCTCCGCCCCATCGAGTCTCCAGGCTCTCCATTGGGCCGGGCGGCTGCCAGTCCGCCAGGCGGCGCCCCCATTGGACGCCGCCTCCTCTCCCCGCGCGCGCGCTCCGGCGGTCGTCGTGTCCGCGGCGAGGGGACCAAGGGCTCCTCCCGGCGTCGGGCAGCCGCGTCTCGCCGCGCCCCGGGCGCCCGCCTCCGCCTCGGGCCTGGAGCCCAGCTGAGGCGCTCCGCCTGGAGCCACGCCCCGCATCCCGGCATGCTCTTCGGCCGCATCCCGCTGCGCGGCGCCTCCCTGCCGAGGGGCGTGGCTTGAGGGATGGGGCGTGGCACATGGGAGCGATGGCTCCGCCCACGCAGGGACGCCACGTGGGAGGTCGGCCGAGCGCTGTTATTATTATTATTATTATTATTAATTATTATTTATTTATTCCAAGGGCTTTTTTCCTTTGGGGACGCAGGGGAACGTGTACCCCTAAACATTTTGTGAATCTAAGTTTGGCCTCATTGAGAGGCAGCATTTCAATATGAGTAGGAAAATAAGAACATTTTTTTAGAAAGAAAAAAAAAGCACTGATAATTCCCTTCATCAAGAGACCACAGGGCGGATTATTATTATTAGATATTTATTATTATGTATTTACACTCCGCCAACAGGAACTCCAGGCAGCCTACAGATAAAAACAGAGAACACAAAAATACATAATTAAATCATAGTAAACGAGGGTGGAAAGACAAATCACAGACACACATCACTGTGTGCCGAACTGGGGTGAGACAGAGCATAATGTTGGCCCATCTGCACGGAGCCCAATTCAAAGTGCAGCTTTTGAGCTATAAAGCCTATTCAGCAGCTCAGGACCGCAATACCCAAAGAACCGCCTCTCCCTATATAAACCAACGCTGTGATTTCCATCTGAGGCCCTTCTTCGTGTTCCTCTGTGTGAGGTCTGGGTGGCAACACAAGAACGCGTCTTTGCAGTGGCTCCCCAGTTGTGGGGCACTCTCCCCAGGGAGGATCACCTGGCGCCGTCATTGCCAATTTTTAGGCGCCAGGCAAACACGTTTTTCTTCAGCCAGGACTTGGGCTGCTTGTGTTTCTGTGCGCTCTGGCACTCATCATGGTCCTCTGTGCACCAGAAGCAGTTTCATCATGTTAGCCATGTGACCTGGAAAAGCTGTCTGTAGACAAATGCCAGCTCCCTTGGCCTGAAAAGCGAGATGAGCACCACACCCCAGTGTCACCTTTGACTGGACTTAACTGTCCAGGAGTACTTTATTGGCTGATTAATGTTCCACAGCCTTGTAAATGTTTCTGTGGGAAGGGGATTTTTTGTTTCGTTGTTTCTTGATTTGACTGTTTGTGCTTTTATCTTGTTTTTTTTCTTGTGAACTGCCCCGAGTTCTTTTGAGGAAGGTTGGTATATAAATCTAATAAGTAAGTAAACAAACAACCCAAAGAAATGCCATGGGTTGATTAGAAACTGAAGGCCTGGGTGAGGAGGAACATTTTCGCCTGGCACTTACCAAGATATGCAGCAAAGGTGCCAGGCAAGCCTCCAAGGGAAAAGCCTTCCACAAAAAAGGGAGCTGCTGCAGAAAATGGATGCCCTAGTAACACGCTCCTCCTTTTCCTCCTCCTGTGTCGCAGATGCGTTTCAATGGCCATTTGGGCTTCCCTGGAGGGTTCGTGGACTGGTGGTTCTGGTCACTGGAGGACGGCCTGAACCGGCTGCTGGGCTTGGGTGGTGTGTCTGACAGAAGCCACCTGGCTTCACACCACGGAGGGCCCTCATCGCATGGCGGCCCACTTGTATGCCAAGCAGCTGACCTTGCTGGAGCTGCATGCTGTCGAGATCAGTGCCGTGCACTCGTGGGACCATGGAATGGAGGTTGGGCTCCAGGGGTCGACAGCAGCACAGAGGGCAGATGGAGGTTCTGCGGAAAGGCTGCTTAGGAGGGCTGCTGGCCACACCTGGCCAAAAATATTGGAGGGGACAAAGGATTAATGGGGTGGGAGAGCTTGATAGGGCTTCCCCTGGGTGGGGGCTTTCATTTGGTGGCCTTAACCTCAGGGCAAAGGGCATTCCTTAATCTTCCAAACAGTGAGGCTCTAGACTGCAGTGCAATATATAGGTTTTCCTAGGTAAAGGTAAAGGAACCCCTGACCATTAGGTTCAGTCGTGACCGACTCTGGGGTTGCGGCGCTCATCTCACTTTATTGGCCAAGGGAGCTGGCATACAGCTTCCGGGTCATGTGGCCAGTATGACTAAGCCGCTTCTGGTGAACCAGAGCAGCACATGGAAACGCCGTTTACCTTCCCGCCAGAGCGGTACCTATTTATCTACTTGCACTTTGACGTGCTTTTGAACTGCTAGGCTGGCAGGAGCAGGGACCGAGCAACGGGAGCTCACCCCGTCACGGGGATTCGAACCGCCAACCTTCTGATCAGCAAGTCCTAGGCTCTGTGGTTTAACCCACAGCGCCACCCAAGTCCCATACAGGTTTTCCTAGTGCAGAGGAAAAGGAGCCCTTTGACTGTGGGTGGGCTGCAGCATGGTGGTATTTTCTGGTCACAGAGCATTTACCCATGCTGTTGCAGGTGATGAGAATGGGTTCGAGTGCCCCTGTATACCCAGAAAGATCGCACGGGCGGGCTGCCTTCCTTCCGGGGGAATTCCTTTGTCAGCACAGCCAAATTCCAGCTCCTTTATGCCTTGAAAGTCTTGAACATGGTACCTGTGGAGAAGCTGGCAGAAGCTGTGGCTGCCACGCAGAAACCCCAGAGGCCTTCCTTAGAAGCAGCCTCAGCCACCCCCACAACCGGTTCCTACTTCAGGAAATTTATTTTTTAATGTGATAGCTTTGAGCACCAGAGGAGCCAATTTTGTTGCTGTGCTGAAAGTGGAGACCAGAAGAATAAAAAACTTTTTTGTTGCACCTACAGAAGACTAGGCTTGTGTTTCTACCCAGCTGTTAAAACTGCATAGCTGACCTTTTGTTTGAACCTACATAGCTTAACACAGGGATGCTCCAGAATGCTGCTTCTCTCCCACAGGGGTATACAGCTAACTCTCTTCCTATCTCCAAGTGGCACAGTCAGGCTTTCCATAAATTTCCAAGATTAGTCCAAGCTGCCCATTTAATCTGAAAGCTTCTACCTCTCATGTGATTTATTTCAGGTATCTCTACAAGCGAAAGGGCAAAACAGCAAAAATCTGAAATGCATTAAGAGTTCTCTAAACCTAGCCCACCCCTTACGAAAGATGTACTCAAAAGGGACACAGATGGCAGCATAGGAGTCAAGAGCACAAGCTAGGCGCAAAGCTCAGCGGGTGGGCTAAGTCTTAGGCAAAGCCACTTTCTTAGTCACACAGCCATCCGTCGTAGGGCAGCAACAGCACTGCCCTACCATGAAAGGAGCTTTGCAGTAAGGATTGCTCAGGTCCCGTTTACACGTGGGGTAGAATCCACCAGCAAAGCTTTTTCTAGACTGTACTAGCTCAAAGGTATGGAATTCCTTTCCCCTGCACCAGCCCTCATCTGGAAAACCAGAGCATCATCCGGAAAAGCCCAAGTATTAACATTTGCTTCAGAAGGAAATGACTTAAGCTCATTCCGAAAGGGCTCCCTTTCATACAAAGCTGTTTGACTTTGTTAGCCCGCCAGTCAGTCAGTCTACTTCACTTCACAGCTGCTTACTGTAACTAGCAGTGGCTCAGAGTCTTGGCTGGGGCCTGGATCTGTGATCTTAGCTGTGCAAAGCACTAAGGCTACGGGTGGATCCTTCTTCGCCCTAAGCTGTTAATTTCCCCGCTTTCTGCTGCTGTGTTGCCTGGCCTTGCCCTGTGCACAGGGAGACAGAGGCAAATGCCACCGGGGGCGGGGGGGCGAACAAGTGGCAGTAGCACAGAGTAGCACAAGTCTTGGCAGGGGCAGCTGCCTTTGGTGTGTGCTTCTGAAAAAGCTCTTCCACCCCAACGGTCTGGCTTCATGGGCCAGAGCCCTGAGGAACAAAGGCAGGAGACCACACTGTTGTGCAATGGCTAAAAACAAGACAGGAGAGTCACAAACAAAACAAACTCTTTTAATCAAAGACATTTAAAGTGGCTGGCTGGCCTTTGCTCTTCAATAAATAAGGGTTGTGGCGAACACCACCGTCTTCTCAAAGGGGGCAGGCCCACAGCTGAGGCCTTTTGTTTCCTGTTCCTGAAGCCATCTGTTTAGGAGTAGTGTGTGCACAGACAACAGGCAAGCAGGCAGGCAGGCAAGCAGGCAGGCAGGTATACAAGAGCCACAAAGAGCTCAGACAAGGAGTATACAAAAGCATGAAAAGAAAACCAAAATACACATGGAAACAATAACAGCTCAGGACATTCTCAGGCAAAAGGAAAGTTTCAAAACGAAACAAAAACCCACCACAACACACACTTAAAAGAAAATCACACAAAATGATTGTTATTTAAATGGACTTTCCTAAATCCAAGCTTGGGGGCCCTTGGAGGACGTGACACCCTCCCTGCCTTTTATGCAAAGGGCAGCATTGCCAGTGCAATCAATCCATGGGGCAAGGAAGCACCCCACGTGTCAGCTCAGCCTGCCAGGGATGTGCCTCTTAATCTGAGAGCCAAAGCTCTGGAAGATTTCTGCCCTCTGCAGCATAATGGGGGTTCTTGATCGTTACTGGAAGGCAGGTAACATTTTATCAAGCCCTAGATGGCAGGAAGTACCACTGAAGCCTTGCCAAAGCCAGCACCACTATGGCTAGCCTGTTGAGTTTGGGAAACTGGACCATCACAGTCCCTCGTGAGTCAGGTGACCAGACACAGTGGAGGGGTTCTGTGTCTACCCTTCCTATTAAAGAGGCAGCTCTTTTCCCCGAAGCCATACATAGATAGGGAGCACCTGCCTAGGCTTCTGAATCCTCCTTCCAATTAGACAAACAGCAACATGATGGAAGAGGAAACATAAGAGTTGTTTTATTCCTTAAAATCGAAAAGTGCAAGTCTCAGAACAGAGCTGAGCATGCAGTCAGATTAAGCCATTATTGGGGGAAGGGACCCCTTTGGGGCAGGGGAGACTGTGGGCCCTTCATCATCTGATAAGACACTGCAATATCTCAGCATCTTCCTGCTGCAAATGCGGTGAGATCTATATTGCTTTCTAATTCCAACTGGAAATTCAGACCTGCTGCTTCATCAAGCTTTGTATAATCTCAACTGGGTGGTAAACAAATGGGCATTCTGGAAGGGAGGGAAAAGGCATCTGGTCATGCAGGGGCCTCCTAGCTCAGAAGAGTTCTGGGCTCACAGAGCAGCAAAGTTAAGAAGACGAGCTCGCTGGCACTGTTCCAAGGGTCCACTTGGATGCTGGCAACTCTTCCCAGAAGACGACAGCAGAGGGACAGGCTGTTTGCCCTGCATCCAGCACACCTTGACTTCATTGCAGTCATATAGTGGGGAGATGCCTCCTGAGAATCAGAGAAGTCATAACCCTGTCGGTGCTGCTCTCTGCAAAGCACTCCTTCTCCGGAGAGGTGTTGTGCACAAGAGCCAAGCACCTTATCCTACTGGCCTGTAGGGCAGCCATAGTGGAGGGCTGTGGCGCAAAGCCCAGATGGGGCAGTGCAGTTGTGCCCCACTGCACACTTGAGGGACCAGAGGGCTACACCAGGCACCTTTGGGCAGCAGAGCCAGGGGTTAATAGCTAAATGGGGAACGGGTGTCGTGTGCAAAACGTGGCAAACAAAAAGCATCCATTGAAGGCCCCGAAGGTGCCTCAACAGACAGCAGGAACCAAAGGTGAGACTTCTGCCTTGCAGCAAAGCAAGTGTTTCCTCTGTACGTCCTCAACCCTGGCTGCAACCTCGTTGGGAGACCCATTTCCACAATTATACCTTGGGACACTGGGGAAACTGACAGGCAAGCACTTCAGGCTCCCACCGGAAGATTCAGCAAAGGAGGAAGTGAAGGGCCCCTGAGTTTCCACAGCAAGGTGGATTCCTCAAGTCAGATCTTCCCACACCTTCACAGCATCCACAGGTCTTGCGTTCTAGCTCAGACCACAGGCAGAATTCTATATACACAGTGTATGTTGAGAAATACACACCCTCACCCATTTCACTATGAAACAGCCAATCCAAGATGCTTCATTTAAAACCACCCCCAGGCAAAGGAAGCCCGTGTGAGAGGGGAGGCGCTGGAGCTCTGGGCTTCCCAGCGGCCGACAAAAATAGAAGTGCAGCTTATGAAGCCACAACTTTTACACCAAAGGAGTGAAAAACCGCATCGGCCTTCTCTGCTCCTAGTCACAGCATCAGGGAAAAAATCAACACAGTCTTCCTCTCTTTTGTGCAAGGTCCATCCTCACCCCAAGCAGAGGGCTTGGAGCATACCTGGTGTCTCTCGGGCAGCTGCTGAAAGACTGGCTGGAGGATGAACAGCCGCTCACCTCCAGCGAAGGAGGAGCATCTACGGGAGAACCATGACTTTCAACCTGCAAACTCTTCCTTAAGCCCTGGGGCAACATGGGAAACGAGAGCCCAGCAAGATGAGAAGATCTGCCAAGTCTTGGCTAGTTCACAGAGGGGCATCCAGGTTCATGGGATGGATCAGCGAGCAAAACCGTTGTCCGTTTCATCACGTAGAGAAGGACCTGCCTACAAGAGAACCACTGTTCAGAACCATCAAAGAACAAGTATCGTGCCACATTCAAGGTGGAGCCTGCCCCAGTTCTAATGCACTTGCACCTTAAATTTAAATTTTACTAAACAGAGCATACAACAGTGGGTGCCAGGGTGGCCTCCACTTCTTGCTCCCAGCACAAGGAGCACCCACAGGGCAGGGAAATGGCATGACCAGGCTGCAACTTACCTTAGAATCACATTGTCCGGCTGTATTCAATGCCACTCTTTGCTGAAATGCCCGACCATGGCAAGAGACTGCAGAGGAGGCTCTGGGCTTGGCGGTAGATCCGCTGGGGAATTGTGCAGGGGCTCAGACTGGCCAAGGTCGATCCGATGTGCTGAAGATAGTCAGTGCAGTGCCGTTAAGGAGCCCCAACAATGAAGACTGAGACAGCTGAATTGGCCAAGCCAAAGAAGCAGCAGCAGCAGCAAGTGCCATCGCTGCTGCTCCCTCTGGGAGGAGTCTCAGCATTCCATTTTACGAAGAGGGAAGTGGCTGGACAGCGCTGCAGGTGTCAGCTCAGTGGCACAGCAGACTCAGGCCCACAGAGCACCAATATGAAGAAGCTCTAACTTGCATGTTAGAGCAGGACAAGTTCTTTGGGAAATATTGCTTCCCATGGAAAGAGGGTCCATCACCTGCAAATTCTAATGTGCTCTGGGTCCCCACACCAGGACACTGGGATTGCTCAGGGTGCCTCAGGGGAGCAGCATAAACATTTCCATGTAATGTGCATCATGATTATAATTTGGACTTTGTGCCTCTCAAGGCCAAGACACTTGGGCCCTACTAAAGAGGCAATCCATAACCAAAGTCTTAAAAGTCAAACATGAGCACACCTGGCAATTATTACTTGTTTGTGCACCAGGAGGAAGCACTAGACACAGAAAGGTGGCAGCTCCACAAAGGTAGGAATTCTTTCCCTTGCAGATTATCAAAATATAAGAATGAAGTCTATTCTGGAAGGGGTGTAAGGCCCAGGAAAGTAAGCAAATATGCAGTAATTTAACTTCTTTCAATATATTGCATCTTGCATTGCACTGGACATTTTGTCTCAGGTACAATGTCTTTATTAGGAGAGTCCTATTTGGCTGCAGCAGTGGCCAGACCCCCCCCCAGCAGTGCCAGCCTGGGTCTTGGTAGGATGAAGGGGCTCTCACCCTGCCCTGGGCTGCCAAGCACCAGTCCCTGACCTATGCTCATGCAACATGGTGCATGGCTTCTCAAAACACCAAAGACCAGATCATGAGCAGCATCCCACAGCCTGCCAGACCACCAGCAAAGGATATAAGATTGTCCATGGAGGGTGCCCACCATTGATGTACAGAACGTAAGTGAAGCCATCTTTGAGGACGCCTCTTATGGAATAATAGTAGGGCAGGTAATGGTGCTGCTTAAAGTCTCTGTTTTCATAGAAGTTTATAGCAGTGTTGTTAGTGGTGAGGACATGCAGGTAGATGGCTTTGCAGTGATCCTGGGCAGTCGTTGATATGTGATCTTTCAAGCTTTCAAGTAAGAGAGAACCTACCACAGGAGAGAAAGCGTTAGAAGCAACAAACGCGGCCAACCCACTGCCCACGCAGTTTTCGCTGCTACTTTGCTGTGACTGAGTTTTAGCTGCAGTAACATGCCCTTACTCTGAAGCGAGGGTTCCCCCCTACCTTGTACCCCCTCCCCGCTAGCACTGGAACAGGAACGCTTCCATCTCTTAATTTCTGGACTACTTAGCAGAAGCGACACATTGGCAATGTTGCCAAGTGTGACCCTGGCCAGTGGACACGGGTAGCCTGGCAAGGGGCTTGTCAGGTTAATTACAGCTTGAAATATATACTCTGGGGTGAGGATGAATGACCACTTGTGTCCATTAAGGGGCAGGCTTTCTGCAGTTTTAAAACACATGCTTGGAGTTGTGCTGCAGTGAAGACCATGACAAGGGCTCTGCCCCCTCTGCCTGACAAGGCTTCCACACCACATTTCCTGGCATCTTCAGCTAAGGCTGGGGGGATTTTTCGATTGCAGTATGAAAGCGTCACAAGCACCTCAGTTTTTAGTTAAGAGGAAAGGCACATTTCCAGCTCCCATGTTTGTGAGGATAGGCTTGAAAGCATGGAGGCAAAGAATGACAAGCTCTCAGAAGCCACAGGGAGGCAGGTAGTAGCTGGGGGTCCTGCCTCAGAGGGGACACATGGAATTCCTTGCCCCTAGACATGGAGAGCACAAAGCAGCAGCACTCTTCTAGTCCAGAAATGTGAGTTCCCTTCTTTTTCAAGTGCAGAGGAGTATACACAGATGTGCAATCTGCTCTTGTGCTTGTGATGCAATAACACGGCCTTTTTTGGTGTGTTGTTTGACTGACTGCAGCAGTGCAAAGTATTTAAAGTGCAATCCTGTGTATGTCTACTCAGAATTAGGTCCCACTGTGTTCAATAGGGCTTACTTCCAAGGCAACTATGCATATGAGATTGCAAGCTAAGATACTCTTACCTATGCCATGCTTTCGAAATTCTTTTACCACTCCTAAGCTTAAAATGTAAGCAACCTGAGTATCCACCGGGAAACTGGAAGCTAAAATGTCACCATCCTAAAGGGAAGAAAAAAAACCACAGCAGAAAGGCATTTACTCAATACACAAAGATACAGAACCCATTTTTCTGGCATGCTTCGTGCTTTTTGCCAAGCAGCCTCTTTGCCAATCCAGCCTCTTTCACTTGGCAACTTTCTGTTTGGAAGTTGGATGGAGGCAAGGAAGATTTGGAGCAGACACACCGACACATGTGTCCAGGGGAGGGGAGCCAAATGGAAATTGGCAGATGGTAAATAAGAACATGGGAGTTGAAACTGGAGTCTATGGAGAGGGGCAGAGAACAGTCAAAATTGAAAAAGGCCCTACCCAACACTACTGGAAATCCCTTTCAAGCCCCAGGATCTCTAGCACACGGTTGAGGAGCCTGTGGCCCTCCAGATGTTAATGGACTGCAACTCCAACCAGCCCCCCAAGCATGGCCAATGGCTGGGGATGACGGAAACGACAGTCAAACATTTGGAGAGCCATAGGTTCCCCACCCACCCTTTAGCAGATGCTGCCTTCACAAGCGCACGACTGAAGCCATGAAAGGCAGCTAGCTTGCTGTCCCATTATAAAGACAAACATGGACTCCATGATGCAAGCCTCAACTGCTCAATGGCTGGTGGGTAGGCAAGGGTTGTGCACCTGTTCCTGGAGCGGGGCCCTCTCTCATACCTCTTTGTGCACTTTTGTTCGACTCTTGATCTCAGCTACTATCATTCCCACAATAGAGCCTCGGTAAGTGGCTGCCAGGGAAAAAAACTTCTTGTTGGAGGTGATGTCCCGATACCATGAGTCAGGGTACCTGGGAAGAAAGGTAGAGAGGTGAGGGAAGAACCCAACAGATCTCATACGAGCTGCAGCACATGTGCAGTGGAAAGATTTCCCCTGCTGTTTCTTCACATGGAAAATTTCCAATTTCTATACATAGAATTGTACAGTTTGAAGGGACCCCAGATTTCATTAAAAAACAACAACTGTAACATAAAAATAGATGGATATAATACCAGTCAAGCTGGGTAGCTGCAAAGTTGTATTTAACTTGTTTTCTAGTGACTTTCCCTAGAAAGCACGCATTAATATAAATAGGATGTTAATAGCATTCAGAGTTTGTTTACAATTTAAAGGGGGGCAGTGATGTGAGGAAGTGTCTGCTATTAACAGTCATTTCTGGGGAAAGCCTTGAGGGCAAGATAGTGAAGCCTGGAGGATCAACATCCGGGCCCAAAGCCTGAAGTTCCCTACCCCTGGTCTAGATGGCCTCTGGTTGACAGTTTTCTCATTTTATGATCAACTGCCCCAGCATAACAACAGGATCTCTGAGTTGACAGTGTCAGCTCTGGCTGTGGTTACACCTGCCAGTTCACGAAATTCAAGGAGGCAGATTCCATTCCTCTTCTTCCCTCCCCCCAAGCAAATCAGTTGCAAGAGCCCAGGCTGCAACATACTCTATTGGGAACCAATCACCGCAGAGCTGCTTGACTGTGTCTATGTCATCATGGCACAGAAGACGAAGGTATATCTCACTAAGTGCAGTTGGAGGCACCTCCTCTGTCATTCACACCTGGAAAATAAAAGAAAGAAAAGGTTTTTAAGCAGAGGTTGGATGACCAACTGTCATGGATGCTTTAGCTGAGGTTCCTGCATAGCAGAGGGTTGGACTGGTTGACCCTTGGAGTCCCTTCCACCTCAACAATTCTACAATTAAATGATCACATCCTATAAAAATACAGTGGACCCTCGGGTTATGTTACCTTTGGGTAATGTAACTTTTGGGTTGTGAATGGGGCAAACCTGGAAGTGTATACTTCTGGGTTTCGCCCTGCACACATGCACAGAAGCGCTTTATCATGCTGCGTGCGCAGAAGCAGCGCCTCTTACGGAATTTTCAGGGTCCATACAGACCCCCAGAATGAAATACAGAGGGTCCACTGTAATATAAAATAATCATCAAAATGACTGGCTTGCCTTGAAAATATTCAAACTGTCAGCATAAAAAGATATTCAATAAGCATCTGAAAATTTATCCTACCTCTGCAAGCACCTCCTACATCCTGATGCTATTGATCTAAGCTCACCTTGCAATGTCCGCCTCCACCCCCCCACCGGAAGGAGGCCTGCAACTGGTCCTGAGCTGTCTGCTTCCTATTCACTTCCTATGAGCTGCTTTGCCAAACTCTGCACTCCAGGAAATTAAACTGCAAAGCAAACAAGCTTGCTTGGTTTGAATACAGCAGGTGCAGGGAACCTTTGACCTTCCAGATGTTGCTGAACTACAACTTCCATTAGCCCCAGAAAGAATGGCAAATGGCCAGGAATGATGGGAGTTCCCCAAACCTGAAGAAGAACATGATTAGATAACTGAAAAAACAGTCTGCTTGAGCAACAGGCAGAGATTTTCCCTCAGCGACCAAGGTACAAAGGACAGGTCTGTGTGTATGCATTCTTCACATGATAAAATGAAAGCTTCTGTTGGGGCTAAATTGGGGGTGGGTGGGTCTCTTGCTGCTGCATTAAGCACTGTAATGCACTGTGTACACCAAAGCCAACCTAGATGTTCCCACCAGCAAACAGGAAGAGCAAAGCATTCTCTCTTTGCCATCTGTATGTTTACCTGCTGCAGACAAGCCAAATCCAATGACCCTGACTGTGGGAAATTTAAAAGGCCCAAAGTCTGCCTTGGCAAATGCTACTACGGCCAGCTCTACATAGACATAAGAAGGGAAATGTCAGTGCTGCTAATCTTTATTCAGTTCCAGGAACATCTTTGATATTAACTCAACTGCTGGACCATCTGTTACCTATTTATTTTAATCTAAAACCCTCTACTGGGGACGTGGGTAGTGCTGTGGTTTAAGCTACTGAGCCTCTTGGGCTTGCCGATCAGAAGGTCGGCAGTTTGAATCCCTGTGACAGGGTGAGCTCCCGTTGCTCGGTCCCAGCTCCTGCCAACCTAGCAGTTCAAAAGCACGCCCAAAAAAGTGCAAGTAGATAAATAGGTACCGCTCCGGTGGGAAGGTAAAAGGCATTTCCGTGCACTGCTCTGGTTTCGGTGTTCCGTTGCACCAGAAGCGGCTGCCCGCATGACCCGGAAAAACTGTCTGTGGACCAACACCGGCTCCCTCGGCCTGAAAGCGAGATGAGTGCCGCAACCCCAGAGTCGTCTACAACTGGACTTAACTGTCAGGGGTCCTTTACCTTTACCTTTTTAAAGCCCTCTACCAGTGTAAATGTAATACAAACAACAATTTTGTGTATTGAATTCAGCAGAACCAACTTCCAAGTAAATATGTGTAGGGTCAGAAAATATAGTTCTCATATGACTTTAGTGGGGCTACTTTCATGCACAGGATCACACTCCATGGCAGAGGTAAATCCGACTGACAGGTAATGTGGTTTGAGAGGAACATCTGGCTCAAGTCCTCCTCCTATCCAATTAGTAAGTGGGGAGGGGAATTGATGAATGGAAGACCTAGCCTTGGGATGGACAGTCCAACTTGATAACATTTGCCTTTTTAAAAGTGCCATCGGACTTTTTATTATTATTATCATCATCCATATTTATAAATTGCCTAACAATTCCAAAATGTAGTGCACAGATTAAAAACAAAGACAGTCCCAGCCTAAAGACTTACAACCTGAAAAACGGAACACAGAAGGAAAAAGAGATGCGGAGGGAAAGGCAAATGCAAAACCCAGTCACCAGCTGTTAAAGTTAGAGTTCTTATAATGACAGACTTTAACGGAAGGAAATAGTTCTGGCAGGTAAAGCGCCAAACACAGCTGACTTCTCAGCTGAGCTGAAGGAGATGGCCCTGGTACCCACCTCTCCCTCTCACCTGTCAGATTACTTCCTCTGCTGCAGCAAGAATTCTGGCTAAAACCTTTGTCTGGGAATTAGGAAGCCTACCCAGACTCAAAGCAGCAGGAAGCAAAGAGGCACAAACTGCCAGCTTACCTTCCAGAAGAGGCCAAAAGCCAGAGGGGACAGAACTAGTGCAATGTCAAGCAGACTCTCTCTTCCTTGACCAAATTGCCTCCTAGCAGCAGGACCACAGCAGCCCTAAGGCTGCACCCCCTACTCATGCACACCTTTCTTAAGAATCATCAGAGATGACCCCTGCAGAAGTAGAATCCAGCACTCCCGATTGACAGCTGCCACCCAAAACCTCCTTTCAGTAGCTTCTAGGTCCTCTTAATAACACAAAGGAGGCAGGCTCACGGCAGTTTATTATTAGTGTTGCTCTAAAACTGGGTCAAAACACCATGTGCTTTGCATTTTGCAAAGAAAACGCTTTAACACAGCAGATGGAAAATATCACCATGGGGACTTTGCTTCCTGCAAGACGGCTGAGTCTTTAGGGGTCTCGTCACAGCAGCTCTGATGGCTACCAGACACAAAGGGAAGAAAATCACCACCAGTATGAGAAGACATTTTGATAACACTGAATATTTTTGGACCATACACAGTACTTCAGAATTACGGATTAGGATTATGTGGTAACTCCTCCCTGAGCAGATGCACTCTTCAGCCATCCAAAGTAAGTCCTGCTGATTCGTGCTGCACTTGCGAATGCCCTCTTCCCATGTCCAGAACAACTTCTACTGTCATCCTGTCTTCACTTCCCAGAAAAAAACAACCATTCCTTTAATCTCACATTTTGCAGCTTTCCAGTCTTGGAAGAGGTCAAGCTTTAAACTGACTTCCTAAAAAGCTTTTGAAGAGCTTCCTTCAGAATTTCCAATGGGCTGTTTGAAAATGACGAATATTTCTTATCCTTTGTCTGTTATAAACTCTTATGGCTCATTCAGACTTGTGCTTCTCCCCTGCCTAGAAAGCACTGGTCCCAGTGGTTTTGCCCTTGCCCTGCTTTCTCCTTGAAACCTGCTCTTTAGCAAATGTCAATCTGGAGAAAACCCAGTAGATATCAGGTTTCCCTAGGGGGAAACAGTGGGGCAAAGGCAAGTCTCCAGCACATGGAAAAACACTCACCCAAGAAGCTTCTCACTCTTAGCATTTCAGGTAAAGCGCCTGTTGCTATTTCCATTCAGAGTGGTATGTTTGCATCCTCCCTGTGAGGCTCATTCCGTTGTTGCTTGCTACTACATCTCATGACCACGAACTGTAAAGGTTAACTATGTACAAAAACAAAGTCTTTGATATACAATGGAACCTTGGGTTGCAGACATAATCCGTGACAGAGGCATGTCTGCAACCCGCAGCGTTTGCATCCTGAAGTGCCGCGTCTGCGCGATTTGGTGCTTCTGCACATGCGCGAGTGGCGAAACCCGGAAGTAACCCATTCCGGTACTTCCAGGTTTCCCGCGGTCCACAAACTGAAAACACATAACCTGAAGCATCTGTAACATGGGGTATAACTGTATGGGCATTTTATATTTCCTTCTACCCATAGAAAACTCTCTCCCCGGCAGCATAGGGTCCTTCCAACCAGCAACCAAGGCAGAGGTTTGGAAACTCTCTTGCTATCAACACACACAACCCAGGCATTAAAAAAAAAAAATTAAAATACCTGATAAGAGATGCAAAATAGCTTTTCAGTGACAGGCATACAAATTATTCAAGGTCCAAAGTTCAAGTTAGAAATAAGAACCAGGTTTTTAATTATTTAAAACGGAGATGGCAATTAATCACAAGGATAGAATACCAGCAGGTACAGCAAAACTATTATCACATTAGCATCTCCCTGTCAAAACCTAATGGCTTCCATGGGAGAGGAATAACACAAATCAGTGAACTCAGACAGAAGCAGCATAAATCCAATGAAATACAGTGGAACCTTGGTTCTCGAACGCAATCCATTCTGGGAGTCTGTTTGACTCCCAGAACAGTTAGAAAACCAAGGCATGGCTTCCGACTGACTGCAGGAGCTTCCTGCACTCAACCGGAAGCCGCATAGGACGTTCGGCTTCTGAAAAACATTTGCAAACCGGAACACTTACTTCTGGGTTTGCGGCGTTCAGGAGCCAAGCCATTCGGGAACCAAGGTACCACTGTACCGAAAAACAGCTTCATTGTTGTGAGCAGTACCAGCTAGAGGCCTGTGGGGGGACTCAGACTAGATCAAGAGCCTCTCCCCTCCCACTAAGAGGGAGACTTATAGGTTATCACCTCGGCCCTAGCAACAGCCCATTGTTCTAGCAATGTCACTAAATAACTCCTGCTGCAACCCATTCCTCTAGTGCCTTCAGTGGACAGCAGGAGTCTAGTTTCCCCCTTATTAGGAAAAACGTAACTGATCAAACAGAGCAATGGAGAAAAAATACACATATTTTTAAAAAGACCAATGGAAGAACAAGGTGGTCTCATTTAGAGAATAGGTATCCTCTTTAGGCAAGGACCTTCCCACTTCCTGCCACTCAACCTTGTTCTTACAAGTTTCAGATCCATCCAAGCGTTTGTTCATCTAATATTAAATTTTTAAAAAGTTATCTCAACACAAACCAACAAAATGACAAAGAGTTTGTCAAGTCAAGACAAGCTCTGAGGTCAGAAATGCCTAATTTATTTCAGAGTACAGTGGTACCTCAGGTTACATACGCTTCAGGTTACAGACTCTGCTAACCCAGAAATAGTGCTTCAGGTTAAGAACTTTTCTTCAGGATGAGAACAGAAATTGTGTGGCGGCAGCGGGAGGCCCCATTAGCTAAAGTGGTGCTTCAGGTTAAGAACAGTTTCAGGTTAAGAACGGACCTCCGGAACGAATTAAGTACTTAACCCGAGGTACCACTGTATACACAGAGCTTAAACTGAGTTTAAGAATTTCCCAGTAAAAATAAACAAACAATAAAAGCAATTATGGGAAACTGTTACACTTCAGGACTCCAATGCAGAATTATCAGCTCCTTCAAGTATTGTAAGAGTATTCTGTTCTTGGGATTCTTTGGAAGATGCTACAACCATTCAACAGACTAAAATGCCGACATGCCCTTGGTAGCTTTCATCTTCAGCATCTTGCTCATCTAGGCTCTTGAAAGGGTTCAAGCAGCATTAATGGGGTGGACAATTCCACACCATTAAAGGGGAGGAGGCAATCACTGCAACACTGTGGACCTTCATTCTGTGTGTGAGCAACAGAGCTCAAGGTCAGGGGGTGACTTCAGTATAGCCCTGGAGGATTAATGCCGCACCTCATACTCCAAAAAGGAAGTGGGAGCATCAGCTCAACCCCAGTGTGTGCCATGTTGATACAAGTGCCACCAGTCTTAGGTGGACGCAGAAAACTTTGCTAGCAAACAAGCACTTGCAATTCAAGCCCTTCAAGGCCACTTTCAAAAGCCAGAGAAGACTTGGCGTCCTGCTTCACCTTCTGAGCCAAGTGCAGCCATGACGCTTACCACCCCCATCACACTTTACGCTACTCTCACATAAAGTCCTTTGTTTCCTCTTTGCCTGCTTGTTGTCATCCCAAATGGCAAATGTTCCCATTTTTCTCTTCTGATGCACTTCACAGAGGCCTGCCTGTTTCAGGCTCCCTTGCAATGAAAAATGTAAAGATTGAAGATGATGTCTTCACCCAAAGACATCTGCCTGGGAAACAAAACACTCACGGTTCCTATACCCATCCTTTTAAAGAAAGGGAGGGCCTATTGGAACTGTGACTTGGATCTTTCATTGGAATGCAAAACATCCCACACATTCCGTCTCTCTCTCACACACAAACAAAAGCAAACCTAAATGCTATTTTCAGCTTTAAAATATCAACATATTCCAAAGAGGCAATCAGGAGCAACCCAGTATAGATACAGCCCCTGCCCTGGCTCACCTGCAGCAATATTAGGACTAGTCTTGACTTGATCTTACTTTTGGGCTGCTGTAAAGTCCAACTGCTAAGAGTCCAGGGTCAAGAAATCCTGTAAAAAGTGGTGAAGACACTATTACACACATCTCACCTCCCTCGTCTCCTTACTACTTTGAAAGAATCAAAACCATACCTTTATTCAAATATGGATTCCAGAGCAGTAAACAGAAAAAATCTAAATATCAATAGAGCATTAAAACCAACAATAAAAAGAATATATTCAAACAAATCCTGAGAGTTAACAGACCAAAACTACTCAACAAGCTAAAACAATAACACTAAGTACAGCCCTGTGATGTAATGGTTAAGAGCAATGGACAAGGACCTGGGAGATCAGAGTTCACAGGAAACGCACAATTTGGTCTTATGGCAGAATCAAATGGAAGCAACAAGCTTCCTCAGGAGCCACAAGTAAATTATGTTTACTCCATCCCCAAGTAAATTATGTTTTCAGGATGGTTAGTTTTTTATGGTGACTGTTGTGGCTCACTGAATGTTTGTTGCATTGCCTCGGCTGCTGTGAATGTTTGAAAAAGCGGCATGGAACTCTTTCAAACAATAAATTTAACTTCTTATCTCATGGTGACTTTTGCGAGGGGGCAAGGTCAAGAGAGAGGGAAGTGAGATGCCTCCTCAGAAATGCCAGACCAGTGTTAACCTGAGAGGAAGTGGCTGGTACACGACCCGTCAGGGGTAGAGAGGGTTTCCTTTGCAATCCTGGCAACTGCTTGCTCTGTACTGACAGGGGGGCCTGCGCAGTATCTTCCGCATTAATGCCTCCCACTAAGCAGGTTGCATATTCTTCTTAGAATGGGTGTGCTTTTATTTTAATTTTAATGTATTTTTATTAAAGATTCCTTGGCTTACAAAAGCACGTGCAATGTCTCTTTTTTCAAGTTACATTTTCTACAGATCAGTTTCATTTGTTGAGACATTAGGTGTCACATTAGGAAGAAAGGGCGGGGAGAGGTGGAGTGGTGTGTGGGGTCGGGTGGCGATGTTTCTATTTTACTTAAGGTTTGGGGTTTTGTGTCAGCGCGAACAGGTGTGCATTTAATGTATTATTTTAGCGGGTTTCTAAGATGCATTAATTTACGTGGGATTTTGTTTATTTGGGTTTTTCACTTGGTTGCAAGTTCCTCTGAGTTGCCTTTGGCGAGAAAGTGAAGAACAACAACAATACTAATGCCGTGTGTGCCGTGAGCGCGCGAGCGCGCGCTGCTTACGATACTTCGCTTCGATGCTGCGACCTTCGGGCGAAGGGCGGGTAATCGATAACCTCGCGCGCCCTTCTGCTCCGCTGGCAACCCCGGAGGGCCCATTCGCGGGGCTGCCGGAGCGGCCCCGATCCCGGGGCGGGAGAGGCCTTGCTCTCAGGGACGCGGAAGCGGCTCCCACGAAGGGAAAGGCCGGGCTGCCGCCGCCGCCGCCTCCTCCTCCTCCTGGCCGGGGCCTCCGGCGCCGCCGCTTCTCCCCCGGCCCGAGTTCCGCCCCGCGGTCGGGCCCTGAGGCGGCGCGTCTCTCCCCGAGGCGTCCCGGCCTACCTGAGGAGGGGCGGCGGCTGCCCCAGCTCCAGGCCGGAGGCGGCGGCGTCGGCACGCGGCTCGCTTAATTCATCCCGGGGAGGGAGTCCGGAGGAGGGCGCGGGCGGCGGAGACCGAGCGGGGCCGGCAGCGGATACCTCAGCGGCAGCGGCGGCGGCGGCGTCAGGCCCACCTCGCAAGAAGGCGGCGCCCCATTGGCCGCGCGGCGGGAGGACGGCGTCACGTGGCTGCCCGTCACCGTCGAGGGCAGGCGCTGCGGCCGCGCACGCGCAAACCGAGGCAGCGGAGTCGGGCTGCCTGTTAACAACGCCGGAAAGGAAGCTCCGCCGGCCGGCGGCTCTGCGCATGCCCAGTTGCGCTCCTCGCCCGTGGCTGCCTACTAGCCAGCCCAGATGGAGCCTCCCTGCTCCGGCGCAGTCTACCCCTGGATTGCCCTCTTGGAAGCACAGAGAGACCCCTGAGGGTCATCTGGTCCAACCCCCCTGCAGTGCAGGAATCCTCTCCTGTTTTATGGGCTTTCCATAAAAGGTGTCAGCTTGGCCTTGGGGGTAGGGGGAGTATAGTAATAATAATAAATAAAGAAATAAATTTTTTTTATATCCCGCCCTCCCCAGCCAAGACCGGGCTCAGGGCTAACAACCAATAATAAACAAGATTAAAATACAACATTAAAACATTAAGGTGCAGCCTCTTCACAGGAGGAGAAAGGAAAAAAGAAAGAGGGAGAGGGACTTCCCATATAGATGACTTCCCATACCGCAGGCAGCGTCGCCATCATAATATACTTATTTAAACCCCGCCTTTTCCCCTGAAGGGACTCAGGGAGGGTTACAGATAAAATGGAGGCAGATAAACACGTCCCCCCCCCCCCCCGGAATAATTAAAAATACAATTAAAGAACACTGATTGAATTCAGACTATATATACAAACCTATCAAATCTATTTAAGACCATACAAATAATTGCGCCCCAAATCTAGCATGGCACCAGCCCTTTCAGTAAAAGTAGTCCATGACCAAGAACCTGTTGCAACCGCAACTGGCGGAAGGACAGCAAGGAGAGAGCCAGTCTAACTTCCATAGGGAGGGAGTTTCTGACTTGTCTGGGAGCAGCCACCACCAAGGAGGCCCTCTCTCACGCCCACCACAAGTGTGCCCCTGAAAGCCAGTTGCAGCAAAGGGCAACTGACCTGCCTTGTTTGCCAGGCAGGGGAGGGTGGCAGAAGCAGAATTCTGGGCTGAAAGGGGCCTCAAGGCAGATCCAGCAGAGCTCTCCTTACAGTGAACCTGCAAAAACTTGTCCTGACAGATTCTTAAAGAGCCTCTTTAGATTATAAGAGAATGTTAAGAAAAGCCATAAAGGTAAAGGTACCCCTGACCATTAGGTCCAGTCGCAGACGACTCTGGGGTTGCGGTGCTCATCTTGCTTTATTGGCCGAGGGAGCCAGCGTACAGCTTCCGGGTCATGTGGCCAGCATGACTAAGCCGCTTTTGGCGAACCAGAGCAGTGCACAGAAACGCCGTTTACCTTCCCGCCAGAGCGGTACCTATTTATCTACTTGCACTTTGATGTGCTTTCGAACTGCTAGGTTGGCAGGAGCAGCGACCGAGCAACGGGAGCTCACCCTGTCGCGGGGATTTGAACTGCTGACCTTCTGATCGGCAAGTCCTAGGCTCTGTGGTTTAACCTATACTAGGGGAATAAATGGACCCCTCTAAATGTTAACTGAACGTCAAGTAAAGCTGCGAGACTAATTTGAGGTTTTGGAAAAGTCAGCCTTTGCCTGTTTCTCTAGAGCTATGCAAGTCAATAGAGTCGCCTAGCATGGGAGGCACATTTGGGTCTGGCCGGGTGTTTGGTTTGGTTGTGAGTAGACACGCACATGCCCCCACCTATATTTGTAATTCTTACAACCCCTTCCCATGCAGAATTAAGCATGGCTAAGTCTGATGAAATTCTCCACTTCTGCACAGGATTAGGCTGCTTATCTACACAAAAAGATGGCAGGATTCAGGGCAGCCACCAATCTAGTTGTTCAGTTTAGAAGTCCACACCCCTTGGTGCATATTCAGCAGCCCTGTATCACTGCTGCCCACAGTAATGAAGAGAAGATTGTCAATAGTACAGCTGCGCTTCAGCTCGGGGGAACTTTCAGCTTTCTAGAGCCAGTTTGGCATTTGTAGCCAGAGACGGGTCTCAGCTGCAGAAATCAAGGCAGATCTGCCTGCTGTTGCCTGACTGAGGCTCAAGAGGTCCAACTTGTTCCAACAGAATCAAATACTAAATAAATAACACCAAATTCAAAGAAGAAAACAGTGGCAAGATGACCTTGAGCTGAAATCGGGGAAATCAGAAGTAACATGGCCCAAGGGACAAATACTGGAAAATATCTGTAACTAGAGAAGACATTTTGCATTTCAGAGTAATCAGTTCCTTCCCTTTCAAAATACAAGGAAGACATACCAAGGCCAGTCTGAATCATTCATGTGTCTTGAAATTAAGACAGAGATTATTTCTCATTAGAGAGCTTGACAAGAGACTTTCTGCCCTCTGTCGCAGGCAGTATGGAGGCAGACACAAACACCAGGATCCTTCATTGTTAATTTAAGAGAGTTACAAGCCACATTACAAGCCTTTTGGCTTGAAGTCTCTGGACAAGGCACTGTGGAACATGTGGCGTTATAGCTCTCCATTACCAAACGGGCCAATGGCAACATTTTGAAGATTGTCAAAGCATCAAGCCTCTCTACATCATCCTCTGAAAGTCAGAAGGGCTTGAAAGAGAAAGAAATAGACCTTGTCTGAGCCAAGACCATTCAGCTCCTGAAATAGATCCGCATTAACATGTTGGCACTTGTGTGTAGTTCCTAGCGTCCAAAGCAGGTCTGTGTATGTCTTCTCTAAACCCCGGGAGACAATTCCCATCCCCACCCCCATTTCATAGTGGACTAGACCAAGACCCCCCCATCAGCAGCTATCAGGGAGGGAGGGAAACAGGGCTGTGGAGCCTCTTCATCAGCTCTGCTGAAAGACCAGCAACTTCGAGCTCCTCTCTTTGATGTATTCCAGCTTGTCATTACAAGAAATCTATAACAAAGAATTAGCGCCTGAGTTTTCTTTTTTTCCTCCACCCAACCAATACCTTTTCCTTTTGTGCCATGTGTTTTAGATTGCAACCAATACCTTCTCCTTTTGTGCCATGTGTTTTAGATTGCAAGCCTGAGGCCAGGGACTATCTTATCACTGACATTTGTGAGTCTTTTTCTGCTGAAGAGCAGGATAAAAATTCTTTAAATAAAAATGCATTCCTACCTGCCTTGATTTGAACATCCCCTTAACAGCAACGTCTGAAGTTAATTTAAGATTAAATATCACACAGTTTTAAGATGTGATTTAGTTTCTGCTTTAAAACATGTGAAATTTGTTAGATGGACATATTTCTTAAAAAAATATTTCACCCAAATTCACCCTGTGAAAGATACCAACCAGAGCAACAGAGCAATGAGGGTTCAAGTTTCACCTAACCAGCTGCAGACATGTTGAATAATGTAAGAGAAAGAAATTGAAGGCCAGTTATCATTGCTTTTTTGTTGTTGCTTTTACAGAAAATGCCGCAGACTGCTAACTTTGAAGCAAAAAAATCTGCAATTCTTTTTTTTTAAAAAAAATGTACTTGCACTGAAATCATACATATTCACATAAAAAGGACCCCAAGTAAACAGCTTACAAAACACAGTGGGGCTGTTCTCTCCAGGCTCTCTTGCATAAGAACCAGTCAAACTTCGTCACTTGAGGGGGGTGGATGGGAGGAAGGAGTTGCAAACAGATGTTCTGAGTGGAATACCAGATCATGACATTTACCCTCCTGCGTAAAACCGTCATAGTGGGTTGACAGTAAAAAAGAAAGATCCCATTTGTTCCAGTCAGATTGGCGTCTCCTCCTCATTCATACAAGATTATTTCTTTAAAATAAACAACTACCAGCCCCCTGTGCATCTTAACGCCCAGGGCCTTCAAGGTCTCTCCTGGAGGAGGAATTGCACAGCCCTACCCTGCCCACCCCCAGCAAAAAGTAACGGTTGGTTCTCTCTGTAATGGGTGGAAAACACTCTTTCCCTGAAGAGAGGAGAAGTCCAGTTTCTTTAGCGGATCGGCCGATAAGGAAACGCCATGCCTGGAATGAATGTCTGTACGGGGTGAGCTGGGAGAGCTGGGTGAGCTGGCATTGCTGGGTGGGCTGCATGGGTGGGATACCCCAGAGGGGGTGTGTGGATGGGGGGGTAAAACCCAGGGGGCAAAGCAGCGTGGGTGGGCTGCTGGACTGGACCCGAGATCACCAGCTGGAGCAGGCTGCAGGAAGAAGAAGCAGAGAGACAATTGTGGGTGAAGGCAGCTGGCCTGCTGAGGAACAGGATTCTACAGCGACATGAAGCAGTGCCTACTAGATCAGGCCCAGGGCCCCTGTAGTCCAGCATCCTGATCTCACTGTGGGCCAACCAGATGGGAAACCTGGTAAGCAGGATTTGTGCACAAGAACCCTCTCCACTCCTGGGGTTTCCAACAACTGGTATTCAGAAGCCCTGCTGTCTCCGAAGAGCCAAGCTATTGTGACGAGTAGCCAATAAGAGCCCTGTTCTCTAGGAATTTGCCTAATCTGCTTTTAAAGCCAGCAAGGTTGGCGGCCATCACTGCCTCCTGTTGGAGGGAGTTCCGCAGTTTAAATCTGTGCTGCGTGAAGGACGACTCTCCTTTGATCTGCCTTGAACATTCCAACATTCAGCTTCACTGGATGTCTCCGAGTTCCAGTGTTAATTTAGGAGAGAGGGAGAAAAACCTTTGACTCTCCTGGCAAACGTAACACTGGGCACAACGGAAGGACTTCCACCCAGTCCATGGCTATGTAAGCAGCTAAAAATGGCCCAGTTTTCATGTACAGAGATAAGGCTCAAGCACCCACAGCGGTGTCCTTGAACCATTAGAACGAAGCAAGCCATTTGCAAAGCAGGGGTTGATATGGACTGCCAGCAGGGTGGCACGGAGTCCCGGCTGTCCTTGTCACAGACAGACAGTAAGGTGGGGGGAGAAAGAGTTGGCTGCACCGCACTTTTGTCATTTTCACTTTCCTGTGGAAGCACAGCTTGCCAATCTACACCTTTCTGCTTTTGTGGGTATCTCTTGGACAATACTTCTAGGATGGGCACAGCGATTTCAGTTCCATTGTAAACACAGAGCACTGACTTACTTGTTGTGTGGCAGTCTGGCGCACACCGTCCGCAGATCCTCTGGAAGGAGAGAACAGAGAAAAAATGGAGGTGGAAACAGCAAGACAAAGGGGAAAGCTCTCTCCTGGGGGGGGGGTGGCCCTGAACTCTCGCTCAGCTTCTCCACCCCAGACCCATGTGGAGAGCTGCTCTTCAGTAACATGGCAACCCTGGAGAAGTGATTTGTGGAACTGTTGTGGCAGAATCATAGGGTTGAGAGGGACCCAAAAGATCACCTCTTCCAACCCTATGCAAAGCAGAATCACAACTAAAGAATCCTTGATAGGTTCGACCTCTGTTTAAAAACCTCCAAGAAAGAAGTCCTTCCATGGGAGTCTGATTCCACTGTCAGGAGAGGCATGTCTGGAAATTCACATTCCTGTCCTGAATGAGGAGGTGGAGAGATTAGGAGAATTGGGGAGCAAGAGCACTAGGGAGAGCCACGAAGGCCGGTCAGCTGTCAAACAGCGAGCAGGACCCCCTGATGTTTGGTCCCAATCCTGATAAATCAGCAGAAGAGGAAGCAGGTGTGTTGCTGGCTGGGATCCACTTTTACAGTACAGTGGACTCTCGGATTATGTTACCTTCGGGTAACGTAACTTTCGGGTTGCAAATGCGGCAAACCTGAAGTGTATACTTCCGGGCTGAGTCCCGCGCGTGTGCACAGAAGCAGTGCCTCTAGATGCGGACATTTCGGGGTACGTACGGACCCCCGGAATGAATTAAGTTCATATCCAGGGGGTCCACTGTATTTCTTTACTATCAAAATGTGTAGCCTGCCCTTCCTCCCCAAATGGTGTCCAGGGCAGCTAACAACATAAAGCCCAACAAAACCACACACAGGATGCAATTGTTAAAATGACAGCTGTAAAAATGACGGTGCCTGCACATTCCTACCCACTTCCGAGCACCCAGGCAATTAAAAACCTCTTCAAAGGGTGAGGGGAGGGGATGATTCTTCCTTTCCTCCAGCAGGAGTGAGTCCCAGCCAGATGGCATTCTGCTCCCTGGGCACTTGGGAGGGATTGGGGCAGGGAGCTGAGAGATGGTCAAGTGTGCCCCAGATGTTACCCACCATCACACACATATGGATATTTAGATTCCCAGCCACCTTGGGATGGTGGCAGAGGAAGAAGTTGGAGCCCAGCAATATCTGGAAGGAACCACGCTGGGAAAGTCTGTAGTAGGCAATTCTGGCCCACGTGGACAAACACTCTGACCCGGCCTAGGCAGCTTTTATTATCTCTCTGTTCAGCTCCTCTCATGCCCAAAGTCTCCTCCCCACCTCCCTGCTACTTCCCCGCACCCCCCGCCTTGCCTCGGCACAGTCTTCTGCTGGCTTGCATGGGCTCACTGGTGGTTGCCCCCAGCGCCTACCTCTCGTGCACAGCAGCGCTCCAGACGCCATGGCCACTTGCAAGGCCTGGGCCAGCCGGTCGAGAGCCAGCTCCGTCTCCTTGGTGGCGTTGAGGGGGTTGAGTTCATCGGAGAGCCTGCTCATCTCCTCCACGAGAGCCACCACGTGGTCGAAGGGCACCAGCCCCAGGCGCCCGTACAGGTTCTTCTCCGTCAGGTGCCCCTGAAGCATTATCAGGACCTGGAGGACGCTGAGATGCAGCTTGGAGTACAAGGGCTGGCAGCCCTTGTCCAAGATGGCAGCCGGGTCCTTGGCAAGCTTTCCCCCCGGGTGGCCGTTGGAGACGGGGGGCTTCCTCCGTTTGTAAGCCAGCGGAGCTTTCACGCACCAGCGGATCAGGCCGCTGAGCGGCGTGAGCTCCAAGAACCCAATGGGCAGGCTGGCCGCGATTGGCGTGTTTAGGAAGGTGATGAGGATCAAGCGGGGGTCCTCGAAGATCCAAGACACGACCATTTCCAGCAGGTCTGGAGGCGGGATGAGATCATCTGGAAAAGAAGGGGAAGCCAGCTTTGGAGACCATAGAAATCGAGGAGAAATTGCACCTGGGGCTTGCCAATGCTTGGCCCTGGAACCAGAGCCTTCCACACCCAAATGTGGGTGTCAGGCTGCTTAGAAAGGGGGATGCAGCAGATCAAGGGCAGGGGGGCCAGGCAGCCTGGAGTTCCCGTCTCTGTCTCTTCCCAACATTGTGGCTCAAGTGTTTTCATGTTTATTTTAGAACCAGCAGCCTCCCAGCATAGGCTGGGAATCCGAAGGAACCCAAAAGATCAGTGCAGCTTTCAAAGGTTCAGTCTGCCATCTGGATTCAAAATGATGTCTCATTGTATCCAAACAAACACAAAAACCTGCCCCTTGGTCTCATGTAAAATTTGGTTCCGATATCTAAAGAAACATCCGAATGCACTGCGAACAAACAACAGCTTTCCAAAATAGATAGTAGATTATTTAAAACAACTGTATCCCACCTTTCGACAAAAGGGCCAAGGCAGCTCACAACATTTAGAACCCATAAACACAGCAACTGCACTACCAAGAACAAAACTCAAGGAGATAAAATCTAAATGGCAGAGAGCTTAAAAACGAGAGAGCTATAACATGAATCCATCAAACATGCCAAGCCAAGGGGAAGAGGAAGCTGACTACAAAGCAGCACTGAAAATACCTGGAGAGTCAATCATACACATCGTAGTCTCTGGCCCTGCCCTGGAGTAAAGTTGCACACACACCGATTCAGGCCACCACACTCTGTTGCAACCTTAACATCCGGATGTATGGAACATGACACATCTTTGTGTATCATGTCTTGTGCCTTCCCAAATGGCACTGGGCAGCTTCAGGAACTTGGAGGAACTTACCTGACGACATGTCGTACAGCATGGTGACCGATGTGATGAATTGGCAGCAGAAGCGAGGGCTGGCACTGAAGATCTGCTTCAGGGTCTGGACGGAGCCTGGCACTAGACTGCAGTAGTCATCAACCAGGGCTTGGGCCAGCCGCACGCAGTAGATTGCTGGCGTCCGCTGCAAAAGAGACGCACGATTAGCCGCCACAAGAAACGGGGGGGGGGGGGGGAGCAGTGCCAACGAAGCCACACACAGCCTGGCTCCAGCAAAACGTAGGATGCTGCATGAAGGCGCCAGTGGGAGTGATGCAGGCTGTGACCCGAGCTTGTTGATAGCCTTGAAGATGAAGAGCTAAAGGATCCGCAGCCCCCAGAGGCTCCTGAATGAGCCTACTTATCACGGAATAAGAGCACTGGTCCTTCAAAGAGGATTTGTAGCTTTACAAGAGCAATATGAGGAATGCTGAGAAAGATGTGACCTGGACAAACAGGCCATTCTATCTCCTGTTTCTGCATATACACCAGCAGGGTAGGGTACAATTCAGCCCTGCCCAATCTGATGCCCCCCCCCCAAGCAGGTGGAAAAGCAGCCCCCTTGCTGAAGAAGGTCTAGGTCTGGTCACTGCCTGGATGGGAGGCTGCCTGGAAGCTCCTCTGCCCCTGGGGTAAACTCTCACCTGCAGCCATGAAGCTGCACATTCCAGGACAGGCACTCTGCACACAGCTACTGCCATCGAGACGAGTTTCCCCAGCAAGGCCATTCTGCTGTCATCTGTCTTATTCCCTTGCGGGCTGAAAAGGGAGGAGAAAAGGATCTGCCGGACAGAGTCCTTGCTTTGCTCCTGGAAATAATTGCACATGATCTCCAGTAACTGAAGCTCCTGCAGTGAGTTCAGCCTCTGAAAGAAAGAGAAAGAAAAGAGGGGCCATCTATGAGCCAAGGCCAAAGCACCCCCTCCCCGCAGGAGGGTCCTTTCCAGCCACAACCCATTCATCACCCAGGCTGGCATTATAGCATCAAAGAAAACAAGAAGACTGTTTTCATATGTGTATGTTGACCAAAGACATTTGTTTGGCTATTTCATGTTTTAAAAATACTACCCACCAGTTTTCCTGGGACAAATGTTAAGATAGCTGGCCAGTAATTCCAGGATCTCTCTGGATGGCCAGGGATTATGGGAGATGTCATCCAAAATACCTGGAGGGCCACAGCATGAAATCTTCCCTATCCGATTTTCACAGAATAACCTTGGAGCTACTCAGTCAGCTCAATGACCTAGCTAGTCTGACGGACAAACAAGAAACCTTGAAGAGTAACAAATTGTGCCCTCTCCATCTCAATGAGGCCCCCCTCAGCAATGGCGCTGGCTATCTTTTTATGATATAGCACTATACAATTATTTTTTTTAATAAAATTAAAAAAAAACAGAATCCAGCCAGCAGGACAGATGTTGAGCTCCCTCATTCCCATCCCCTGCAAGGTACTTTGACAGATGAGCAGGTTGCACACCTGTCAATCACCTGATTTCACCTTTGTGACCTTGCTTGACCTCAAGCAGAGTTTGCAGGCCTAGATGTTCCCCACCACTTTTCTAATCAGACTCCCGCCCCACAAGGGAGGGCAGAGAGATTTCCTCAAGGGTGGCTCCCAAAGGCAAATATGAGGCCCCAGATGGAGAGGAGCAATGTTGGCTACGTGGCCCTTGATGGGGCTTGATGTCCGACAACCTACTTTAGGTGGGGAGTTGCGCTCCTTGGGAACCTGGAAGATGAACTCCTCCAGAAGCTCGATGGGGCCTTTGTCCACAATGGGGAGCGGCACGTTCTGCAGCTGGCTGCTGAAGTAGATGTCCAAGTGGTAGAGCACTTCCTTGGCGGCGCTCAGGGCATCCCGGCGGAGCAGCGAGTGGCGGATGTCACTCATGGTTTTCCTGCAACAGGAGGAGGTCCACACGTTATGCTTCACAACTTTGTTTCTAGAAGAGCTAGAGACTTCCTTTTTTAAAATGAAAGCTCAGAGTCTGGGGCCTTTCATTTGTGCAATTGCTCCAACTACTCCTTTATAAATATGGCCCTATTGGAATCCCAGCAATTCCCATTATGTAGTGTCCAAACAACTCACTTATCAATCACAGCTCTGATTTCACTCATTGGCTAAAATCACTGACAGGAACAGCCAGGCTAGTCATTTAACATAACCTGCTTTAAAAAGTTCACATTATGCTTCATAACTTTCTTTCTAGAAGGGCTAGAGACTTGTTTTATATTTTTAATGAAGGCTCAGAGTCTGCTACTGCTTTTTGAGGGTGCCAATTAAGGTCTTCAGAAGTTGATGGCCCACTCCCTAATGGGCCAGGCCTCCATTGACTTTAACTGGGGAGCAGGAGAAAGGAAGAAACACCACAGACGTATATGAGAATTCAACAACACCAATTCATCGTTTGTAATCATGTTCAAAAGTACCCTTCTCAGTTAACAATGCAGGGGAACCCTATAAATCCACAGCGCAGAGGACTACAGGAAGGGACCTTATTTATTATCATTATATTTATTTATGCATTTTCCCCCGACAGGGATTCAAGGCAGCTTGCAGCTAAAATAGTAACATATAAAACACAGAGCTTGGGGAATAAAATAATAATAATTAAGCATTAATAAAATTAAAGCCATGTACATAGGCTGAAAGATCTATGAAGCACATCCAGAAAACGGCAATAAATGCAGCTCGGTCGGCGCCCTTATTTACCCCTCACTGCCCCCCTTCTATCTTCTCCCACCGGGCGCCTGCCAGACGTTGCTGGACCACAAGCCCCACCCGCAGGGCGCTAAACGGGGGAGTCTGGCCTACACGGCCCGACTGGTTTCCCTCCTGACCGGAGATCCTCGGGAACCGGAACGCGGGACTTTCTGCCCTGACTCGACCAAGCCCAACACGGGTGTTCTGTTCACACGTGCACAGGGCCCGCCCTGACACGCCACCCCCAGCGGCTAGGGCGGCGGGAAGGGTCGCGCCGTCCCGGGCGGCCGCGGCCTCACCTCCTCGCCCGCCTCCCGCCCCAGGAGCAGCTCCTCCGCAGGCGCCTCAGGCCGCCATGTCCGGGCCGCTGCTGCCGCCGAGGCAGGACAGGGACGGCGGCCGCCGAGGGCCAAGAAGGACGGCCTAACGCGGCGGCGGCGGCGGCGGCGGCGGCGGCCATTGGCAGGCTCGGCTCAGAAACTGACCAATCCGAGCGCAGCGCTGCCTACCGGCTGCCCGGGACGGGGCAGGAGGGGGCGTGGCAGGTCACTTCGGCCACGCCCCCATCAGGCGGCTCGGGGCGGGGCGGCTCAGAAGCTGCCCAATCCGAGCGTTCCGGTGTCGGAGCCACGCCCCCTCAGGAGCAGCTGCTGCGGCAGGCACGTTTCCGAGCCCGCGTCGCCCGTCCCCGTCTCGTCGGAATGCCTTAAGATGCGTGAAGCTGAATGGTCGCGCATCTAGGAAGGGCAGGGGACTAATTCCTGCAGCAGCACATCGTGAAGCGGGGGGATTCGCTGCCGGAAGACGTGGCGATGGCGGGCACCGACGTCGATGGCTTTAAAAGGGGCTCCCGAGTTGCTGCCCGCCCCCCGCTCACGGAGGCCGAAGCTGTCCACGTTGCCACTCGTACATTCTTCCTCCAGGAGAAGGGGCAATATATGCCCGGGTCCCGTTTGTGGGGAGTGGGGGCAGTTGCTTCCCTTTGGCACTGCGAGGAACGGAATGCTGGGCTCCTCCAGCAATGGCAGCCAGGCTGTTCCGGGGTTCTTTGGCGCAGCCCCCAATAGCTACCGATGCACAGTTTTGAAATTACAGTTTTTTCCTACAGTTTAACTGTGGAACTCCCTCCCACAAGAGGCAGAGATGGCCACTAACTTGGAAGGCTTTAAAAGAGGATTGGGCAAATTCATGCCAGATGCCTTTGCTCTGCCTCCGTGGTCAGCCAGAGGAATGTTTCTCAATACCAGTTGCTGGAAACCACAGGAGGGAAGAATTGTTCTTGTGCTCAGATTCTGCTTGTGGGCTTCCCATTGTGGCTTCTGGCTGGCCACCAGAGCCGTAGCTAGGTGATCTTGCGCCCCTGGCAGAATGGTCCAGATTGCGCCCCCCAGCCACGGACAAATTAGCTCTTCTTTCTGCCTCTCCTCCATTCAATTCGCCCTCTATTAAAAACCTTTTCTTATGAGGCAATAATCAATATTTTTATTTACAGACATATTTATGGACATATTTTAAAGCTGATTTTGCGCTCCCCCCACCTGCGCCTGTTGGTGGGGCCCCCCTCACCATCCCCTAGCTAGGACCCTTCTGGCCACTGAGGCTAACCAGGATGCTGAATAGATGGGCCATTGGTCTGATCCAGTAAGCTCTTAGAAGTTTCAAGCCAGGTTCATAGAGGTGAGGGGAGAGTTGTCCTCATTTTTGACAATCACAGTGGCCCTGTAAGGTATAAAGCCACCAGCTCCAGGCTACCTAGCCAGTGCTGGGATTGAAACATGAGCTACACTGCAGGGTGGATGAGGTGTGTGTGGGTTAAGCAAAGGAAGTCCATTCCCCATCCCAGAGCAGAACCTACGAGTTTAAGCTTACCAGATTTTTTTCAATGAATCTGAGGACACTTTTCACCTTCAATGGATTTTGTATGGGGACTGATTTGTAAATCCGGGAACTGTCCCCGGGAAACGGGGACGTCTGGTAACCTTATACAAGTTGCTTTTATGTCGGGCCAAGGTTCTCTTCACCACATTTGTTTGTTTAATTATTTTATTTTAAGCCTCCCTGTTCACCTCCCATCTGTTTCAGCACTGTTTTATATTCTCCAGAAAGGCAACACTCATTTGTAGTCTTTGCTTCACCCGTTCAGTGTCATGCAAAATGAGCTTTCGGTGAGCAGGGCTCAGAGAGCTTTATCTTCTGTCTGGCCCCTAAAAGTTTCATGCCTCTTTGTTTTTGCTCCAGAAATCCACAATTGGGCAATTACTGCCCCTTTATTTGGACCAACCTACGATATCTCAAAATAATGGCAAGGGTTTTTCTCCAGGCCAGATATTACTTAAGGTAGGAGCTGTAACATTTTGCCCTGATGAGGAGATCTATATAACCTGGAGGTTTGTCACTCTTTTGTGGCATTTGGGTTGAGATTTTGTGACAACCAAGTTGCCCAATTGTGGATTTTGGAATCACCACCCCCTTTTTCATATGAACTAACATGATCGTCTTTTTATTTGCTCTCTCTCTTATTATGACGTTGGTAAAATAATCCAGTGTGATAAGAAGGGAGGAAAGATTAGGAGTAAGTCTTTCACAAATCCAGGGTCCCTAAGACAGTTGGATGGTGCCTTGTACGCCTCCTTCCATCAACTCTTGCAGCCCAGGAGGTGCCAAGCGTCTTGCTCTGCTTTCCTTTGAACCACATCAGTGAGGCTGGGGGGGGGGGGGTCTTGTCATCTGGGCAGCCCAGAACCTCTAGACACACTGTCCAGGTTTGCACCCCCGATAAATCACTGGTGCTGCTAATGCAGCAGTTTGAGGCGCCCTCCGTTGCCTCTCAAACGGAAGCCTAAAAAAAAAACCCAGTGGAGATCATTGGTACCTTGTTTGAACCCTGATGTTGGAGGACACAAGATTGAGGAGAGATGACAGCACTGACCAGGGCAGTAGGAATGAGGGGGAAGCAGATCTGACTCAAGGGGGTACAGTCCATCAAAGGATCCCTTTGGCCTTTCAGCCTTGCCAAAATAACAGGCCAGGGCTGCATGCAGGGGCACAGAGACACGTTCAGGTCCACCCTTCCTGCTTTGCAGCACCAGCTCAAAAGCCGCACAGGTGCCTTTCAAGGCCAGAATAAATCCTTGGCGATAAAGGGATGTAAATAAAGAGCTGCAGCCACCAGCCCAGCTGGCCTGGGAAGAACTTGCCTTCGGCACAGGTCCTAGGTCACAGAGGTGGCCAATGCGGTGCCCTCCAGCTGTTGCTGAACTACAACTCTCCTCATCCCTGACTGTTGGCCATGCCACCTTGGGCTGATGGGAGTCCCAACGGCCTCTGAAGGGTGCCAAGTTGGCACCCCCTGGGCTCTGGATGCAGCAGGGGTGGATGGATCAGATGCAAACCCAAGTGCACTTCTGGGGCAGCTCTTTGCTCCTTGCAAACAGAAGGGACTCGAGCTATTGGTGTTTCACCAACTTTGACCTGTTGCGGGACCTTAGCAGAGCATACGCAGAGTTCCAGAAAGCAATCAGTTGCAGGCAGGATGGACGAAGTAGGAACAAAACGCTGCTACCAGTAACTTGGTTACTTAGAGGTGTTTATTATTTACAGCAGACTTCCTCAAGTTACTATATACAAGAACAGAAAAGGATCTTAACTAGCTCTCTCTTAACAAACTCCAAGCAACTCTCAGTACGATACGATACAATATCTTTATTGTCATTGTCCCATACAGAACAATGAAATTGAAAAATCTACATAAGACATTCAAAACCCCCTAAAAACTCTGAAACCCCATTTTAAAATACAATATACTATAGAGACTCCTTATACTGCATTTAAAACCAGAATTGCATTTGGGTAGAAACTGTTTCTCAGGTGGCTAATCCTGGTCTTTATACCCCTGTACCTTCTTCCAGAAGGCAGAAGCTGAAAGAGATCATTTCCGGGGTGCGCACTATCCTGCGCTATCTCTGCAGCTTTCTTACGGCACCTGGCAGCATAGATTTGATCCAAGGTGGGAAGAGGGCACCCAGTTATTCTCTCCGCAGTCTTTACAACCCTGGACAGCATTGTTTTTCCCCTGACCGTGCAGCTCCCAAACCACACACACAGACCATAAGTTAATACACTCTCCACAGTACAACACCACACTGACCAACATACACTCCATTCAGTAAGGTCATAAGTCATCATGCCTGTGTGAGACCTCCAAGGTCTCATATCTCCAGGCAGAATAACTCCTCTCTGCTCAGTCATCTTCGCTTTTGGCCAACGCTCAATTGACTCTATGTGAAGCTGCACAGAATGGCAGGTAGTCAAAAAACCCAACGGCCTCTGGAGGGTGCCAAGTTGGCAGCCCCTGGGCCCTGGATGCAGCAGGCCACGTTGGAGGGACTCGAGCTCCGCATACAGCGTGGCAAAGCCTCTGCATTTAGCCTGCTTGCACATTACAATGCGTGGCATGAGAATCCTGCTGCTTGCTCGAGCTCCACACAGGTAAGGGTCACTTTGCTGCGTTTGATACAGCTGTACAGTGGCAGACCTTCATCTGGGGCGCCCTGAAGCTTGAACTGATATTGAACCCTGACTTTATCTGTCGGGGGAGGGGGCCACCCATTTGCGGTCTCGCACCGATCCCCCTTGATCCTTTGTTCTCCTAATGGCCCATCACCCAGGCAATCACCCCAACGCAGGAAGAAGAAATAATGTTTGTTTGTTTGTTTGTTTGTTTGTACCCTGCCCATCTGACTAGGGTGCCCCAGCCACTCTTGACCGGGCTTCCAACATATATAAAACATTAACCCTTAAAAAGCTTCCCTATACAGGGCTGCCTTCAGATGTCTTCTAAGGTTATACAGTCATACCTTGATTTTCGAACAGAATGTGTTCTGGAAGTCCATTCAACTTCTGAAATGTTCGGAAACCAAGGCACAGCTTCCAATTGGCTTCCAATTGTGCAGGCATGCCAGAAACAATAGCAGAAGCCGCATCGGACGTTCAGATTCCAAAAGAACGTTCAAAAACCAGAACACTCACTTCTGGGTTTCGATCGTTTGAGAGCTGAAACGTATGAGTACCAAGGCATTCAACAACCAAGGTACGACTGTATCACCTTGATATCTGAAGGGGGGGCATTCCACAGTGTGGGCATCACTACTGAGAAGGCCCTCTGCCTGGTTCCCTGGCTTTATTAGCTTTAATTAGATTTTAAAACTTGCTAGATCCAGGGATTAGAGGAGTCTGGCACTCCCAAATTCATAACAGTATTATCTCCCGAATAAAGGGTAAGTAATGCCAACTTTGGACATTTGATCACATTTTGCCCATTATTGCTTTTATTTCCCTGAACACACCCTTCCAGGGGCGTTCACCTTTGTGCAGGTCTACTTGAATGCTAGTTTCTGAAGTGCAAACCAATTTATTTGGGCTATTCTTGGTGTCCAGTATCAGCTGGGTGATGTTTCTGCAGCCAGACGGAATGCTGGCTGCGTTTGTGGAAACTTCCATTGTGACTCTTATCTGCTTCAAGAGGAGCAACTTTGAAAAACAAGAACAATAAAAGCCCCACACCGTACCCAGCTACTACTTTTCCTCCTCGGAAAGTGGCCATATGTCTCTCATACACCTGTACAAATATAATACTAAGTGTTAATACTAAGTAAACAGCTGGCAAGGTCACAGCTGTGAAGAGTTTTAAGAAAGCGGGGGTGCATGGACCATCTCCAAACGATCAGGAACGGCGAAGGTAAAGAGACCCAATGCAATCTGTCATCCACGAAGATTTCAGTTTTCTCTGAGGGCAAGACTTCCTTGATGCAGATAATATACAGCAACAGAAGGACACACCATGGCTGTGGATGAGAGCCGGCCATTCCCAGCATCAGGGACATTGCTAAGTCCTTTGGGGGAAAAGCTCTGGGCATATGGCGCACACCTGCTTACAGTTTGTGCAAATTTAGCTTTCTGAGAAAATTAAGACAGTGGGCGGCTGGGTGGGGCAGCTCACTGGCACAGCGCTTCATAGCCCAACTGCCCAGTGAGAAAAGTACAAGGGGTGTGTGTGTGTTGTAAGGTGACAAGAAAATTGGGGGCAGAAGATGTGGGGTCCAGCGCAAAAGGCTCAGGGCTTGTAAGCAAAGCCCTTGATTTTTTGGGCATCGTCTTGACCTTGCTGCCTTGACCACGTTGAGGCATCTGATCAAAATCTGCTTTGAGCTTAAAAAAATTATATTTGTAAATATATTTTTCTCTGCCAGGGAAGATCAGCTGAATACTCTGGCAGCTGTTCAGGGGCCCCACTGCTATAAATAGCAGTATTTCAGGGTTGTAAAAAAGTATTTCAGGGTTGTAAAATTAGAGCCAGAGAGCAAAAGGTCACACTGACCAGAATACAATCAAGCTGTAAAAACACAATTAAGAACTGGTAACAGAAAACTCGAGCCATAAGGTTAAAGGTTAAATGGAAGAGGTTGCTCTTAGAAACAGCTGCTGGTTAGGGAAAAAGGTTTCTTTATAGAACTTAGGAACTTAGCTTTTACTAAGTTCCTTCTAATTTGAAAAGGCCTTTCCTTCTAAAAATCTATCTATGTTATGTATGAAATATATTGGCTTAAATGTGATTATGCAAAGGATTTAGAAAGTAAGAAATGTTAGATTCTTATGTTAGATTCCTATTATGGTGGGTGAGAAGGTGAACTCAAGATCTCTTTAAGATAAAAAAATTAGAAACCATGCACCATCTGCTTTAGCCATCTGGTTTGCGGTGAATAGGGCAACAGGGGCCAAAGGTTATCTGGTAATTGAGGTGCCTGGTCGAGGTAAATGTAAGATATATGGCTACTTGTCTGCCATTTATGGATACAAGGAAATATAGCTTTTTGTCTCCCATAAAAGGGAATAGGAAATGGGTGTATCTTTTATGATTGGTTCTAGCAAACAACCAATAGGAATTTCAACCAGGCTGATTGGACAGAGGCAGCCAAAGGAGGAGCAAGGGGGCTGGGCTGAGGAAATATAAGTGCTGGCCATCAGGGCTGGAGTAGGCAGAGCTTTGGTATCCATATACCACTGTGTCTCTCATTTATTTGTCTGACAAATAAATTATTATTTTAATTTCTCTATTGCTGCGTTGAATATTTCATTCCAGCTAAGCGTTAACCACAAGCAGGGTGCTACATTTTATGGTGCCTCTGTGACTCGGATAAGTGGTCTGCTGGAACGCAGCCCCTTCGCCCTAGCGGGCAGGGTACAAGAGGGAGGACCACTGACCGCTTACCCAGCGCGCACTGGAACATTTTTCCAGGGGAACGCAGAAGTCTCGTCTGTCTGATACCCTGCTCACTGGCGGCGACGGACCGGGGGTAACCAGAGAAATAAACAGGGAACCAGCTAAGGGTAAGTGCACAAAGGGGTTGTGGCCCTCCAATTAATTGGGAGGAAGAGAAGTCTTGATCAAACTTCTGCGTCTCAGTAAGGGGGAACTGAGTACGCTAGGTGGTTGGGTACATCAGATGGTGGTCTGGTGGAGGGAAAAGGGAAAGATTGGGAGGTAGAGTGTGGTGAAGTATCCAGCGCATTGTATGTGTGAGAAAGTACAATCTGTAGCTGACCTGAGTGTGGAGTGGGTAGTACTTCGGTTCCTAGTAAGGCGACTTCACTAGGCAAGGATCCCCACGAAGCGTGTGTGTGAGTGACTGAGTGGATACTTCACAGGGCCATACAATGGGAGTTGGAGGTTCAAAGGGGAAAATACACCTCTTGAATGTATGTTAAATAATTTTAAGAAAGCCTTCTCAGGAGCATATGGAGTCAAAATGACGCCAGAGCGCTTGAGAACGTTATGTGAATTAGACTGGCCAAAACAAAATACTGGATGGCCACCTCAGGGAAGTTTTGATATAAATTTAGCAAGCAAACTTTGGTCTAACATCACCAAAGAAACTGGAGGGTGCCCAGAACAATTTTCATATATAGATTCTTGGCTGAGCACATTAAATAATAATCCTCCATGGATAAGGGAATGCAAAGTCCAACAATGCAAATTATTGGCTGTAAAAGCCGAAGCTAGGAAAGGAATCTTGCCAAATAAACTCAAACCCATTTTTGAGGGACCAGAGGAAGAGGTGCTTCCACCTCCACCCTATGCTCCACATCGAGGGAGCCTAATCCAAACACTCCACCAGTTGTAACCCCAAGGCAAGAAAGTGGAAGGAATAATGGGGCTGGAGTCACAGAGCTTGATTCCTTGATAGATTATGATAAATATCTTCAGGAGGCATTGGAGTCCTATAATAAAGCCCAAGCAGAAGTGGTTATTCCACCTGTGAGTCCCAGTAGAACTCCATCTACAGTCTCCTTTAGTGGAACAACTGATTGCCCACCCCAAACCCCTGTACATCCAAGTCCTAGAGAACTATTACAGGAGTTACAGGGAGACTTTGATCGGTCAGTAAGCAATACAGCCAGGCGTATAAAGCTGTTAAAAGAACGCCTTGGGACAAATACTATCCCCTATGATTTGAGGCCCCTAAAGCAAAGCGAAGAGAAAGGTCACGTAGTAGCCCCTCTCAGAAGAGTATTTGATGCACTTGAGGAGCCTGTGCTGGTTAACGGGCAACTCGGACCACGGCCACCTCGAACTTCGACCCTCCAGTACATTCCATTCACAACTACGGATCTGATGAATTGGAAAACACACACCCCGTCTTTCGCAGAAAAACCTCAGGCTATGATGGACTTGGTGACTTCAATAGTAAATACTCATAGTCCTACTTGGACAGATTGCCGCCAGCTCCTGAATACTCTGTTCACCACTGAGGAAAGAAGAGACATAATTGAAAAGGCACAGATATATTTGCGTGAGCAGGCCAGAGTGGGAAATATTCTTAATGTTGACCGTCATCTCCAGGACAATTTTCCCTTGGAGGATCCTAATTGGGATCCAAACAATGCAATTCACCTGGCCAGGCTTACCACCTACCGCCAGACGCTTGTGCAAGGTATCCGCAGGGCATGCCAGAAGCCCACTAATATGACTAAAGTCTCAGAAGTAGAACAGAAACCGAATGAGAGTCCGGGAGACTTTTAGAGAGGCTGCAGGAAGCCTATCGTATATGGACTCCTTTTGACCCTGAAGCCCCTGCAAACAGCAGAATGATTACTGCTACTTTTGTGGCTCAGTGCGCTTCTGACATTCGTAAGAAAATTCAGAAGTCAGAAGGCTGGGAAGGGATGCTGATGAGCCAAATTATGGCCATTGCACGCCGAGTTTATCGGAATAGGGATGAGGCTGAGAAACAAGAGAAGAAGAAGTGGCAGAAGGAAAAGATGGTGATGCTAGCCACAGCAGTGAAGCAAGACTACCGCCCTTTAAATGGAGGGAGAGGGCGGGGAAGGAATCCACCACTGGGAAGGAATCAATGTGCGAATTGCAAGAAGGAGGGTCATTGGAAGCGGGAGTGTCCTGAACCCCTGAGGTTGGAAGAAGTACGCCCAGGCCCAGGCCCAGGCTCCGGCCCAAGAAACCAGGGACGGGGACGGGGAATGATCCGAGATGGAAGATATCAGAGACCTGGACAAGGACGGAGTAGAGACAATTTCATTGGACTGGCAGAGGAGGATTTTACCCAAGACTAGGAACGACCGGACTCCATAAAGTTAGGCTTCCAGGAGCCCACGGTCAAAATTCAATTAGGGAGCCATTTAATAGACTTTATGATAGATACTGGCGCTGAATACTCAGTACTCCCAGAACTTTTGCAGAAAAAGGCATCCAAAAGTGTAGTCATTAAAAGTGCCACTGGTCAGTCAGCTAAGAGGTCTTTCCTCCAACCTTTAGAATGCCAGATTGGGGGACATCATTTAACCCATCAGTTTTTGTATATACCTGAGTGTCCAATGCCTCTCTTAGGTAGAGATATGCTGTCCAAATTGCAGGCCCAAATCACCTTCACTCCTCGAGGTCCAGAAATGAAACTGCCATCAAAGGCAGCAGGAATAATTTCCCTCTCAGTACCTAAGGAACAATCATGGCGCCTAATGTCAGCCCTGCAAGTCCAACCCACATTGGATACAGAATTAAACAAGCTCCTCCGAACCCTACAAGTGCCACCAGGAGTATGGGCCGAAAATAGCCCACCAGGAATGGCTAAGAATATAGCTCCAATTGTAGTAACCCTAAAACCTATGGCTACCCCTGTATCTGTAAAGCAATATCCTTTACCCGGCGAGCAGCAGAGGGCATCCAGAAACATTTGGACCGCCTATTAAAATATGGTCTGCTTAAGCCCTGCCAATCAGAATGGAACACACCCCTTTTGCCTGTTCGGAAGCCTGGGACAGATGAATACAGGCCAGTACAGGACTTGAGGCTCGTAAACCAGGCTATCGAGACCTTGCACCCAAATGTACCAAACCCATATACCTTGCTGAGTTTGATCCCACCAGAAGCAACATTTTTACTGTATTGGACTTGAAAGATGCATTCTTCTGTTGCCGGCTGGCACCACAGAGCCAACCTATATTTGCCTTCCAGTGGGAAGACCCTTTGACAGGAACAAAAGGCCAGCTAACCTGGACAAGATTGCCCCAGGGATTCAAAAATTCCCCAACTTTATTTGGCACTGCCTTGGCGAAGGATCTAACAAGTTACCCCTCAATACCTGGAAAAAAGGTGGTTCTGCAATATGTAGATGACCTTATACTAGCGGCAAAGGATTTTGATACCTGTAAAGAAGGGACAGAGGAACTGCTCCACTTGCTCTGGGAAGCTGGCTACCGAGTTTCCCAGAAAAGGCACAGTTATGTTTAGAAAAGGTCAAATATTTGGGCTTTGACATCTCACACCAACAACGAGCATTGAGACCAGAGAGGAAAGAAGCTATTTGCCTTATCAAGGAACCTACCACAAGGAAACAACTCAGAGGATTCCTGGGAACAGCAGGGTTTTGTAGACTATGGATACCTGATTTCAGCAGTCTGGCCAAGCCCTTACATGAAAGCACTCGAGGTGCAGAAAAGGACCCATTCGTATGGGGACCTGAGCAGCAACAAGCCTTTTTAGTTATCAAACAACGACTTATGGAGGCCCCAGCCCTTGGACTGCCTAATTCGGAAAAACCCTTTCAGCTGTATGTACATGAACAGAATGGGATTGCAGCAGCAGTCCTGACCCAGAGATTAGGAAGTTGGAACCGTCCAGTAGCTTATTTGTCAAAACAATTGGACTCAGTAGCAAAAGGATGGCCTCCATGCCTAAGGGCAGTAGCGGCCACTGCAAGCCTTGTCAAAGAAGCTGATAAATTTACCTTTGGCCAGACGATGTATGTGAATGTACCTCATGCTGTTCTGACACTCATGGAATATAAGGGTAGTTATTGGCTAACGAATCCAAGGATGGCTAGATACCAAGGCCTATTGTGTGAAAATCCCAGGATTCATCTACGAGTAGTGAATATGCTCAATCCAGCAACTTTGCTGCCCCTACCAGAGGTAGATGATGAAGAATCACATGATTGTCTCCAAATAATGGATGAAGTGTATTCCAGTAGACCCGATCTGAAAGATGAACCATTGAAAAATCCAGATGTTGTATATTATACTGATGGTAGCAGTTACCTGCATGAAGGTGCCAGACGAGGCAGGATATGCTGTGGTCACCAATGAGGAAGTTGTGGAAGCTGAAGCTTTGCCTGCTGGCACCTCAGCACAAAAGGCTGAACTTATAGGTTTAACTAGAGCTCTGCAATTGGCAGCCGGATGTAAGGCAAACATCTATACTGATTCTAAATATGCCTTCTTAACCCTGCATGCACATGGAGCTCTATGGAAAGAAAGAGGTCTAATCGGAGCCCATGGGAAGGCCTTGAAATATGGACCTGAAGTAGAAATCCTGTTGGAAGCAGTATGGGCTCCAGAACAGATTGCTGTAATGCACTGCAAAGGTCATGGACGTGGAAGGGATCCAATAACCAGAGGAAATCATGCTGCTGACAAAGCAGCCCGAGAGGCAGCCCAGAAGCCTGTGGGAGGATTTATAGCAGCCCTCATACCAGAGGTAGTTCCAGAAGAAATTAAACCTCACTATACCCCAGAAGAGAGGAAGTGGGCTGAACAGGAAGGAGCGGTTGTGAAGGACGGTTGGATGATCCTGCCGGACAATAGGATTTATGTACCTCATCACCTAGCAGGCACAATTGTAAGAAATTATCATGAATCTACTCACCTTGGCGGTACTGCAACCAGAGAGAGTCTCAGTCGGAAGTTGTATATTATTAACCTATCACAATTAGCAACTTGCATTTCACAGAAATGTGTTCTTTGTGCTAAAAACAATCCCAGGCAGGGACCGGTACAACCTCCTGGAATCCAACATGTGGGATACGTCCCCATGGAAAGCCTAATTGTGGACTTCACAGAGCTGGTCCCTTCTAAGGGATTCAAGTACCTCCTTGTGTTTGTAGATACCCTTACCGGATGGGTTGAAGCTTTTCCCACCAGGACTGAAAAGGCACGAGAGGTAACTAAGAGACTCCTCACTGAATTGATCCCGAGGTTTGGATTACCTAGATGCATTGGAAGTGATAATGGGCCAGCGTTCATTGATCAAGTAGTACAAGAAGTATGTCGAGTCCTACAAGTGAAATGGAGACTGCATGCAGCATATAGGCCTCAAAGTTCGGGGAAAACTGAAAGAATGAATCGGACTCTGAAAACCCAATTGGCAAAATTAACCCAGGAAACAGGATTGGGATGGGTAGATGTGTTACCCATAACACTGTTTCGTGTTCGGTGTGCACCCACAAAAAGACTTAAGTTGTCACCTTTTGAGCTCCTGTATGGGAGGCCACCCTCCTTTGTTCAGGATATTCCAGCTGACCTCAAACAAATAGGAGACCATGTGACACAGGGACAAGTGCAATCTCTCTCCCGTGTTTTTGTTTCTCTTAACAGGTGGGCCCTCGAGCGCACGCCGTGCAGCATTGCCGAGCCGATTCATCAGTTCCAGGCTGGCGATAGCGTATGGGTGAAAGAGTGGAAACGTGATCCACTTGCACCTAAGTGGCGTGGGCCTTACACCGTCTTGCTCTCTACTCCAACAGCGGTGAAGGTAGCTGAGGTGACCCCCTGGATTCATCACTCCCGTTTGAAGAAGTCCGAAGGCAGTTGGACGTGCAAAGGTGACCCCTCTAATCCTTTTAAACTGACTCTCTCCAAAAAAACCCTGTATCTAGCCCTACGGGGAACGGGCTAGGTCACGGGCAACATTAGACGACCGGCCTGCTGCAGCCACAACCTGGAAGCTGGCTGACCTGCGCACGCCTGAAGCTTGAGGAGCGTCTGAACCAGCGATTGTGAACAGGAAGATTCTCTTATACAATTGATTGACTGCCCCCCCCTGTGGAACAATTATCAGGGATATTACTCATTGGGGATCCTCGGGATATATGTTTTGGTCTTGGTGGTTCCCCATTTCTGTCATTGGGGAATTATATTGGGCCTAATATTTTTTGTTATCACAATAAGGTAATCTTTTGTGGAAGAAATGCATATACTAGACATCAACATGATTTTATTATTAATCCTGATCCCTTGGGAAGGGGAAGGGTCCTTGAATCTGACCAAATTTGCTAAATATGGATTCCGCCATGACCACAATATGTGGGTAGGCTTAGCTGAGATGGTAGCCAATGTTACAAATAGGACCAATTGCCTTGTTTGCTCTCTTGGACCAGATGATTCAGAGGGAGGTATGCCCTTATTACCGATACCATTAAATGCCATTGGTATGGTAGCGAAATGCCACACCAAACAGAAGTACAGAATTTCCCCGGATGGAACTCAACTAAACCAATACGAGTTATACCTGTGCAAGGGAATTCTGTGTACATAAATTATCAGCTGCAGCTGATTCTATCATGATAGGCTCTTCTCATTGCCACTATACTTGGGATTATATTAAGAATAGTCAAACCTGGGCAAACGGTACTACCTATCGAACTCGGAATACCTTGCCCTGTGCACCTCCTTTTATTCATGCATGGAAACTGGTGTGGAACATAACTGTGACAGAAAAGGCAATCTAACATACTGCACTGTGAACTCTATGCCCCTTTTGATATTTCGCCTTATGCACTCCACGTACCAAAACCTCAGACCCGATGGTTGTGGTGGATATGTGGAGAATGGGCATACAAGCAACTCCCTCCCAAATGGAGTGGGACTTGCTTCCTGGGATGGGTATTACCACCAATGTGGATTATGCCCACTAGTTCGGCAAAGCGTACACGAAGAAATGCTGATATTTCTCATATAGCAGGAGGAAGTACCCAAAGTTGGAGTGATACTGATGATTGGCCACCAGAGCGCATTATAGCCTATTATGAGCCTGCCTCCTGGAATCCTGATGAGCTCATACAAGGGGCACGGGATCCTATTTATAATCTAAACAGAATAATTCGATTGCAAGCAGTAGTGGAACTTGTAACCAATGCAACGGCCCAGAGTTTGAGACTTATTGCACAACAGTTGGATGAAAGTAGAGCCGCCATTTTGCAGCTGAAAATGGGAATGGATTATGTACTTGCCAGGCAGGGAGGCCTATGTGGAGTCTTAAACTTGACAGGGAATGCCTGTTGCTTTAACATTTCTGATAATGGTGAGGCAATCCGTGTGTTGGCCACAAAGATGGAGAGTATAGCACATGTCCCAGTACAAATATGGGAAGGATGGGATATGGGATGGCTCACCAATTGGTTACCTAATGTTGCGGGACTCAAAGGGATACTATTGTCTTGCTTGTTTTTCTTGACGGTAGTAGTAATGGTTTTATGTACGGTGCCATGTATCATTTCATGTTTTAGAAGTACAATTAGCAAGATGATTTCAAATGAAACTTTACCTCATATTATGGCCCTATACAGAGCTTTACCTCAGGAATATGACGAAGGTCAAGCTATCAAGGACACTTGGGATGAAGGTCCTTGAGCTTGAAAGGGGGGAATGAGGCATCTGATCAAAATCTGCTTTGAGCTTAAAAAAATTATATTTGTAAATATATTTTTCTCTGCCAGGGAAGATCAGCTGAATACTCTGGCAGCTGTTCAGGGGCCCCACTGCTATAAATAGCAGTATTTCAGGGTTGTAAAAAAGTATTTCAGGGTTGTAAAATTAGAGCCAGAGAGCAAAAGGTCACACTGACCAGAATACAATCAAGCTGTAAAAACACAATTAAGAACTGGTAAATCAGAAAACTCGAGCCATAAGGTTAAAGGTTAAATGGAAGAGGTTGCTCTTAGAAACAGCTGCTGGTTAGGGAAAAAGGTTTCTTTATAGAACTTAGGAACTTAGCTTTTACTAAGTTCCTTCTAATTTGAAAAGGCCTTTCCTTCTAAAAATCTATCTATGTTATGTATGAAATATATTGGCTTAAATGTGATTATGCAAAGGATTTAGAAAGTAAGAAATGTTAGATTCTTATGTTAGATTCCTATTATGGTGGGTGAGAAGGTGAACTCAAGATCTCTTTAAGATAAAAAAATTAGAAACCATGCACCATCTGCTTTAGCCATCTGGTTTGCGGTGAATAGGGCAACAGGGGCCAAAGGTTATCTGGTAATTGAGGTGCCTGGTCGAGGTAAATGTAAGATATATGGCTACTTGTCTGCCATTTATGGATACAAGGAAATATAGCTCTTGTCTCCCATAAAAGGGAATAGGAAATGGGTGTATCTTTTATGATTGGTTCTAGCAAACAGCCAATAGGAATTTCAACCAGGCTGATTGGACAGAGGCAGCCAAAGGAGGAGCAAGGGGGCTGGGCTGAGGAAATATAAGTGCTGGCCATCAGGGCTGGAGTAGGCAGAGCTTTGGTATCCATATACCACTGTGTCTCTCATTTATTTGTCTGACAAATAAATTATTATTTTAATTTCTCTATTGCTGCGTTGAATATTTCATTCCAGCTAAGCGTTAACCACAAGCAGGGTGCTACAACGTCTGCCTCTCCCTATTCTGTCTGACACAGGGGTTTACGACCCCTTTATTCGGAGGGGACAAAGAAGGAAGGAAAAAGGAAAGGTTCTGAGCACGAGTGCCCCCCCACCTCACAATTTATGGCTCTGGCCCAGGAGTGGCTCTGGTGCCCTGGAAAACACAAGGGACCCAAAGGGAGAAAGAGGAATTAGCCGAAGCCTTCCCCCGCCCCCAGCCAAGAAACAATAATGTCTTTCACCAGGAAAAGGTGACCTTCGCTGAAGTGTGCCTGGAGGAAGAGCGCAGAGACCCAAGTCAGCTCTAGCAGCTTGGAAGCGGGGCCACAACCTTCAGGAAACATGTAAGAGCTTCCAGCTTGGAGGGGTCTGGGTGGCCGAGAGCAGGGTCATGTCAGAGGGTCAGGGCACGGACAGGGCTCCCTCCTTTGGCACCTGCCCAGTTTCCTCTTTAAAGTTTTTTGGGGGACAGAATTTGTAGCCGCTCTCCTGCCTCTTGCAGCTCTTTCGCCGGCCTTTGGGGGCCAGTTGACACAGAAACCAGACCTTGCGGTTTCTGCTTCTGTTAGATTTTGGCAGTTTCCCTTCCATTTCCACAGATGCTCTGTGATAAAGAAACAGGTACAGGTTAGTGGCATAGCGCAATGTGAACATGTTCATTCTAGGATCTAGGGAGGGCATATCTATTTCTAAGCTTAGTGTTTCAGACATACTTGGGGGGGTGTTTGGATGCCCTGCCTGTGATCCCCATGGAAATGGCTCACGCTGCTTATTGTCTTTGTGTCTGTGCCGCACTCCAAGCAAGCAGAACGGTTTTCCTCTGACAGATGCCTGGGTTTGTGTGTGCTCTGTGTATGTGTCTACGGAAGGATGCATTCAAATTTATCACCTGCCTTTCTCTCTAGATTTTGGCATTCCCACTTCCCCAGTCTGTCTCATTCCCTTTTAAAAATAAAAATAAAAATATTTTTTATTAAATTTTACATAACACATTTCAGTTTAAACATATCAATTACCTTTACATTTAGGATTCTCAGAATCTCTTGACTCCTCCCTGCCCTTTTCTGGTTTCCATTGTCCATCCCTTTTTATTCAACTTATCCCTTTTCTTCCAATTTATTGTATCTATTATTAACTTTTCCGTTATATTTTGTCGTTTACAAGTATTACTCTAATCCTGCCAAAGATTTTAACTATTTACAATGTTCTTTTAAATGAACTATACATCCCCCCCCCTATTTTCTCCTAATCTTCTTCTCGTCCTGGTCTCTGATTCTCCCGGTCAGTTTCACCATTTTGGCATAGCCCATCATCTTCATCAGTCTGTCTCATTCCCAAACTGGTGCCAACACACTGGGAGCCCTCCATTTAATTCCCCACCTCCCCAATTTTTCATTGAGTGCTCAGGCTGTGCAGTTTGGCACCAGCTGTTCATCTGTGCCTTTTTCTTCCCTCATCATTATCAGTGCACACACCCCATGCGATTTAGCAAAGCACTGCAGAAGCAACTGAGGTGCAAATGTATGGGCAGGCATATCGAGATTCCGTTTGCGTTCTGCTGATGCGCAAGAGCACCTGCTCTGGAGTTGTGAAGGCTCCACAGTGAAAGACTCAAGGTGGCACCAGAATGTACAATCACACCCAGATTTCTTTTTTTGTAGGGCGTGCAGAATATCAGGAATATGGGGTGTTGGGGGAGAGGGAAGACTTCAGTGAACTGTGAAGGCACTGGCAGCTGTGGCTAACTGCATACACTCCGGTTCCAGAATTCATTTAGAATTTTGAGGCACAGCAAAGTTCTGGCAGAAGGCAGGAGTTGAAGGAAGGGAGATCTGCCTCTCCTCCTCCTACCAAGGGTTCTAACCAGCAGGATTGCATCTCTCTCTGTGCAGGAGAAGGACCATGACATCAGTGCCTCTGCTGGTCTTCCTTAGCATGGCAGCCCACCTCCTGCAGCCCACCCTCTGCTTGAGGGTCGGTGCTTTCAACATCAGAACCTTTGGAGACAGCAAGCTGTCCAATCAGACCGTCACAGACTTCATCGTCAGCGTGAGTCCATCTGACCGCCAAGGAGAGACACTTATTCCAGGGGTTCTTGTTCAATTGCTTTAGGCTGGGCTCCTCCAAAGAAGCAATCTTTACAGCTTAACATTGTGCAGACATGCTCCATGGACCCTTGGAAACTTTCCGCACTCACCGTTAGCCATCAGGCTGGGGTTTATGGTCCCCAATGATCTCATTTTCTATGTTCACAGAATATATCTGTCACTTGCCACCCCAATCTCTCGGCAGTGAAAGAATCCGGGGGCTCCAGGCATTTATTCAGAGTTCCCTTTCCTTGGAACGAAAGCCAGCGGAGATGGTGGTGTCTTTAGGACATACTGTATGGTTTTATTTACACATTTATGCAGCCTGAGCATAGGGGATCGCAGCATTAACACCCCAACAGATCTTGCTTCTCCATTAATCACAGCTTTGGATCCAGCACAGAGCAAACGGGCCTGTGTGTCTGAAGCTTCCAGCCTGCTTTCTGCTCACACATCACTGGCTATTGTTCCTCTATCTATGACCCGGAAAGCTGTCTGTTGACAAACGCCAGCTTCCTCAGCCTGAAAGGGGCGTGGGTGGCGCTGTGGTCTAAACCACTGAGCCTCTTGGGCTTGCTGATCTGAAGGTCAGCAGTTCGAATCCCCGCAACGGGGTGAGCTCCCATTGCTCAGTCCCAGCTCCTGCCAACCTAGCAGTTCGAAAGCACACTAGTGCAAGTAGATAAATAGGTACTGCTGTGGTGAGAAGGTAAACAGTGTTTCTGTGCACTCTGGTTTCTGTCACTGTGTCCTGTTGCACCAGAAGCGGTTTAGTCATGCTGACCACATGACCCAGAAAGCTGTCTGTGGACAAACGCCGGCTCCCTCGGCCTGAAAGCGAGATGAGCGCCACAACCCCATAGTCACCTTTGACTGGACTTAACCGTCCAGGGGTCCTTCACCTTTTACCTTTTACCATCTCTATACCAGCTAGGTGAGGGAGGGGGAAGCCTCCTGGAGGGCGCCATCACTTAGTGGTAGGTCTTGCACTCTTTTTGGGGTGCTAAGGCCACTGTCTTACAAAGCAACCAGTCTAACTAGTTCAGCAAACTCCTCTTGTCAGCTTTTAACCTCACTGGGTACAGAACTAGAAGGGACTCAGGGCATCATCTAGACTGACCCACCACAAACCTACAACATACCAGAACATTCCCACCTTTCCTCACTGCTCACCTTCTCTTTTTCCACATCCAGCTCCTCGCATTCATCCCAGCTTGAGTCCTGAAGCTGGTGAAATTCTCTCTGCTCTGCCTCCTTACAGATTTTGTTCTTGTATGACATCACCCTCATCCAGGAGGTCCGAGATGCCGACCTGAGCGCAGTGAAAAAGCTGATGACCCAACTGAACCAGTGAGGGCTTTTTTGAAAAAAGGGTATCTAGAGGTTATGTGGCTTTTAGGTGTAATCAAAACTTATTCGATCAAAGCACTCCAGGATTGGGGGAGACTGGGAGGGTGGTGGGGATGACAAGTCCTGGCAAAGTCCCTTTTTCTCCAGGAAGAGAAAAATCCTAGGAATTTTGCCCTGGGTTCGGCCCCAGCAACCGCACACCCTAAAAGGGGAACATTGCAGCAGCTGTTGGGAAGAGTGAGATGGCAGCTCTTGAAGCAAGAGGCAACACCGCAGATTACCAATCCACTTTCTCTGTTCTTCCTGTGTTTGCCTAGAGTCAGGCAAAATGAATATATTTCATTGCTAACCTTCCCTTTTAGGGCATCACCGTATCCATACAGCTATGTGGTCAGCAAGCCTTTGGGTCGCAACAGCTACAAGGAGCAATACCTCTTTGTTTACAGGTGAGAGCCTCAAGCAGAGCCCAGGATGTAACGGGGGGGCGGGGCAGCATCACTGGAGGGGAGATTTCCAGAGGGGCAGCAGCAACTGTTATGTACTGAAGTTCCCACCCTGGGCCAGCAGGGGGATACTGTAGATAGTTTTCACTCAGGTCCACATATGCAAATAAGGGATTGAAAGTGACATTCAGTGATTGGATAGTTACAGAAAGTGGTTACTGTTGCGTGGTAGTGGAGCTCTATATAAGCAGGCTGGCTGAACCCTTCAGTTCTGTTCTGGCCTGTGAATAAACAAAAGCTGTTTGAAGAATCACTGTGCGGTCTGATATATTCACCCACAACTTAACAGCAACCATGTGACTCTTCAGCAGCAAAACAGTCCTGTGCAGCACCTTAACAACAACAAACGTGTTATGGCAGAAACTTTCATCAGATGCAGGACGTGGGGTCCTGAGTGGCAGGTAGATAGCTTTACATTGCTGGTGGTGAGGAACTGTAAATATATGGAAAGGCATTGCAGGAAAATACAGGCAGTTACAAAGCACGATGGCTATTAACGCACATTTAACTCACACGTTTTCAACCATACACAGTTGAAGGCCGTCTGGTTTAAATCCCACATGTTAAATGCAAGCGAGGAAGAGAGCTCAAAAGTTATTTTCATATTGGGCTTTCCCTGTGGAAGAATAACTTTTTAGCTCTCTGCCTCGCTTGGTGAGGGTGGGGTGAGAAACTCTCACGTGCCGCCTCCAGAAGCCACAGGGCGCTCGCTCGCATGAGGATGCTTCCAAGGGTTTGAATATGCAAACTTTTGCATATATGCGGAACCCATGGAACAGAATCCCCGCATAAGGTGTGATTGCACTGTAATTACATATTTTGTGTTTGCCTCCCAGAACACTTTGCAGCTGGCTGGTACCCATCTGGGAGCAAAGGAACTTAAAAGGCCGCAACATAAAGTTTTAAACTGTTTTCTAACATTGTGGTGTGATGTTGCCTTGTAATGTTGTAACCCACCCTGGGACCTTAGGGTGAAGGGAGGGAACAAATTAATAATAATAATAACCCCCACCTCCAGCCCCAACTGTGTGTGTACCAGGAACCCGGGATAACTAGGACTCTGGTGCAGTGAACTATAATCCACAAAATCTCTCTTTTATTGCCCATTAATTTTTATTGCTTTTCAGTTTTTTAAACGAATTCAACTTTAATTCTAATTTAACGCAAATTTGAAAATGACTTCCCAGCCCACCATTGAGATGTTTCACTTCCCACCCTCCTTAGCTGCTGTAATGTGTGAACTCTCATGCCATGTTGTACTTGTTTGCCCTTAAGGTGGCACAGGTCTCCCAGGATGTGGAGATGCCCTGGGTGCCTCTCCCAGACTTTGTTGCAAACTGTCACCATCTCCCTTTGGTGGCCACAGTCTCTGACCCATCACTTGCAAGGGACCCAAGCAAGGACCTGTCTCTCTCCTCCTCCTTCTCTCCACACAGGGAGGACAACGTCATTCTCCTGGACAGCTACTATTATGACGACGGCTGTGAGCCCTGCGGGAACGACACCTTCAGTCGGGAGCCCTTCATTGTGAAATTTGCGGCACCTCAGACGCGTAAGCAGCCCCCGCCTCCCCCTCTCAGCTGATGCAGCTGACAGGGCAGCCCAGGGAGAGGAGAAACTGGCCCTGCCGCATCTGCAAGAAATCAGTCTTTCAGTGAGGTGGAATCTACCCTTTGGAACTCCTTGCCTCTTGATATCAGGCAGGCAGCTTCGCTGCACTCTTTTCAGCACCTGCTGAAAACTTTTTTTGTTTTTTAAAAATTTATTTATTTGGTTATTCAAATTACAGTTTTACAATCACATATCCAACATACAACATATAGACAAGATTCCATAGAATCTCCCAGACTTCCCTCCTTCCTTTTGTGGGTCCTATTATTAATCATTATCTCCTGCATCTTTTATAATAATCCAAATCTTTCACATCTCCATTATATCCAAAATTCACCATTAAACTACAAGTGTCATTCCAATCCTACTAACAATTTTAACTGTTTACAATGGTTTTTAAGATAAATTATAAAATTTCCCCATTCCTTGTTAAAATTTTGGTCTTCCTGATTTTTGATTGTTCTGGTCATTTTTGCCATTTCGGCATAATCCATCAACTTGATCTGCCATTCTTCTCTGGTGGGGACTTGGCAAGTCTGCCAAGATATCCAGCATGCTAATGTGTTTTTAGTTTATTGGTGCTCTTGGTTTTTTGAATGCTTTAATTTTTTCCTGCTAATAATTTTATGGCTTGTCCAGAAGCAATAAAGAAGCAATAAAAAGAAAGTTTGCTCACGATCGGCAGACCACAGTGTGATCCCTGCAGGCAGGCTTAAGGCTTAAAGTTACAAACGTATAAAAACAGGTTTGTCCCATAAGGGAGATGACCTGGGGGACTGCTTGGCTGGCAGCCAGCAATTCATTCCAGGAAGTTTTCAGGACGAAAAGAAGCTGGAAAAGAGAGAGTGTGGCAGCATGCCTTGGCCTTTTCCCAGGTCTGAAAAGGTCATGCCCATTCAATAGTTGCATGCAAGGAAGGATGCTTCAGGCCAGGTGGAACAGGAAGTTTCGACTGGCTGGACCAAACATCCCCCTGCATGTCCACTCTAGGAAAACAAGGAATGTTGCATTTGACTGCTCTCAGTGGATTACATCCCACACTCGGATTGTGGCTTTGGGGTGTTGTAAACAATAAAAATCTGCCCTTTTCCCCTTATGGGGTATCCAAGAGCCCATATAGAGCCCATATAGAGTTCCCTATTGGTAGGAGAAAATAACAGAGGCCAACCAGAGAATATTGAGAAGCAAAGCAGCTAGTAAGCTTGATCTTTATTGATCTGTTGCAACAAGGTGCTTCCCTCACACACAGGAAAGGAGGAGGAACCCCAAACAAAGGTGTGCCCATCCTTATATAGACATTTTAAATTGCCTGCCCTGGAGTCCAAGACCACCCCCACAAACATCATACCTACATCAAAGAAAAGGTGGTCTACAACAGAAATTTGAACGCTGTTGTTTTTCCTGTCTGGCAGGTTATCTGATAATGCCTTATCTGATTGCCTTTCCTGGTAGTCTGTCACCCTTTGAGATGGTGATTTCCCAATTCCTGAGACAATGGGAAGGCTACCTGACCCCCTCCCTCCTTGCAGAGAAAACATTTGGTCAGTTTGAGAGTCAAAATGGTTTCAGGTCGGTCTTCCTGTGCTGATCTATGTACGTGCCTGGTTGGTACATTTATGAACATTTATTATACACCTAAGACCTAAGGGACACGGGTGGCGCTGTGGGTTAAACCACAGAGCTTAGGACTTGCCGATCAGAAGGTCGGAGGTTTGAATCCCCGCGACGGGGTGAGCTCCTGTTGCTCGGTCCCTGCTCCTGCCAACCTAGCAGTTTGAAAGCACGTCAAAGTGCAAGTAGATAAATAGGTACCGCTCCGGCAGGAAGGTAAACGGCGTTTCCGTGCCCTGCTCTGGTTCGCCAGAAGCGGCTTAGTCATGCTGGTCACATGACCCGGAAGCTGTACGCCGGCTCCCTCGGCCAATAAAGCGAGATGAGCGCCGCAACCCCAGAGTCAGTCACGACTGGACCTAATGGTCAGGGGTCCCTTTACCTAAGACCTTAAAACTTCTTTTAACAGGGGCAAGAGGTCTGGCACAGCCAGGGGAAGGGAGGAGAAGGCATGGGGGGGGAGAAGCCATACTCTGTGTCCCCAGATGGAGGCAGCAATTCTTCTGAATCCCGATTGCTGGAAACCATGGGACAGGGTTTTGGCGCTCGAATCCTGCTTGCTGGTTTCCCGGGTGTGGGTGTGGTTGGCCTCCGGGAGAATGGGATGCTGGAGGGGGTGGGCCGTGGGTCTGACCCAGCCGATGCTCTTTGGATGTTCTTAACTGCGACTTCTCCCTCAGAGGTGGGGGAACTGATCCTGGTGCCTTTGCATGCCGCTCCCGAAGAAGCAGTGGCCGAGATAGACGCCCTCTACGACGTCTTCCTGGATGTGAGAGATAAGTGGGGGACAGAGGTAAGTGCCCCCCCAAAAGTGGTGACTTTTGCTTGCCACCGGTGGTTGCTTGAGAAATATCGGGGGCATTGTGGAGATTAGACCCCAGTCCCACTTATATGTACCGTATTTTTCGCTCAGTAAGACGCACTTTTTTCCTAAAAAGTAAGGGGAAATGTCTGTGCGTCTTATGGAGTGAATGTGTGGTCCCTGGAGCCGAATCGCCTGAGTGTGGCGCACGTCGTTACCCCACCCTCCCGGGTTGCCGGCGGCCTCCCCTTTCCCCTGGGAAGGTTTGGGAGCGGCGGGCACGCTGTGTGACGTTGCCTGGCGCTCCCGGGCTGCTCTCTTTGAGAGGGGCTTTGCCAACGGCCTCCCCTTTCCCCTGATGGCTCCGGGGATGTTGGCTGGAAGATGGCGAGAAGAGGCAGCTGCTGAGAGAGGAGAGGAAGAGGATGGAGAGGAGGGGGACCTAGAAGCGGGGCGAAGGGAGAGGAGGTAGGTTGCCACAAGTGGAGAGTCATGGGAGAGGGCAAAGGAGAGGCAGCAGCGAAAAGGAGAAATTGCAGGCGTTGCCTGAGGAGTTTGGGCGAAAGGGACGGAGATGATTTGCTCATCTTTAAGGAGCCACCAATGTCCTGAGGGTGGGAGGTGGTCCACAAAATCGCATACCACATTTTTTGCTCCATAAGACGCACCTGACCATAAGACGCACCTAGTCTTTAGAGGAGGAAAACAAGAAAAAAATATATTCTGAATCACAGCCTCCTCGGGAGGAGAGTGATCCCCGCGGAGGCTTGGAAGGCTTTCCTTCTCCCCACTTTTTTCTCCCCCTCCACAAGCAGCACAGGCCCCTTTTCCAGCCTCCTCCTCTCCGTCCCTTTCGCCCAAACTCCTCAGGCGACGTCTGCAATTTCTCCCCATCGCTGCCACGTGTCCTTTGCATACGCACCTAGTTTTTAGAGGAGGAAAACAAGAAAAAAATATATTCTGAATCACAGCCTCCTTGGGAGGAGAGCTCTAAAAACTAGGTGCGTCTTATGGAGCGCAAAATGCGGTATAAGGTTTTGTGGGTAGCAGACAGGGGTGCCAACTTGAATAAAATATTGGGAGGGGGGCAGGTAAGCCCTGCCCCACATAAATGATCACATGACATGGCGCACACACACCATTTGAATGGCAGTGCCCATCAACTTTGCCCCCTCCCACCTGAAGCTTGTTTAGTTTGAGGATGAAAGACTAAACAAGGATAAAAAAAGAGAAAAGAAACCAAGACGCTCTCATTTCATTGCCTTGATTCTAGCTGTTGTGTCTGGAGATGCAAAATTCGCCAGTGGCTTTTTAACTGTTTACAAATAGAATGTGATTGTAAAATGAACAGTTTGGGTTGTGTTCTAATTATGAAGTTTCTCCAGATATTAATAAATCATAACATTTTTTGGCTGCTTACAAAAAACAACAACAACCAACTTGGCCCCCACTTGGCCCCCTCAAATATTATATTAGGGGGGTCAAAGGTACCTCGGCCCCTAGGAGTTGGCTCCCATGGTACCAGACTCCCCTAAATTCCTCAGTCCAGTAGGAGTTAGAATTTAATCAAGGGAAATGTTAAAACATAAGCCTGGGAGGGGAAAAGGAAGGCAATGGCTCATTAAAAGAGCTCTGTCCCAGACAGCAAGTGGGCAGGTGGGTGGGCCCCTTCCTCCAGCTCTTAGGTAGTTCGTGAAAAGAACAAAAGCCAGGGTTTAGAGTTTTAGAATTGGCTGGGATGTGACCTGGAGGAAAAAAGTTGCACTCTGGTAAAGGCGGCAGGCTGGAGAGAGGGTCAGAGCACGGCGGCTGATGTCTGTGGGCGGCTATAGGAGAAACAAGACCCTCTTGAGATGTTAATGCTGCGAACCCCTCCGTCGTAGGCTCAGGTGTGGTTCTTATATGTAAATAAGCCGTATATTATAAAGAAACCACAGGCTGCACTGTGCCTCATTCCCATGGGCCCTGGGAGAGCGCCTGGAACCCCTGGGATCTCGCACCACTCAGAGATTGGGGTGGCAGGCAATTAATTATGTGTGTGTGAGTATATCAAGGAATAATAAAATCATAGAACTGTACAGTTGGAAGGATCCCTGAGCGTCATGTAGTCCAAACGCCTGCAATGCAGAAATCTCAACTAAGGCATCCATGACAGACGGACATGGATGTGTGTGTGTGTAATAATAATTTTTTGTGTGTGTGTTGGCAGCACACAAACACATAAGAGTAATGAACTGTCCACCGTAAATGGTTTAATTAGCCAAAGGCCTGGGAGTAGAGGAATGTTTTTGCCCGGTGCCTAAAGACATTTCAGGCAAGCCTCCCTGGGGAGAGTATTTTTTTAAAAAAAATATTTTTTAAAATTTTATTTTTTACCAACCACCAAAACACAAACAGTGAAACCTACCAGGCGGCTGATACATTGGGTATACAATATTCAATAATATACATATTCAATAATATTCAATAATAACATATTCAAATCAACCATACGTACACTTCTATATACCTTAACACTCCTCCTTCCACAAGATTTATTTAACTTTTAACATTTTAATTGCCCCAAATTGTTCAAACCTACTCAAATAATTCAATATCTTCTCAAACCAATCCCCCTCTTTCGCACTGACCTTAAATCCTTTCATTCTATGTATCTTCACAGTTAGGTATCCTAAAATTATAATATTATTCAGTTTTTTCCTCCATTGGTTCACCCCTAACTCTTCTGCATTTTTCCAATTACCACTATAACCTGTCTGGCTGCAATTACCATCAACTTTACCCATTTGCCTTCCTCTTTTGTTTTTAACTCGGTACTACTCAGGGTAATAAGAACCATTAATTTAGTTATTTCCGCATTCCTTCCCACAATTCCCAATATTTCTATACCAATCTGTTTCCAAAATTCATTAACTAACGGACAATCCCAGCAGATATGACTGTACGTTCCAGTCACTCCACATTTCCTCCAGCAATTCTTACTTCCAGATTTTGTAAGGTGATATAACCTTACTGGTGTATCTCTCTCCCTGGGGAGAGCATTGCACCAACCAGGAGCCACCACAGAGAAGGCCTGCTCTTACGTTGCCAACCCTCCAGACCTTTCGTGGAGAGGGGCGCATGGAGACGGGCCTCAGATGACGACTGCAGGGTCTGGGCCAGTTCATATTGGGCATGCGTGTGTGTGTTTGCCCAAGGGTCAGCTTCAACCCTGAGCCGTGTCTTTCCTGGGGTCCATAACCACCTCCTGAGCTTGTTTCTTCCTCCTGGCAGGACATGCTGTTCCTGGGAGACTTCAACGCTGGCTGCTCCTACGTCCGGCCTGAGGACTGGCCCCGCATCCGCCTGCGCACCAACAGCGCCTTCCAGTGGCTCATCCCAGACACAGCAGACACCACTGTGACCAGCACCCACTGTGCCTACGACAGGTGAGTGGCAGGAGGCCAGGGCCCAGAGGCTCTTTCTCTCTCCCCCCAGAGCCACTTTGGGGCTGCAAAAACAACGCAGCAGTATTGAGTTACTGGTCTCTGCAGCCACAGCAGGCACTGCGATTCTCATAGAATCATAGAGATGGAAGGGATCACCAGGGTCATCTGTTCCAACCTTCTGCAATGCAGGAATCTTTTGCCCAATTTGGGCCTTGAACCCACAACCCTGAGATTAACCATCTCATACTCTACCGACTTCACCCCCGGAGGCATACTCCATTGTCTCTTGAGACAGGAGGACGCCGACAACAATCAGATTCATCCCATTGTTCTTTTTTATTATTTGCTGAGATTTAACTGAAAGTTAGTGCAGGTGGCGCTGTGGTCTAAACCACAGAGCTTCTTGGGCTTGCCGATCGGAAGGTTGGCGGTTCAAATCCCCTCCGGTGGGAAGGTAAATGGTATTTCCATGCGCTGCTCTGGTTCACCAGAAGCAGCTTAGTCCTACTGGCCACATGACCCAGAAGAACTGTCTGTGGACAAATGTCGGCTCCCTCGGCCAGTAAAGCGAGATGAGCGCCGCAACCCAGGAGTCGTCCGCGACTGGACTTAACGGTCAGGGGTCCTTTACCTTTTTAACTGAAAGTTTTATTGATGGCTTCCCTGTGTTGTTGTTGTTGTTGTTTGTAATTTGGTCTTCAGTTTTGTCTATACATTTCGTTTTTTGCTTTTCTTTTCTTTTTTAAGAATAATTTTTATTCACCAACCAATCACATCAAATCAAACCAAATTACATAAATTCCAAATTACAAAGCCAAATTTTAAATTTTTGTTGGGGGTACCCATATTTCAAGTTCCGAAGGGGATCCAATCATCTTCTTGCTTCTTATTGCTGCTTTTAATATCCACAAATCTAACCATTTGATGTTCACAGTACTGTCCAGTCCTTTCTTATTGTTTTTCCACATCTCTTCTTGTTATTTTAATATATTTTTCCTTTCTCTTTGTGACCTCTGATAGTCTCCACAAGTGGGTTAAAACAGTTTGTAATCCTGTGTGGATATTTTTTTTATTATCCAATAGCCATATCCAGACGTTTTCCGTATAACATCACTTCCATAACTCAAAACAGTCTTAGCGTCGTTAATCTTCACAAATCTGTTGCCTTTCTCAACCTCTGAGGAGATTCACCAGGAATGCAGTCTGAAAACAAATCCATTCCTCCTCCCGGTTATAAATCCTTCGGCAAGACTTGCCAAGATGGCGATTCTGTATTTATTGCTGCGCCATTCCAAAAGCTCTTGTTCTTTACTCAATCTCCATAAAGCATACTTTTGGTTAAAGTTTATTTCCACACAGTCCTTAATCATCCTGCTTGGGTCAGTTAACCGACGGTTCTAACGAGGGGGGGTTCTTGGTTAATCACATAGAAGAAAAGAAAAAAAGGTTCCCCCCCATCCAGTCCTGTTGCCCACATACCCAGCCTTTGATGTCTTCTTCGTAAAATATTCCTGTTGCTCCAACCCATCGTCTTCTTTCACAGAGGTCCCTTCTGTTAACAGTCTTCACTCCCCTTCTTCACTTGAAATATGTGCATTTGCTTCTTTTGTAATTAATTATTCCAAATTGCTGCAGCTAGTGCGCGATCAAGGACAGCGTCTAGGAGAACCGGGGTCCACACAGGGGCATTCTGCCTAGTGCCCTCACCCCCTTCTTTCAAATTTGGGGGTGATTTATGGGCACAGCAGGCAAGGGCAGTGTTCCCCATTCCCTTGGGGCAACAAGGGAGGCTGCCTACTCCCATAACAGCCTCTTAATTACCCCGTGTGGTCCGGAGAGATGGTATTGTCGGCCATCTTCCAATGCGCCCCTAGTGGCCCCCCTCGTTTTTTGCTTTTCAAAGGTTATTTGACTGTGTTTTCTGTAAACCACTTAGGGATTTTTGCCTATGAAGCGGTATCTAGATATTATTGACGAGGGAGATGTGCAGCCTTGATGGCTCAGACCCATTTTAAAGTCACCTAAGGGTGGGGGGTGGGGGCTGCCCTCACATCCTGTGGAGCAGGTTCCCAAATGTAACTGTGCCCTTGTGATGCCTTGCAGGATTACGGTGGTTGGCCCCAGACTCGGAAGCGGCATCCTGCCCGGCTCAGCCAAAGTCAACGACTTCCAGCAGACCTTCAAGCTTCAACAGAAGGACGTGAGCAGCTGTTTCAAAAGTCTCACGGGTTTCCCAGTGGGGGGGGGGAGGGATGGTGACTGCCGACCAGGCTGGGCATGGGGAGCTCTGGTCTTAGAATCATTTAATCTTCGAGTTGGAAGAGACCCCCAAGGATCCTCTAGTCTAACCCGCTGCAGTGCAGGAATCTCAGCTGAACCAGCCATAACAGATAATAATAATAATAATAATAATAATAATAATAATATTTTTTTATTTATACCCTGCCCTACCCGGTTCAGAAAACCAGGCACAGGGCGGCTAACAACAAATTTAAAACACTTAATTGATGCAACAAAAAACAGCATAAAAAACAGTATAAAATGTAAATAATAAATTCAGAATTCAAAAATCAGTTTAGGGGGAAAATCCATCCAATAAACATTAGATAATCCCCAGGGCTAGCTGGCTAAATTAGTCCTATTTGCGCCAGCGAGGAGACCAGGGAAGAATTAGCTGTGGGATCCTAGAGTGGGTAATCTTCATAAAAAGGGAAGGGGAGGGAAGGAAGGGGAATAAAAGATCAGGCTAAGTTCAAATTGAAAGCCAGGCAGAATAGCTCTGTCTTACAGGCCCTGCGGAAGGAGGTTCAATCCTGAAGGGCCCTGGTCTCCTGGGACAGAGCATTCCACCATGTTGGAGCCATCACTGAAAAGGCCCTGGCCCTGGTGGAGGATAGTCTGACTTCCTTAGGGCCTGGGACCTCTAAACTATGATTATTCATGGACCTTAAGGTCCTCTGTAGGGCATACCAGGAGAGGTGGTCCCGTAAATACAAGGGCCCTAAGCCACAAAGGGCTTTAAAGGTCAAAACCAGCACCTTAAACCTGACCCTGTACTCCACCGGGAGCCAGCGCAACTGGTAAAGGACTGTGTGAATATGCTCCCATGGCAGGTACCCCGTGAGATGACCATCCAGCTTCTGCTTGAAAACCTCCAGTGAGGGAGAGCCCCCCACCTCCCAAGGGAATCTTTTCCACCGTCATGAGACCCCCAAAATGAGCGCCAGAGTGCCAGACTGAAAAAGGAGTGTTGCTGGCCCAGTGTTCTGGCACAAGGGCTTGCAGCAGAGTGCTGGACCAAAACAACAGGACATTCCAGGATCCAACCAGAAGCCGGGTTTGGCTTCTGTTCTTCTAGGGATGTCCCATTTGAAACAGGGAAGTCGAGAGGTGTGTGTGCATTAGAAGAAACAAATTCACCCCAAACAACAGGGAATGTTCAGGGAGCTGGGGATGTTTAGCCTGGAGCCGAAGAGACAGAGAACTGACCTGGCAGCCACGTTTAGCCTGGAAAAGAGGAGGCTGAGAGGAGATGTGCCATCTTCAAATAACTCAAGGGCTGTCACGTGGAGGATGGAGCAAGCTTGTTTTCTCCTGCCCTGGAGGGTAGGACTCGAACCCATGGCTTCAAGTTACCAGAAAGGAGATTCCGACTCAACATCAGGATAAACTTACTGATAGTAAGAGCCGTTCAGCAGTGGAACCGGACTCCCCTGGACGGTGGTGAACTCTCCTTCCTTGGAGGTTTTTAAGCAGAGGTTAGATGGCCCTCTCTCAGGAATGCTTTGACTGTGACTCCTGCGTCGCAGCGGGTTGGACGAGATGACCCCTGGGGTTCCTTCCAACTCTCTGATTCTGCGTGCCCCCCCCAAGACAGCCTCCTCTTCCTCCTAACTCCGCTGTTTCTTCCTTTCTTTTCCAGGCCTTGGCTGTTAGTGACCATTTCCCCGTGGAAGTGACACTGAAATCTCTTGGCATTTCCTCCACCCCCATGTAGCAGCACCCCCAGCGTAGACCTCCGAGGGGGCTGCAGAGCTCTGCCCTCCGGCTGCAGGGGTAGAAAATGGGCAGATTCAAACACCACGCTTTAGTTTTGGGAGAAGCCCCCAGGTCCCTCTGGCCTTTGGACGACCAGGACACCAGGCTCCAAGCGGTCCTTTCTGTGGCACGTGAAATCCAAGCACTCTTCAAAACAAAAGAGGATTAATTCCACCCAAATGTTTTCCCAGCTGCTGTGAATGATGATGCTAAAGATGAACTGCCAAATTGCCAAAAATCATGGATTATGCAAGGGCTGATGGATCTGACAAATGGAAACTCAGCGAGATAATAAAAAATAATAAAAAATAATAATAATAAAATTTTATATGTATCACGCCCTCCCTGGCCAAAGCCAGACTCAGAGCAGCTAACATCTTATAAATCAGACAATATGCATAATACAATATACACTATGCAAATAAAATAACATTCAACATTCATTAAAATAATATAGAATATTAAATATGGCAAATCAAAATGGAGGATTTTGTAACACTGAACAAGATATCTTTGATTTTATGGGTAAAGCAAGAAGAAAAACGTTTTAAAGGATTCGAACAAGAATGAGCTTCTTTTTTAAAAAAAAAAAAAGGAATGAAAAATAATGGGAGATAATTTATAATGTTAACCATTTTCGGGGTCTCTAAGAATTGTAATTAAGAAAATTAGCAAAAATAAATAAAATCATTCTGTCCAATGACAGTTCTCATCCTGTGAGTTATTTTCTCACAAAGATGTCAGATCTTTGCAAGCTGAGTCCATTTTGTCCACTCTGGTCCTGCCAAGCCCTCGCTCAGCCTTTCGCAACCTGCTGCCCTCCAGGTTCTCTTGGGACTACAACTCCCATCAGCCCCCTGCCAGCACAGCCATATTAGGAGGGGCTGTTGGGAGTTGTAGTCCCAAGCGCCTGGAGGACTGCCGCTATTTGCAAAGGCCGAGGAAGACCACAATAACCTCGTCTGCGCAGTTGTAGCAACTGCCCTGGATGGCTGCCAGCTGAGCGTTCCTTTAGCGCCAGGGCTGGGTGGGCATCTGAGAGACCCCCAAGCACTGAGACGATGAGGGTGCTCCCCACTCCCATATGTAATTCAAAATAAAAAGAGTATTGAACCGTAAAACAAAATTGTATCGGCCACGTTTCATCCTGCCTCTTCTCTCAGTTATCCGAACGTTAAAACAATAAATTACACAACGTACAACTTATTTCTCTCTCTGTGTGAAAAAACTATAACTCTGGAGAATGCATCAATAATAAAATCATAGAATTGTAGAGATCTGTTAACGGAGAAATCTGAGGGCTCCCTTGGACAAAAAACAAGGACACTAGCCAGGAATACCAGAGCAAAACAGCAGCCAGGAGGCTTGATCTTGATTGAAGACCGCCGTGACAGGACTCCCACCTGCCACCAGGTGGAACAAGATGGAAGCCCCCAACAAAAGAACCCCCAAACTTTTATTAGCTACTAATCCCCATGTTACACCCCCAAACTACATCACTAATACATCATGGTTACATCATGAAAGGGGAGGTCTCGTGGCAGGAATCTGAGCATCCTGGACTCTGCCCCATGGTTCTCCTTGCCCTCCACCAAACACCCATCAAGTGGAACAAAAGAGATATTTACATTTCCTTGTTTCCCAGCCAGGTTCATCACACCCTTTTGTCTTCATCTGGGTTTGTGATTTCTGGAATGGCTACCTGTCTGGCACTCAGGTATCAGGATGCCAGGAATTATCACTCAGGCAGAGGGGCTGCTGAGCTTACATGTCTGTATGAATTTCTGAAGTTTTCCCAGTGAGCCAGTACATAGATACATTTATCAGTGAATTGTTACGTTTGGTATTGTACAGCAAAGGCCCTTGGAATTGATAGGAAGAAACTGTGATGAAGTGTTTTCTGGGGACAAATCACAAAAGTCACAAAAGTGATTGTGCTGATTTTGGTAGTGGGCTGCATGTGCATGAGATCTGCTGGAGGGGCAACCCCCCCCTACATAAATTCCTGCAACAGTTGGAAGGGATCCAAAGGGTCATGTAGTCCAGGGGTAGGCAACCTAAGGCCTGGGGGCCAGATCCAGCCCAATCGCCTTCTCAATCCGGCCCACAGACTGTCTGGGAATCAGCGTGTTTTTACATGAGTAGAATGTGTCCTCTTATTTAAAATGCGTCTCTGGGTTATTTGTGAGGCATAGGAATTCATCCATTCCCCCCCCCAAATATAGTCCGCCGCCCCCCAAGCTCTGAGGGACAATGGACTGGCCCACGGCTGAAAAAGGTTGCTGACCCCTGGTGTAGTCCAACCCCCTGTGTTTTATAAATCTATTGCAACGCATGGCAGAATCTGATTTAGTCACATTATTTCAGCCTGCTTCCATAGGACGCCTACTGCTTCTACACTTTCTGAATGTGCTGCTACAGGTAAAAGTCCCAGTTCCAAAAATAATGCACCGTTTTAAAGCTTCAGACCGGCAGAAAGGTGTCTTGCCTTCTGCAACAGTTTGTGGTGTAGAAGTAATTAGAAGGTGTGAAGCGACATCGCTGTCTCATGCGTTGCTCCTTAGCTCTGCTAGGTTTTTGCAAGATGGGAGTAGCAGACCAGGAGTAGCTCCTTTTAGGATTCTGTTCCTTGCCTGCACAAAACAGATGTGGTGGGGGGGAATACTGAACCGGGGCATATCAAACGCCATCTGCCCCACGTAGTTTACAATGCATCAGGCAGAAGGACACGACAAACCCACCAACATTTATCCGATGAAAACAGGGACATCCCATTCCATAACAATAATTTTAACAACAACAATTTTATTATTTATACCCCACCCATCTGGTTGGGTTTTCCCAGCCACTCTGGGCAGCTCACAGCATATATCAGAGCATACTAACATTAAAAACTTCCCAATACAGGGCTGCCTTCAGCTGTCACCTAAAAGTCAGATAGTTGTTTATTTCCTAATAGTAAACAGCCATTCTGGGTAGCTTCCAACATATAGAAAAACATAAAATTTTTTAAAAAAACCTTCCCTATACAGGGTTGCCTTCAGATGGCTCAGGGATGGACAACTCCATGCTCTCCAATATTTCTCCAATGAAAAGAGGGACATCATAAGGAAAAGTGGTACATTCCCTTGAAGGCGACTCAAAAGTTTCGGTGCGTGGAGGACAGGGCTGCCCAAACTTGCACAGCCAGATGAAATCCTACGAGCACCCAAAGGTCCTTCAAATCCAGTGCCCTGTTTCCAACCAGGCACCCCAGGAAGCTCTCAGGAAGGACCCAGGGGAAACAGCCCTTTCCTCCTCTCCCCCCCTTGATTCCCAAGTCGTCTCGATTCAGGACGCAGGAGATATAAATGAACTTCTAGATCAGGCATAGGCAAATTCCTGCCCTCCAGATGTTTAGGACTACAATTCCCATCATCCCTTACCGCTGGTCCTGTTAGCTAGGGGTGATGGGAATTGTAGTCCCAAACATCTGGAGGGCCGGAGTTTGCCTATGCCTGATCTAGATCTAACTGAGCACTTCTGTGCCGGAGTTTCCCTGTGAATCCTCCAAATCGAGACAGAATTCCAAATGACTAGCAATCAAATGTTTCAACGCTGCTCTATCGTAAAACACAAACATTCCAAGAACTATTTCAAGCGAGAAGCAGCAGCCGGGCACCGACTTGCATCCTGGTCGTGTCTCCCTGCATTCTTCAGTGAGAGCACTAGGAGGCAGAAGGAGGCTGCCTGCTTGCTTATTTGATTTTAAATCCGGCTCTGCAGCCTGGACTCAGAGCAGCTTTTAATATCTCTGTCCCCTTGGGGCTCACAGCCTCAGGAAATCCAGTGGCTGGGGGTGGGAGGAAATAAGGAGAGGGGCCAAAAGGAAAGAAATTATTGCAGGCATATTTTTTTAATGTAGAAACAAGGGAACTGAAATGAATCTGTGTGTGTGTGTGTCTGCATAGACAGACAGACAGATATCACACACACTCACACATATATATTGATTCAACCCAACAGAGGAATTAGAATGTGGGTCTTCCCTAACCTGGTGACTTCCAGACCAGGTGTGCCCTGATAGCATCATGAGCACACAAAAAAATCATGAAAAGGACGTCTGAAGTGCCCTTAAAATGTTTGAAACCATCGGTATTGAAATTGATGTTTTCTAGCATTGTAGATCAGACCTACCCTCTTCCCCAGATCCACCTTTACCGTCTGCTAGAGCTAACCAAGCGTGCTTGAATCTCTCTCTCACCCCCCCATGCCATCTGTAGTTTTGCCGGTTTTTATTAAAGCCATTTCCCCTCCTCTCCCTGCTAGAACTGTCTTCACCAGAACCAGCTGATCTTATGCTACATTTCATGAGGACGTCTCTTGGCAAGCAGATGTCTGAAGCTTTTGCAGCTCGAGTTGGCAATATGGAAGATGAAAACAAACTAGAATGAGAAAATGTGGCGTGTTGGGAAACAAGGCATGGCACAATCAGTGCGCAAGGCTGTCCTGCAGCTCTGGCAGACCAAACCCTCGGGGCCTGGGAGCCTCTCTTGGACCCTTCTCCAGGCCCAGGAGTCGGAGAGGCTCTGTCCAGTCCCAGCACATCCAGGTCACTTGGGACAGTTTGAGCCATTTGTCCTTGCAATGACCTCAGGTCAAAGATCAGCCACAGTCAAGTCAAAGTCTGAGAAACAAAGCATGGCAATAATTCAACTGGGATATCACTGTAGCCAGAGTCTTTCTGTCCAGGAATGGCCACAGCCGATGAACCAGCCAACACCGGGAAAAGGTGGCACTCTATGCCCATGTAATATAATAATAAATTTTTATTTATACCCCGCCCTCCCCGGCCAGAACCGGGCTCAGGGCGGCTAACACCAGTAAAATTACAATTAAAAAAAATTAAGATACAGGTTAAAATATAATTTAAAATGCAGCCTCATTTTAATAGTAGTCCATAGATCAAAACCATAAGGGGAGGGAAATATAAGGGTCAGACTGAGTCCAAGCCAAAGGCCAGGCGGAACAGCTCTGTCTTGCAGGCCCTGCGGAAAGATGTCAAGTCCCACAGGGCCCTAGTCTCTTGTGACAGAGCGTTCCACCAGATCGGGGCCAGTACTGAAAAGGCCCTGGCCCTAGTTGAGACCAGTCTAACCACCTTGCGACTTGGGACCTCCAAAGTGTTGTCATTTGTGGATCTTAAGGTCCTCCGGGGGGGCATACCGGGAGAGGCGGTCCTGTAGGTACATGGGTCCTAGGGCTTGAAATGTCAAAACCAGCACCTTAAACCTGACCCTGTACTCCACTGGGAGCCAGTGCAGTTGGTAAAGCACTGGAAGAATGTGATCCCGTGGCGAGGACCCCGTAAGGAGCCTCGCTGCAGCATTCTGCACCCGCTGGAGTTTCTGTGTCAGTCTCAAGGGCAGCCCTGCATAGAGCGAGTTACAATAATCAAGTCTGGAGGTGACCGTCGCATGGATCACTGTGGCCAGATCTGGGCGGGAAAGGTAAGGGACCAACTGCTTGATATGGCGGAGATGGAAAAATGCCACCTTTGCTGTGGCTGCAACCTGCGCCTCCATGGAAAGGGAGGCGTCAAAGGTTATACCCAAGCTCTTGGGTGTAGCTCCCTGACTCTTGACTCTTGTCCATCAATATGCGGATGATACCCAGCTCTACCTCTCTTTCAAATCAGAACCAGTGAAGGCAGTGAAGGTCCTGTGTGAGTGTCTGGAGGTGGATGGAGGGTGGATGGCGGCTAACAGATTGAGGTTGAATCCTGACAAGACAGAAGTACTGTTTTGGGGGGACAGGAGGTGGGCAGGTGTGGAGGACTCCCTGGTCCTGAATGGGGTAACTGTGCCCCTGAAGGACCAGGTGCGCAGCCTGGGAGTCATTCTGGACTCACAGCTGTCCATGGAAGCACAGGTCATTTCTGTGTCCAGGGCGGCTGTTTATCAGCTCAGTCTGGTACGCAGGAAGAGACCCTCCCTGCCCGCAGACTGTCTTGCCAGAGTGGTGCATGCTCTAATCTCCCGCTTGGACTACTGCAATGCGCTCTATGTGGGGCTACCTTTGAAGGTGACCCGGAAACTACAACTAATCCAGAATGTGGCAGCTAGACTGGTGACTGGAGCAGTTGCTGAGACCACATAACACTGGTCTTGACAGACCTACACTGGCTCCCAGTACGTTTCTGAGCACAATTCAAAGTATTGGTGCTG